GCCTTTCTTTTTGATTTCATAGAATTGATGTGTAACTTTTGCAAATACTGGTAGTCATTTTAATTGGGCAGGCCAGAATTTCAGGTGGATTACCATGCCATGTGTGAACGCAGTGTGAGTGGCAAAATGGCAGCAGTGCGATTTGGATATGTATCGATGTGTAACTTTTGGAAAAAGGGTGTCATTTTATTTTGGCAGGCCTGATTTTTAAGGTGGATTACCATGACGTGTAAATACGGTGTAACTGGCAAAATGGCAGAGGTGGGATATGGATATGAATTGATGTACAACTTTTGTAAAAATTAATTTTAATTTGGCAGGCCTGATTTTTCAGGTAAGTGCCATAATGGCAGAGGTGGGATATGGATATGAATTCCTGCTATCGCCAATACCCCAATATGCCCGGTTGTAAATTTCATGTCCTGATTTCAAATGCACTCTGGGATAGCTTGGTGCCTTAGTTGTTTCCGTTCCATTTCATGCAGCTGTAGTAACCGATCTAGCTGGCTCCCTAGTCCCTACATGCATGAACCGTATACATCGGAAGCATGTAAGTACCGGAAGTAGTTCAAAATTACATCCAAAAGGTCAACGTCGGGGCATTCGGGGGTATTGGCGATATAGAATTGAGTAACTTTCAGAAAAAGTCATGGTTTGCCTTGTCACGGGTGAACGTGGTGTGACTGGCATAATGGCAGTAGTGGGATATTGGTATGGATATGAGTTGATGTGTAACTTCTGGGTGTCGTTTTAATTTTTCAGTTGGTTTACAAAACAGGGACTAATGAAAACAATGTACCTTTGTTGTATCTATTTAGCCTCATTGGAAACGTCTAGCAGAATCATTTGCGATAAAGTACAACCAACTTTCAGAGGACCACACCAATCTGATGAAGCTATTCCAGAACAAGGTTTCCAAGCTAGAGAAGAAGTGTAATGACCTTGAACAGGCATGTCAAACCCGAGAGAAGGCGCCACATAACAACTCCACTCAACAGGTGCATTTACAAATAACTTCATGTGAATCTTTCTTTACCAAAAAAAACTACATATCACATGAAATGGAACAATCTGATGTATTGCAAATTAGATTAGGTTTATGTTACACATCTTTCATTCAATTTTATTTTTTATTTTTTTATTTTTTATTGATCCTCTCTTCTAGTCTGTTACATGTCACTCCAGACTCCCATATGATCCAGCAACATTCCATATTACTTCAGATACACTTGACATTTTAAACTTCATGAATTCCAGCAGGTTATTTTCTTTAATTCTATCAAGTTTTCAGTTCAGGTTGGAAAGTATGGAAGATTTATGTCAATCAGCTTCAATTATTAAAAGCAATCCCCATTTTCAATCTTTTGCTCAAGTTCAGTCCTTGGTACTGATAAGTAAGAACATTTTGTGTAATGTATTTAAAGATTCCAAAAAGATGAGAAGAATTAAATATTTCTTAATGATTATACTTCCATCCTTCAAAGTTAAAGTTGAATGCATACATTTATATGATTTTGTCCCTATTGTTTTGTAATGTTCTTAAACTAGGATTTTGATGATTAACTAACTCCGTTCGCATTGATGTGTATATCATATGTATTGTAATTTGTAGGTTTATTTGCACTTTTTTGTTTTGTTTAATATGTAATTGTTTATCAGTCTATCTGTTTGTTATAGCGCTAAGAGACTTCCGTGGTAAGCGCTTTATAAGTAACATTTTTATTATTATTATTATTAGGATGGCATTCCAGGGGGACAGGGTGCTTCCGGGAGCAGTCTATCATCCCCAAGGATCAGCATGTACAGCTCAGTGATTGTACTACAGGTGCAGGGTCAGGATCCAATCAACATCAGAAGCAATGCAGATACAAACTTCAATACAGTCCAGGAGAACCTGTCACAAAATGGTATTCATATATCTTTAGGAGCCAATAACATTCCAAACACTATCGAGGAGCAGCTCAGTCTTCATTCACGAGCAGGAGGTCAAAGGTCACATTCCAAGTCAGCATCACCGTCGGCATCCTCGAGAATAATAGGGGATGCATCTGGTGAGAATGTGAGTAGGTATGATTTATCTCCTGAAAGAGTAGAGACTAGAACCAGAGACTCCAATCTGGCGTCAGGAGTGGGATCGGCTCTCCAGAATGACTTAGAAGTGCGGAAATCTGACCTGTCAGGACATGAAAACCAACCGTTGGACAAACATGGTTACCTGATAGATAATGGAATAGTGGCTGAGTGATGATGCTGCCCTTTCAGGGAGTGACCCTTCGGTATCTGCTAGAACTGATGGCCCAACCCCAAATGTCATTGGTGACATCGATGATGATAATTATAGCTCACATCACAAAAATCCAGCAACAATGTTGAGTGAATCTGCACTGGATGATGCAGGAGATCAGGAATCAGTTTCTCATGAACTTGAGAAAGTAACACCATGTAGAAGTGACTCTTCAACAGCAAATGGAATCATATGAGTAGAACAGGGTAGCAGCTAGTCTGCAGGTAGGACCCCGATCCTATCTAATGTTGCACTATGATCTTTATTCCATGGGAGTAGCTTTTAAAGGCAGGCTTTACTACTTCAGCTAGAAGGGATTAGACCACCCAGCGAGCCAGCGAGGTCACTGTGACAGGTGGCTATCTCATTAACTCAGCTCTCATTTAACATAAGAAAAAGAGGATCATGGGGGACCAACAGGCACCGATTGGGGAAGTTTTCTATATAGAGGGAGCAAGTAGCTACAAGTAGGACAGTGTGCCTTTAATGGCAACACATTATCGAGGGGAATTTAAGCTTCTTACACCAGAGTAGAAGCTGACAAATCAGGAAAAACATTATATGTGTCTACTGAAAGTTGTTTAGAATGAACTTTTCTCAATTTGTATGATGGAACAGAATTATTTTTTCGTGATATATACAAATATATATATATATATGTACCGGTATATATGATATATTTTTTTGACTTGCATGATATATTGCTACATAACCTCCAGCAAAAATATATCTGCTCCATAAAATATAGGGAACTTGTAGTACACAATGAAGTTCAAAATTAATGGACTAGAAAAAGGGTGGATCCTTATCTCTGTGATATACAAAGGTTCATGAATTCTTTTTGCATTGTCTAGTTTTGTCACTAAATCTTTTTTTCAGTTTCTGCTCTGTTAAACTTTGACCAGTTCATGGACAAAGCAACTCTATATTATCCTGAATATCGACTTTTCTGTTCTTATGTATTTGTACCCTTTGTTTTATTGAAAATTGATCTACAAAAAATGATCTACAGGAGACATAAAAATTCCAAAAGCCCCCTCTTTCAAAATTAGGTGAAAGCTACATGAATACTGGTAATTAAAAAACTTACCCAAATTCTGTGGAGGCCTACACCCCCACCTCTTAGACCTATAAAGGTACAGGTTGTTTTCCTAAATACCTGTCATCAGTGATTGAGTGTAGACATCCCTGTTGAATTTCATGCATTTATGTTTTTCCTCTATTTAATAATATGGATATTTATATAGCACCGGTATCCGCCAGGCTCTGACGCTCATTTACTCCTCTCTTTCTGTTTCCCTCCATCTCTCTCTCACTCTCTATCTCTCTCTGTCTCTTTTTTCTCTCTCTCTTCTCTCTCTCTCTCTCTCTCTCTCTCTAAAGTCTTGACCAGTCAGTCATGTCTCATTGTCTAAGCCCAACTTTCCCCTTTCCATTAACCTCCAATAAATACCTTTTTTTACAACTGTTTTACAACTCATCCAAAATGAAAGTGCCTTGTTCTCATGAAAAAGGGCAAAGGAATGATAATCAGATTTTCATTTCTTTGATATTAATCAGTACCATGGTCTTTCATATTACAAGTGAAGCCAGAAATATATATATATATATATATATACATGATGATGATGCGGATGTTTCTATGTTTTGGGATTACCTTTTTATTAAAATTGTTCAGAGTTTGTTCTGGATCGCTCATAATCTTACTCAAGGTCGCACTAGTTCCATTGGATCCATTAAACATAGTTAAGCCCACTCTCTGTATTGTTTCCATTATAAATCTAAGAAATCTTTTATCTTTCTATGGTCAAATTCCTGCAAAGTTTTGCTTCTATGATTCATGTTTGAAATGAGTTCCTTAGAAGTTAGCACTATTTGTTTTCAAAATTAATGTGTTTACTTCATAGTGAATTATTTAATTTTCACATGTATTTGGATTGCTGCAGCTCTGCCCAAGCTTAGCCCAACTGATCTTCCATACAGCAGTCACCGAATGTACAATCAAGCTTGCCTACAGTAAAGTCGGGTACAGCAGCAATAGCCAGTTGGTTTTTATGTTGTTTTTAAGTACCAAATAAAAATTTAAAAAATAAATTAATAAATTAAAAAAATGAAATAAAAAAAAGTCCGGTACAGCAGCAGGGCCATCCTAATCAATGGCAAAGTACAGCAGAGCTAAATAGCGCCCTCCATAGTTCTCAGTCGGAGACAGTAAAACAAGCCACTAATTTGGTTGAAACTTATCAATACATTGTGCTTTTTTGACATTTTAAAGTAGATTCCTGCCTTATTCCACAATAAGAAAAGGCTTTTAAATATCAGAGGCAGTTAGTCTATAAACTGTTCATTATCTTGCTTGCCAAATCGGGCAAGGAGGTTGGGGTATTTGTAATACATTTTTTACAACACCTTGCATTTTTATCATGTTGTTTATTTGGTAATGATACTGTGCACACTTGTAGTTCATGAGTTATTTACAGTACTATGTGCACACGATCTAAATTTTAAAAAACGAAAGAGAAACAGATATGAAGAAAGGACAGGGGAAAGATAACATCAAAAAAGATAGTACGACTTTCTTACCCTCCCTGCAACATGTAGGTATGTCTTGCCATGTAATATTTCTGTTCCCCCTCCTCCCTCGACCCCCATGTAATATTTCAGTTCTTCCTCCTCCCTCGACCCCCCCCCCCCCCCACCGACACCAGCAGGGCCCCGTTGCATAAAACTTTTAACGTAGCGTTAAGCCCCTAATTTAGCGGTAAGTCCAGAAACAGCGTTAAATTTAAAGTTAGCGTTAACTTTCCATTGCATAAAGAGTTAACGTAGTTTTTTAGCGGTAAGCACTTCAGAAACAGCGGTAACTTTACTACAGCTATGAAGGTAGCGTTAACTACCATCAATCAATTACGGTAAGCTTTCATTCCAAGATGGCAGCCATACTACATGCTATACAGCACGCCGCTGCTCTAAGAAGAGAGAGGGTATTTCGGGACCGGAGGCATCCCTTAGACCTATACGACGACGAACAAATGTTCAAGTTGTATAGGTTTAGCAGGCAGGGATGCCTCCACCTCATTAACAGACTATCCAGAAGGATCCAACATAGAACCCAGAGAAACCACGCATTACCACCAAGCTTGCAAGTTTTCGTCGCTCTTCGTTTTTTCGCCACCGGCTCTGTGATGGACTGTACTAGCTGCATCCATGGCATCCACATCTCCACTACATCAAGAACGGTACGGAGAGTCGCTCTAGCCCTCGGCGAGCTCCGGGACGAGGTATTTATTCATTTTGTTAATGTTTTTATGGCATGAATATGATCCAATCTTAGACTTTAAATCCTGAATTAATTATGTGAATGTGATCATTTCACTTTTCATGGTTGAATTGGCAAGAAAGTCACACATTTTTACCAATATTCATTCCTTAAAATATATACCCAGTACAGTGTTCATGAGGCAAAACCCCATTTCGGTAGATATATGCCTTAATTCGAGATCTTTTATCCATAAATGAACTTTTTAAATAAGTTCTTTCAAGTCTCGATTTACAAAAAAAAATAGCCCTGTCGTTGCTATGGCGTCCGTCTACCGTCTGCAGCTAGCCCAGCACCCGCAGAGCGATAGCCGACTGGCGTATCGGCTGTGATGGCACCGCAATTTCCCCCATTAACTCTTGGAAGGATCATAATTTTCTCAACCTTATACCAAAAAATATTTAGATGACTAATCTAGATCAATTAAATGGCTTACGGATATATATCAGGGTTACATCACTGTCAGCATACTTTTCATCAAATCATGATTATTTTTCAACAACTCATGATTTTTTTTCATCACTTCAAGCTTCTCTTGCTCAACTTGCAGGAGACGCTCTTGGTACTCTTCGTACGACACCCCGTTAGACTTTTTCACTGTTTTTTTTCCACCAAATTTTGTCTTCATCTTCCCCCTTCTGGGCTCCCTCTCCTCAACCATCTCTACCTCATCCCCCTCCACCTCCTCCTCCACCGCTCCTGCCTCCTCCCCCATGCTCTGCAGAAGCTCCACGGCCCCTGCATTTTGAGACAACTGTGAAGAAGAAATGAAAACAAAGCCAAAACTAAATTGTAAATACTATTCCTTTTTTTTTGGTCAAAAATTTGAAATGGAAATTGCATGGTTAGGTGTTTTGCTTATTTTCAAGAAATTCAGAGCAGTTGCTCTTTTTATATTAATTAACAAAAAATATGTATGACAATTATACATGGAGTAAAATTGTGAAATAAACAATATAACAAATACAGGAAATATTTGATCAAATTACCTTTTCGAAGAAAAAATAAAATTACATTGATAAATTGTAAATTCCGATACACCCTCTACATTTATGTGAGGGTTTTTATGACTCTCCTGTAATAATCAATGTTTACCGGCAGTGTTGAAGCTCCAGTCTCGCTGGACTGAGGCAAGATCCCCTCCTTGACTTGTCTTGTCATGGCACTCAGCACCATCTCATGCCTTGGATTGAAGTCGAACGCTCCTCCCCCTGGAGATTGAGAAGACAAAACAAGAAAAGAAGAAATAGATAACACATTATAGAACTTCTCAAAGATATATAAAATGTTTTTTTTTTTTTTTAAGAATTAAAGGCCCACTGCACTACTTGTAGCTACTTGCGCCCTCTATATAACAAACAATGCCTAATCGGTGATCATTGGTCCCCCATGATCCTCTTTTTCTTATGTTAACTGAGAGCTGAATTGATGAGATAACCACCTGTCCAGTGACCTTGCAGGGCGATATAATCCCTCCTGTAAACTATGGCAGATAAGCTTTAAATAAGAAAAATATTGAGAATCATTCAATGACTGTCAATACATTCTTACATATGTATTTAATTTAAACCAAAACAATTACACTGACCTTTAATTAGACTACAGTAGGCATCACAGTGATGATGGCAATTTTAGTGTGATATGTATTTGACATGAAAGATTTGCAGAGTTGCATTGTTGTCAAGATAGACACCTTACCCTGAGCAATGAAAAGATTGCTTAATAAAAAGCACATATTTACTTGGCCTTTAAAAAAATTCTGTTTGAGCTGTGTAATAAATTTCTATGCAAAACTCAAAGACAGATAACAACAAAATAATTGTAAAGTGGCACAGATTTTATTTCACATCGTAATTTTTTTTTTAAAGCAAAAAGACTCACTCGTCTTATTGCGGCTGTCTCTATATTTTTTGGCCTTTGACCTGAGGTCGTTCCACAACAACCTCAAGTCCTTGCCCGACCGGTTGGGGCAACCTATGGCCGCCATGGTGATGGCTGCCTCCTCCCACGCCCTTTTCTTCCTCTCCTGCACCTAAATAAAAATAAAGATTGGAGGTAATATTATAGTTTCAGGAACAAGAATGCAATAGCACTCATGCAGATGCACATTTTATGTCATTAAAGTTCTAATCCTTGCAAAAATACGTTTAGACCCTACTAAATGTGAAAAAGAATCATCCCGTAATACTACAAACATTACAAATATTAAATACAATTAAAAGCATCAGTTATATTTGTTTCAGTTTCAAAATGCCCCTTCTATATTTTGCAGTGATTGGTCTCTTCACGCCCCAAATCTGAAGGGGAGGGTCTCACCTCAAAATAAAGTCATTGATTTAGGAGGGAACGTAAGTACCATTATTAGCACGTAAAATTTTATCATATAAATTCATAAGTCTTACCCGTTCGCTGCAGTTTCCTGCCTTGCCGAATAGGATGGCACATTTTCCCTGGACAAACCTGCATAGATGCTCGATTTGGCAATCGCTGTAGTTTCCTCTCCTCTTTGTTTCTGCAAAGACCAAAGTTACATTAACCTTCAAGTGTTATTCATTCGTTCATTGTTAAGAAATCATTTTTTTTATAAATTTGTTGCTCAACATGGGGGGGGGGGGGTATAGAGCATCATATTTTTTTAAAAATTAACACCCCCCCCCCCTCCTCGTGAGCAAAATTTATTAAATATTAAAACAAAAAAAAATATTGTTGGGGGGGGGGGGGGTTCACGCAAACCCCTGAACCTCTATTTTGACAGAGGTGCAATTACATTATATACGCAACAATATAATCTAGAAGGGTAGACCAAGATCTATAGTGCCCAATGTCTGTCACAACTGACACAACACACACACTAGCAGGCCTAGCTCATTTGTAGCTGTTGTTAAAAGCTATGGAAAGCACTCGAGTCTTGAACTAAACTAAAGTAAGTAAAGCAGCATAATATTCAGCTTTTAGTTTTGGGTCTAACTCAACTTGCCCACATCACTAATTCAATTTAACAACACAGACAGAGTCAGCTTGAATTCGGTTATCATTCTTCTTAGTCTGTCATTCAATGTCAATGACTCATCAAGTTGAAAACCAACTTTAAACCACTTAAACCAGCACCTTAGGCTTAAGTTGGTGGCCGCACACGACGACACACCTCCAGTTTAAACACCTTTACGGCGTCTTTTGGAGGAATCCTACCAAGTACCAAGTACCTGCATGGATAGGACTAAGTCAGTGAGCTGAGACTGAGTGAGTGGTTCATTAATAAAATAATAAAATTGCAACTTGAAATCAACTGCTGAACTTAGGTCTAGAAACAGAAAAATAATCAAGGGAAATATATCGAACTGTGACTCTGCATCGTAAGGAGCATTATTAGTCGTTTGAAATACCATGGATGATGTATTTCGATGTTTAAATTAATTAATAGCAGACCAGCTTCGCGGACGTATACAACAAGCAATGTACGATACGCACACACACACAGATACCGTTGAATCGCCCCCAGAGCTCCGGGGGAGATTCGCGGGGCCATCCCGTTCGGCACAGCTGCATCAACACACCACACAATTCATCACCGACACCGTAACAAAAACCGTCATTAATATTATATTCGATGAAATTTGAAGAGATTCGCACTATTTACGAAGTCAACATGACTAACAACAATTCATTTTCATTTCTGAAGTACTGCAGTTTACAAAAGTGGATCGATAAATTATAAAGGCGTAAACTTACGTTAGTTGGGGACGCCATTGCACCACACTGAACTTCGGTTTCTCAGAACAGTAGCAGACGGTCGACAAAAAATAAACATCCCGCTCGCCGATCTGCGCATGCGCCTGCTTGTTTCGATCGATTCAATGACGTTGCTATTATAGTAGCTTACTACTCTTTTTATGCAATGGAAAATGCCAATTATAGTAGCTTACCATTAATTCGCCAGCCAATTATGGTAGCTACTATAGTTTCAATTATGGTAAGAAAAAGTTTTATGCAACGGGGCCCTGCTCCCCCTCATTACCTGGGTCCATGATATGTCACTTTATATTCCCAATTTTTACGTTTTCACATTTAAAAAATCAACATGGAATTACTGTATTCATCGTATTGTATTGTATATGTATTTTTTGTATTGCTTGTTTTAATACAAATAATGGTCCATATATTGGAATTTATAGAATATGATTTGTTTTGTATACAGAATGACGATTTATTGTACGTTTCTTCATAAAATTTGTGGTATTGTATTATAGGGGAAATTATGTAATGAAAGAAATATCTTGTGAATATTTTTGTAATGAATTTTGATTAAAATATTATACACATCTTACTCAATTTAAAATGTATTAATTGTTGTTATTAAAGTTAGATGTAGGGTAGCATTGAATGGGTCGAGCGCTCAAGCGTGTGCACAACCATGTTTTTGCTTGCTCTCTGAAACAACTCGTGTTTGCTTGTTATTCAAGGATGAGTCGGAGTGGGAGGCAAGGGGGCGACTGTATGCAGTTTGTTCTCGTTTCTCCTCCCATATCCCTCTCTGGCCCTCTCTGCCCCCCTCCCCCTCATTATCCCCTCGCCGACGAAGTCGGAGGGGATATAGTTCTCTTTCTATCTCTCTATCCCCTCTATCTCTCTCTTTCTCTTTATTTTTTCGTTCTTCGTATCTCTCCCTCTCTCTTTCTCTTTATTATTTGGCTCTTCCTATCTCTCTCTCTTTCTCCTGAAGTTGGATCGTGCTCCTGGTGTGTTTGGTGGTGTGTAGAGTTTGCCGAGTGTCAATAATGTGATAAATCATAATTATAGTCAACCAAACTGAAGAACTAATAGGAAATTCAGAAAATTAATGACGTTGATGTCAATATAACTCGGTAAGTTAATGTTGTAATCGTTAAAAGGCGAGTAAATAATTACACAATATTGAATGGCCGTGAGTGGGATACAAGGTTGCATATCGCACGAGCTGATGAGCATATTTCAAGAGTCGGCACGAGTGAAAAATTCTCAAAGCGAATGCAATATACCATTGTGTCCCTCAAAAGAAAAGCCATTCAACATTATTATAATTAATTTTATGATAACTATAATTATCTCAGTTGTCACAATTATATATTTTCTATTTTTGTATCGTCTTCCACATTATTTTGCACAAAAAAAGAAATGCCGAATTTTCGGGCTGGCTCGAAACATTTTATACAAATGATTATATATTTACTTATTCGATATAGTGTTGATATTGTACCAGGAATTGTCGAACAAAACACAATATGCATACTGCATACTCTTATTATTTGGGATAAAGTTCTTTATTGCTCATTTTTTGACACGAATCTTTAGAATCAAAATATAAATTGAATAAGATGAAATATACACACAGTTTCATGTACATGCATGCATTTGGGAATATACAACGTATAACACATGCATATACATAATTATACACATAATCTATATAATACAAACTTTTCAATGCATGAAAAGAATTCACGATCGAATATAAAGCACAAACCGCTGAAATGACCACAACCACATTGTATTTTACTTGTGGTATTATTTAATCATGATTTATTTCCTTACTAGAAGAGGTTGTTGAAGTAGTTATTTAGTTTTAAAAGGGATTGAAATTTAGTTTTGATTCTCAGAATTGAATTTGAACGTAATTGTTTTTCAAAGGGATGCTTAAAACGTTCAGGAATACCATCCATTTTGTCACAGTGACTTATGGCTTCTGGTCCTACCTGATGGACTTCCGAAAAGGTTTTTTTTTTTCCTTACCTGTAATCAAATTATATACGGCCACTGATATCAATATAGGGGTTGTGATACATTCACAATTATTATATCCTGGAGAAGAAAAAATCATAAAACTCTTGTTCTTATGACAAAGTCCCCTTAGTTTCAGAACGAATACGAATTAAGCCACTACTTGACTTTAATGCTTACGTCATGACTGATGTGAATTAATTTTATATATTGATTGCATAGGTATGGCTTACTTAATTATAGAAAGTGTGGACTAGCATCAATAAAGAATTATCTTTCAAGTAAATCCTGATTATTTTTGTTGAGGAGGGAGTTTCCCGTTATTCAATTTATTATTTGGTATAGTTTTCTTGTACATGAAAATGCTATTGATACATCAGTTGAAATAAAAACGTAACTTATTCAATTATTTCATTTTTACATGCACTTCAGAGATAAACAAAAACAGGTGGAATTGTGTTACATTGATGTTTTGTGTCGACCTTAATATCTAGATTTTCTCAGTTTCTTATTCGTTTCATTTCCGAACAAAAATATCAAATAACAATACTGGGGCTGGCTGAAAAATGGACGGAGCAGGAGAAACCGAAATAATTTTATTTGGCCTAATAGTTTGAGAAAATTATCGATTATAATTTCATTTCAGTATTTAATTAGTTCCATGTATGCTTTTACTTATTAGGAGATTCTGATTTTACTTTTTGACTAAACCTTGCTCAATATAATACTATCACAGATGGCTTCGTTTATGGGGGCTTTGTGAATGATTCATCCAATATATTTATCTCATAACTCATCCCATCCAACATGATATTGAGGCCATTTTTATAGGAAATGATATATCAAAGCTATCGCTAAAATAAACATAGCTTACGAGAGACCAATATGATTGCGGTTTTCGTATGGCGATTGAAAAGGGAATGACTACTCGTGATTTTTAGGAGAGAGCTATATCCATGGAAACGCCCTTGGGGATATTCATGCATTTACATTTATTGATTGAATTACAGTAGCTGTCATTTTGTGCTTCGAATGGAAGATAAAAACTCATGAACTATGCGCAGTATGATGTATAGATAGAAACAAACTGCGCATGTTTTCCCTCTTTCTATAGTCATCAAAACAAACAGAATGTAGACCGAGATCAGTATTTTTCTTTATATAGTAACAATCTGTTGTTGGCGTACTCCAATATGATAAAACATAATGGCACTGGCAGCATTTGGTATGTAAGATACAAATGTACAAGATGCTCTGAAATTCTGATCTAATATTAAGATCGGAAATTAGTTCAATATATACAATGTACATGATATACAAGTAAAGCAAAAATATTTTTAGGAATGACAGCATCATTTTAGAAAACGTACAATATGAGCTTCGTTGGAGGCGTGCATCCCATCACTGCACACGCAAACAAAAACAAATTATCACCTTCTTGTACAGTGTATTGAATTCATTAATAAACAATGATGAAAATAAATTCAAACAAGTCTTCCTAAATCATAAGCATGATATTACCATTGCAAAGAGTATCGAACAGTCAACCCATGTCAATTTCGATAGCCCTTTCCATCATCTATTGAAATGTTCAACATTAAAATGTCGTAAATCGTAATCTGGTCATGATATCCATGGGATATACAATACGGTATTGCTCTTGTCTGAGTGGATTTCTCGAAAGTCTTAGCGATCACGGTTATTGCCATTAACATGAATTACCAATTAAATATACCATTTTCTTTATTTATTTCGTTCAGAATACGGTAAATGGTAAAACTGTACATAATCATCTCCAAGTTTAATTGTTCTGCGGAAGAAGTATTTTTGTGTGTATTATTTTACTACCTTTGAAAGGAGTAAGGTCAGTTTGCGTCATATGCTAATGCTGAAGCGAATTAGTGCGGGGATTAGTGCCCTTCCGTAGCTTAAACCACTCTGTAATTAAAAGTAGCCATCGATCATCTCAACGAAACTTCATGTTTTAAGCATCTGCTTAATTTGACAACAAACATTCTCAAAATAACATCACCGAAACTTGAGCTTCAGAAGGTATTGAAGGACTCATTCACAGGCTTTCAATGGCTAGTATCGGTACCACTATAGAACAACTACGTGTGCAGTTTCTATTTCGATTGTTTGAATGGCTTCCGGGGAATTTTTTTTACCATATCTTAATACTTATATCCTATTCAGGCTCTTTAGCCACCGGTGTCTAAGTGTTGGTGATCAAGCGAGGTGACAAAATAGGCGCGTCTTCATCATCTCGAGATATGAGACTCTGGTCGATTTCTCGTCTTTACTGCTTAATATCTAACACAATCGCACAGACTTTCACGAAATCAGCTAAATATTCAAATTACATTGTGTTGCCTTTAGAACGCTTGTTCGCATTATGATTATAACACGACATTGTCATGTGCACAATGCAATAGAAGACGTACTATAAGGAAGGCTATTGAAATGGCTTTAGTTTGATTCAGTGAAAGTCTTTGCGTTCGTTTTTGCTTCTCTTTAAATCTAATACAGTAAACAAAAAAATGGCGATTCCTGTCCTTTTGTTACCCCCCCCCCCCCCCCATGTATAAATGTTTACGTTCATATAATGGTAACATTTTAATGAGCATTTGATAAGTCTCTTAAATTTGCATTAACTAAATCCGCATTGCGATTTCTGGTATGGCACATTTTCTCAAGAGGGGGAAGGGGTGGGGGCTGATGACCCGAAACCGGATTATTATTATTATTATTATTATCTTGTTTCAAATTCTGCTACCGATTTAGGAAAAAAGAGAGACACTCTATTATGATAACATTGTAAAATGTTTCTTCGTTATCTAAATACACAAGATCAAGATAAAAAATTTCGGACACCGTCCTGCCTGAAATTGAGGTGATGGTTGCCTTTAAAAAGCGTCAGGCGCCTCGTACGCCTACACATGGATCCCCCTTATGGCCATGTCTAGCTAAACAAAACTCATAATTACAAACATCAATATTTGGATCGTTCGTCAACTTCATTCATAACTATTTACAATAAAAACAATTGATCACTAGTCCGTCCATGTGATCACACTTGTCACAGCCATATTTCTTGAGTTCGGTTTCCAATCAAATTATTCCAAAGTCCTAGTCCCACTCTTGTTAGAGATCATCAAAACTCTCTAACAAATCTTTTAATTGATCTACAGCTGATTTTTCGACACCTTTCTCGGTTAATGCAACTTCTAAACTATCTTCATCGTTTTGTCCGGTAACGTTTTCGTATTCGCTTTCATCGCCATTATCGGCTATATCGTCGTCGTCGTCGTCATCTTCGCTGTCTTCGAGGAGGATCTTCTGTAGATTGATCATGGCTGATGATTTAATCAACCCTGATGAATGATACTCTTCGTTATCTTCGAGTCGTCCCTCTCCCTCCATTTCATCGTTCTCCTGCTCCTCTTCATTCTCGAGTTCATCCTCACTTTCATTTTCACGAGGAGGAACATCGTAAATATCCTCGTCGATGCGCGGAGGTTCGTCGTAAATCTGCTCGTCCTCGAACACGCGTTGTTTCTTCGATCGACTTAACCCGGATGATGCCGGCGCTGGTACGGGTGGAGGCGTTAACGGCACGCTCTCGACGTCGCCATCAGACGACGCCGTATTCGCGCTCGACGTCGAGTCCAAATTACGGACTTCGTGTGATCCCTGTCCGCTGTCATCGCTTGCCCGACTCTTGCCGCTGTTACTCATACCACCGCCGTCGACCTTGTCTCCGTGCAGGGCGACGTATTGCACAGTTTGTGGGCTCTTCGTCGTCGACGAGGATTTTGATTTATTGGATTCGAACACGTCATCGTGTTCGACGTCCATGGGCCCGATGGGGATACCTTGATAGTCGGGTGTTTCGCCGAGGTCGCACTCCACACCAGATGATTTTCGCTGCTGGCCGGGTCGGATGTTATCTTGCATGTACTTCTTTATATGAGAAAGCTTTCTCGCACCGGTACTGCTTCTGTAAATCAAACAAAATAATGTTGTCACTTTCTTATTTATTACATCATTCAACACTCAAATGAAAGTGAAGAGAAAAACACAGGACCCTGTTTCTTAAAACTTGCTCAATAACAAGTTATAGTAGTTGTTATAAGCTATACTGAAATCGCTGTATTTGATTGATTGTAAACGAATGTACTTTGATTCAGCTGAATATCATATTTTTCGAAATAAATATTCAATTCAATTGTACTATTCATTTCAAGTAAATTCAAAAAACATATTTTTAAATAGACAGTCACATAAATCATAATTTAACAAGAAAATGATATACATTTTAAATAAATGCCCTGGACTTTAAAACAAAAATTAAAAAAATGGGTCAACTTAAATAAAAGCTATAGGGCCTTGTATGAGGCAAGTCCTGTAACACTATAATTTATATAAGGATAGATAAATATTAAGGAAAAGAAGATCAAAACAATTTACATGCATACACCAAACCAATGTATTTTATTTTCACTTGAAATAAAACGATTGAATCGAATTGTATTGACAAAAATATTTATTCGTATACCTTTTTGCTTCTATTTCTCACACAAATATTAAAGATCTGCTGACAACTGTATAAATTATTCTTTGAAGCTACTAAAATGTATTTATACATTCACATACCAAATAATGTAATATTTGTAATAAATAATAAAAAAAGACATTTGTAATGCGCAACATATCCACCCAAAGGCTGCTCAAGGCGCACAGTGAGCTAGATGTAAACTATACTTAGATACAAATATGCTTCAGTACATTATACATTGTGAAAAAAATGTGTTATTAGTTAAAGTTGGCCATTAGAGTTTTCAGACTGGCCTTGAAATGGTCTACTGATTAACAATCCTTTAGTGTGTTTGGGAAACTGAATACAGAGTTAAATGTAATGCTTTTGACAAAGTAATCTCTACATGAGTACGATAATTCTCAGCAATTCACTCTTTTGACTGCTAATGTAAATGTTTCTCTTTGGAATTGTTGCTTTTACTAAAAAATATCAAAATATCAAAAGACACTTACTCATGCTAAAATGCTTTTTCAAATCTTAAGCTGTAAAATTACATTTATTTGCTGTAATCCTTCGGTGAAAACTTTACATTATTGTGAGGGTATGTACATATTTATAAACAAAATCCCGTGTATAATATATGAATAAGTAATGTGTGTTGTAATGTAGCGTTTTGTTGAGTTGATTAAATTTAACTCTGTATTAATTTTATTTAAGATGGGCTACTTTATAGACAAAATATGATATAATTAAATTTGAGGGTCACTTCCTTTCTGGCTGCTACCTACAAACGTACTTGTTATACTCTCCATGCTTTTTGAAGCGACGCAAGCATGATGAGTGTAACAAGTATGTCGCGTCGCGACGTAGCCTAATATGTATGGTGTTTTTTAAATTGTTTTGATGGAATACAATTGAATTGAAATGACGTTGCCTTTCAAGGTGATATACAACAACAAAAATAGAATCAAGAAATTTCACGTTTGAAACAATGCATCACATCCATCCATCCTATTAAACAAAATGGAAAGAGACATCAGAAAGTTGTTATATGAAAGTCTCCCATTGATCGTACAGAGATGTGAAACTGTTGGCCACACGCACGTGACTAATACATGATTCATTTTGATTAGTTTTGAGGATGTCAAAGTGGACACCGTCACAACCACTAGAGTTTAAAACCTAATCCTTTGCCAACAGGTGCCATATTGGATCAGACAGTCCTAGTCACAAGGCAACAGAAACTCCGTCTTCATCTGTGGTCCACCGCCAAGTCGCCCCTTTGAGGGCGTCACTAGAATATTTTGAACGAGGAGGTAGGGGTTGTTGAATGAATGTGTGGGAGGCTTTACCGACGGAAGACATTAATTGTGAAAAACGAGGTTAAATGTGTCATTATCATTAACACACTGATAAGTCGAAAATACATCTTGCGGTAAAGGAGGTACCCACGATCCTCTATGCATGTACCATACAGTAAAAGTACGGTTCGACAATTTGGCAAAATAAGTTTGTGGTTAGTGAGTTATCTATGTAGCCCCCCCCAAAAAAAAAAAAAAAAAAAAAAGCACACGCATAAGGAGTTTGATGGATTTGCCAAGCGGCATTGTTTAAAGGGGCATTACTCTCTGATCATCCATTCAATTAACAGATGAGGATCGAATGAATTTGCCGATACATCACGAAAGGGGGTGTTACCCCCGAAGCCCCCAAACATCATCCTAAACTCAAACACTTTATTGTAGAGGTTTTGTAGAGTGGATTTGCCCAAATACATTTCTGTAAAAGGGTTATTACATCTGACCCCCTCCCCATTGTAAAGAGGATCCGATGTATTTGCCAATAGACAGTTCGAGTAAGGGTGCCCCCTCCCTCTGACCCACTGTATACTCACTATACTGTCGCTACGCCTCGCGTGGCCTCTTAACAGGCATTCATGACTGTTATCAAAACATCGCATTGATTGTAATGAACTCATAAGATACAATGATACACCCCTTTCGGATATAAATCCAGCCCCCTGGAAGTGGGGAATTGATACATAAGCCATCCCAATTGAACGACAGCTGAGCCATAATGATTCAAGCAGGCTAGCAATCATATTCAATACGTTGATTATTAGGTGATAAAGTGTACTTCATCGAACATTTCCCGCCAAACTCCCAAATATGTGTTCATGTCAATCTATTCTCTTTTGTTGTTTCGTGATAATTATTTCGGATAGGTTCCTAACACATGACTCAACAGTCATCCATATGTTTACTTTGTATAGAAAGGAGAATAGGGTGACTCCTCATTAAGACGCATTGCGTCTGATATAGCGCATGTGATGGAATTATTCAGTCTTGTTGGAATAAAATGAAATAAAATGAAATGAAATGAAATGAAATGAAATAATATCTGGCGCTTTTGATTTTCTTTTTAATTCTTTCACTCACCCGTAACAGGTGTATTTCCAAAATATTTCATACATTTTCTGTTTACAGAAACATGTTAATGGCAAGTATAGCAATTTTGCTTCTCTTCCTAAATCCTAGGGCATAGACCTATTGATTTATTGCTACACGTACTTTTAATTCTCAAAGAATAACAAAAACAAACCACAAGATTTTGTTCCTTTCAGATATTCTTTTTTCCGTTCCCTAAATTATCAAAAGGCATGTGTTTGACATGATATATAAAAAGTACTGAGTTTACATTTAAAAAATAAATCCTTTTGGGGATATAGAGAGTTATGGAGTTAGATCGTTAGATTTGGTATTGTAAGAGACTGGTTAAAACAACTCTCCTCAGCTTTTACAGGATATAGCTCATGTCTTAGTCTTAAAAAATGATTACCTTCTGTCTTTGCCATTTGAATATTTGGATGTGACGTCAGACTTCTGTCGGTTGAAACTTCGGAGTTTCATGGCATTATGGAAGGCTTTCACCCACTGGTCCTGTTCGTATGCACTGTCAGTTAACTGGAAAATAAATCAAGATAAGAACCTTTGATGAAATATATGATGATTTTGTTATCCAAAATATTTAGATAGCCCTTTCAAAAGGACAAAAAGTTATACAAGGAGAATAGGAAGAAGAAATCATGTCACATTCAAATATCAAATTTAAAGAATACAAGATGCGTTTTAGAAGATGTTTTAAAACTTTGATTTGTAATTGCGTATAACAAAGATGGTGTGACGTTATTGACAATGTCTTATCCACAGTTTTGAGGAGGTCTCAACACATAGTGTTAATTTAAGCCTTATACATTACTGATAATTCCTTTGAAAATCATGAAATTAATATGTGCATTATTCTTAAACAATACAAGACAGAAAGATCATAGATGTTTAAACAAAGTATGTTGATAAATCAACCTTTGATTGAATAGATGATCTTGTAGTCTCGTAGGGAAATGCACTTGCCGTATTCAGAGACAAATTACCCCCCCCCCCTCATCGTAGAGCGGTGGCCCCCTAATCATTATATTTTTCCTAATGCAAATGTATAATTACATCGAAATGCTTAATGTGGCCCACTATCACATTTCCCATTCTTCCTTTCTGTTCAATAATTCACAGCTAATTTCAAGTATTGGAAGCTACTGATCCTCATCCCGACCCCCCCCCCTACTGAAACAAAAATCGACGCCCACAACCTTAATGATAGTACTTCCTCTTTGTGCGCTCTTTCTTTGACTTTTATATAATCGTTAAGATCCTATTCTTGAAATACTCACGAATATTAGTGTCTTCTGCAAGGTGATGACCTCGAAGGGGTAATACTTGTAATTTTTGGTGTTCTGTTTCTTCACCGTCTGCACATCCACGAGCGGGAGCACATCCAGACATTCCTGCTGCCATGGCAACCAGAAAATATTAGAAATGAATAAACAAAGGACTGCATGTTGCTATCTCCATGTAACAGTTTCTCATGACTAATAGGGTACAACGGAACAATGGGGACGATGAGGGGAGATTGGGAAATTGAAAACAGGGTCTTGCTTGGCCGCATCCTGCATCATGCTGATCTGGGATTGGATTAAAAAGCTTGTCAGATAAAAGGTTTAGTGCCAAATCTCTTCTTGAGTGCCTCGAGCATAAAATGACCAGTGAAATCGTGAATTATGGGAAATGGATTTAAATCATGCGCTTTATATGATCAGCATGATAGACAATGGGGATGGGTTTTCATGAATAACGCCGTCGAGCAGTAGCGTACGGGGGGGGGGGGGGTGTTAAAATTTGTAGTTTCAAGTTTCAAGTTTTTGAGGGAAAATTTCGCAACGACTCAGCCAGCCGATGAAAAAGGGGGGGGGGGGGGCTGGGGGGATAAGGGCATCTTTTTTTGTCCCTTCAGCACCAAAAAAAATGAGGGAGGGGGTGATCCTCCGAAACCCACACATAAACAAAATTGAGGGGGGGGGGCGGGCGTTAAACCGTCGAGTCTTCTACCTCCTTGACTAGACAGAATAAAAAATGTTTTAGTAATGTACCCTGAATGGTCAACGCAGTAGTCGGTTTGGCGATGTGACGGATGTATAATGTACGAATTTAAAGTACTTTGTATGATTAAAAGTCGATTCCCGAAACACTTTACATTTATCATGTTAATGAAATAGGAAATTGCACGATTATTATTATATATTGTATTACCTTGCCTGTTTATATACAATTTCGATAAAGCTGCCACTTTTCTATACTCAAGATAGACTATAATCAATATTCAAATAAGTGTTTGGAATTTGACATTCATTTCATTTTCATTTCATTTCCTTTTTTTATTGTGTCCGTTTAGGATAATTGTTTATATGCACATGAACAATCTTGCTTCAACATATGAACATATAGGAGCAACATATAATTGACATTCATATAGGGCCCTGTTTTAGTATACATTTGATATAATATACATGGTCATGATGAATATACATTTAAATACTCTTTCTTCTTCTTCTTCTTCTTCTGATGCGTGTATAGGCAAAACATGCACTATCCACGTTTTGTACAAACCATTTCTTACTGAGTTGAATCACATCTTCAACACAGATTTTAAACTTGCAACACGGATAAATCATTCTTTAGTCAATTTGATGTCGACGTTGGTTTTATGTGAAATTTTTTTGATGAGAGAGATACGGAGAGCGGAATATGATCGTATCGTTGCGACAAAACTTATCGCTATATATCCTTTTTTTCAAATCACGTTTCCGTTCTGGTTGGATCCGTACGGATAAAGTGATTTATAGGGAGGATGAATTATAGAAGGGGGATTGATAGAGATCAATTTGGAATAACTCGGGTAAACCCCTACTAATATTTGTGACAATTCTCAGCGTTTTCGATCCATTTAGTGATGAATAATTGACGTTGGCGGAAAAGTATCTATGGCAACCATAAATGATAGGCAAGGTTATTCAGATGAAACGGAAACTATGGTCACTCCTAACTCATGTAAGTATATAAATAGGACATAATTTTATATTCGATTTTTCCGCCATCGTTTTCAAAAGACGTTTTAACCTTCGTTCTGTTATTTCTGTTTTGCGCGCGTTTCTTTCTATACCCATTTTTGAACATCGTACATTTTCCATCCTTCGCCCATCTTAATTTGGTTTAAATTGTTTCTCAAACTTTCCCTGCATTTTTAAAAAAACCTATTACCATTTACAGAGTCTTTAAGAATCGAGCATAAAATTTCACCTTTGCTTCATCATGTTTTACTCATGTTTTTGTTTAGTCTTTGATCAAACTTAAAGTAAGCAAATTGACCATGATCAACAACAGATTTTTTGATAACTTTTATGTAATGGAGCTCTCACACTCTGCCGTGTAGGCCTACCGTCCACCTGCCGGGCTATTAAAAAAACAACAGAGTCCAGAACGTTGGGTTTTGAGCGAACTTGTCCCCGGCCGCAAAAAAAAAAATCATAAAATTAATCTTTTCACCGTTTCGTTGCCATCTTCTGACCGTTCTCACCGGGCGCATACCGGGTGTTGAACGTGCTTCTACCGTCTTCACCGCCCAGATTGACTTTTGTTGAAAATTTTGGCCGTTTCCATACCGGGCCCATACCGGGTCTCGAACGTGTGCACCGGGTTTGTAGCAGCCACCTACCAGTCACTTGGCGTCCCCTCACCGCTCGGAGCGTCCTGTGAGCGAGTCCCCGGACTGCTGACGTCATGACACGACTGCCATAAATACCCCGATTTGAACGGCAACGGTCAGTCCGCTCTCCATTTTTCATCACCGTTCTGTAACGGGTTATGAGCGTGTTGTGAACGTGTTCATACAGTGTGACCGTTTTCATAACGTATTCATACCGTCCTCATACCGTTCAACACCGTCCTCTTGCCGCTTACTTGCGGCCGATGCCAGCCGGCCAAAGTTTTGAACATGCCCAAAACTTTCGCCGGGTCCCACCGGGTGTAAATAAGCGCCAACGCCCTATTAACGTGTTGCCCGCTTTGATAACGAACCACCGTGTGCCCTCGCCGTTCTCCACCGTCCGCAGACATTTTCGCGCACGGTGGCACACGGTAGGCCTACACGGCAGAGTGTGAGAGTCACTTAAAGCGCTGCAGTTAGTTTGTAAGAGCGCTATAAAAATGACTTTATTGTATTGTATTGTATTGTATGATATAAGTATGATTCACCTTTGTTTTGGGATTAATTTTCTCCATATTTTAATCTTAAAACGAAATTACATTTAATGCCTGTTATGTTATCTCCTTCTAACTGAAACTGAAACTCATCGGTCTCTCTCTATCTCTGTCTATTCTATTTATATTCATAACACATGGCCTAAGATAAAGAACCTGATAATATAAGAATTTAACAAACAGAAGGATAGAATATCAACCGTAAGCATGATACGCATATACCTTTACTTCCTTAAAGATATTCCTCGACGAGAAATGTCGAATATCACAATACAAGTAAGGCCTAAAATAATACCTGACCATATTTTAATCTACAGCTCCGGAAATGTATCTCGATGAAACCTAAGATCCATTACATTGAATTGTTCATCGCAATCCAACAATGATAGTTATTATAATCATTCAAGGAAATGCGTGTAGCGTGTTCTGAGGTACATGAGGTGATGAAAATGAACATTTTGACACCTTTGAGGCTTGGAAGTTGAAGTATCAATGTTATTGTGTTTCACATTTGCCAATCAAGGATTAATTTTCAACAATTATTAAAAAGTTGTAAGATTGACAAAAGAAAGAGGGGAAAGACATCTTAGGGGAACATCGAGGCTTTCAAGGTTGTCAAAAATAGCAAAAGAACAATAAATATTATAAACAAACCAAAGAACAAGTTAATTAAATGCTTTTAAGCAGGCATTGACAGAATAGATATGTTTTAAATGGGTTTTTTTTTTATAAAGGTAAATAGCTAGTGAATCAGCATCCTTCATGAAATTAGGGAGGCTTTTGGAGCTCATATGGCTATGGATTTAATGCCCGCTTATCAGCATTAGTTCTATATGGAGTACCGTGTGCTTGTTGGACCTCTAGTAGTGACTAGCTGGAATGTTTTACATGAATGGGATGAGAAAGATATACGGAGAGGGTATACTTACATCACTCTTTTTGGAATCATCTTCTGATTTAAATGTGATGAAAGCATCTTGGTTCAAACAAAACCATCGCTTCTTTACACTCTGAAACGAAACAAATTATATATGAAAGTGAAGAACAAAATGATAATGGATATTACAAAAAATAACAAAAAATGACAAGAAAATGTCTAGCCTTCTGCGTTTCCTATAGAAATGTGTAAACATCATAATCAGGTATTACATAATCCGAACATAATTACAATTATAGGTGATACTGTGTGATGTTGAAAAATTGCCTTTATAAAGTTAATTTCTTTAAGTTCAATTATAGAGTTTCCAAAATGGCAATTTGTGATTTTGTCGGTAAACTTCTGATAGGATGATTATAAGGTTATATTATGTCATATATTTATCCCATGCCTAAAACACAATTTATTGAAATCATTAACACTTGAACAAAGCCACATTAAATGTGAAATGTATTCCTTTATTGTATATCAAGATCTACGACGTCATAATCAAATCGTGAATTTTAAATAAAATACATCTTCAAGTTCATATGTGAACAATGTGAATGAGAGTTCAGTTCGGTGTAACTGGTGGAATGATAATATGATAATTATCAGATAAATGATATAATATTATAATGATATCTGAATGGTGCAGTGAAAATATTTTAAGATTTTCTTTTCCTTTTCATTTTGCATGAATCAGCTTAGGTTTTATATTGTTACATTTCTTGTGAGTCTAAAGAAAATAACTTTCATAATGAATTTCTGCCAATGTGTTATGTTTTCGAAACAAATTAATCAATTCAGTGCTTGTTCACAGGAAAAAAATGTTTCACTTTGCACGAGTTGATATATCCCTTTAAAAGATTCTAAATTAATTGACATGATGAAACCGATTCGTGAGTTTCTCTACGTAGCAGGGATATTAAAAATAAATTCGAAGTTTTGAAAGAGTTATGTTCATCTAAGCTTACTTTCATTCTTTTCACTTTTAGCCTTGGGTGTCATTAAATACCACGCTATTATTTTTATAGCTTTCTAAGTTTCATCGTAACAATACAAACGTATACAATTATGAAAGTGATGATAGTGCTTAATATAATAACAAAGCTCCCGTATTAGTATTTCGTACTATCCATTTTAAAGCAGGAAACAAAAATTCGATTTAAAACGAAAACCGGCTACATACATGCATCCGTCATACCTTCATTGTGCGATCAACAAAACATTTTGACACTTTACTGAATTAAAATTGTAATATTGTGATCAAAATGCACTAAATCCTGTAATATGTAAATAAATCTTCAATCAACCACTGCCCGAATATAACGTGATGGTTGCCTGCAAATTGGTAACATTCGGGGGAGGGGACAGGGGAGGGGGCTACTCTTTCAAGTATGCCTAGTGCCCCAAAAAATATATGCAAAAGATGAATGAAATAACATTCTATTTTCATACACGCTATAAAAACGTATGGGTAGAATATTATTGGAGCCATGTTGGGTAAAAAAAAAAAACATGCATGTTTGTTGGGTATTTTATCAATAATTGTTTTACAATATGTTATGTAAAAGTCCCCCCCCCCCCACCCAAACATGCATGTTCCCTTCCGAGGCAACTCTTTGGGAAGTGCAGTATCAGTGTGTCAAACTGCAATTTCTGAACGTGTGATTTTAAGTACAGTGCGAAAAAAGTTTCTGGTTTGTGAAGGGAAAAAAAAGGATAGAAAAGTTTGTTATCTAGAATCTGAGTCAATGAAACGTTAGTTGCACACACCCTTCCCAGTTGGTTGGCCCCACATTAGACCCCTGTTTAAGTCTTGTCACTCTAGATCCAAAACAACTCTCAAACATGATTCACCGGCTGGGAAGTCGTGACAAAACGAGGCTAGATACTTTAACGATTGGCAACACCTCTGCGAAGGCGACAATCCGAAATATATTCATGGCAACCGTCACTCTGAATTTTTGAAAAAAAACAAATATACATCTAATGCCAGATAGATATACACTGTATATATAATACCCATTGCAAATGAGGCGTCATTTTTTGCGTTATGTTTGCCTATCAGCCAGTAATGTCGTGGAGTGTCGTGGTCGAGTGGTTTAAGGCGCTTGACTGGAGATGCGAAGGTCGAGGGTTCGAATCCCAACACGGCACGATATTGACCTGTACTTGCTACTATCCACCCAGGTGTTAAATGGGTACCCAGTAGGATGCGACCGTCATTGTTGGTCAAACATTTTTTGAGCGTCAAATAACGCCTGGCTGGAATGCTCCCCAGGGAGTGGAGATTGTTCACACAGTGTGTGTGGGCAAGTATTGAATCTAATGACCGGGTTAATAGTATGTCTGCAGGGCGCTTAGAGACATCTTTGATGTATTAAGCGCTATATAAAAGCCGATTATTATTATTATTGTTATTAATTCAACGCAGTGTTTGTATTTCATTTTGTATTTTCTCAATGTTGTACACTGTCACGTTGAATGAACTCTGACATAGATTTGCGTCAACGACGGGCCCGGTTTATTGATCATATTTTGATAATTCAACATAGACGTTATCCCCTTTTATGCATGTTGTTAAATAACTCATGATATTTACGTTAAAATAAAATCAGTATTGACAATCAAGGCTATTTTTTTCTCTCAACTGAACGTTGTTAGATACTGACAATGGTACTCGCGGCTGTCACAAGAGTCACCTTGACAAGGAATTAAATTGCGATGTTTGTGACCATTAGATAAATTAATAAAAGTAGATCAACAGCTATTGTACACAAATATGACAGCTATTGATTCACACATAATCAAAAAGACAATGGGAAATAAACCCGATAACTATTATGTTTTACATCAAATACATATTTGCTTAACACTCAACATTATAAAAGGAAATTAAACTCAATCTGTAATAGACACGCAACCCATGACAAAAGAACCCATTGTGACGTAATCGATCAGATAGATAGATCAACAGGTTATTCATAGTCAGAAACCAGTTCAAAAATACACTTTTCATAATCATCTGAAGGAAACTAAGTGTAAGGTCGCATAAATCTGTTACCAAAAAGGGACGGTTTCATATTCCATTATTTTTTTACTATCAAAAGCTTTTTATTTTTGTATTCTTTGAATAGGTATGAAGAAGTATAACACTCAATTCATTAGGAGCAATTAACTTAGATATCAAAATGGTTTACTTTGAAAGGAAACATGCCCTTCCATGAAGTGGGAAAATATATTTCTGCGATTCATTACGGGACAATAGAACTTATATTCTCCGCGAATTATAAATACAGGCCTTATAATCCCGCTTATCCCAGTTTCCTTTTTATTCCATGAATGAATGACTACGAAATTGAAATTAAATCATACAATTGGAGTGTTTTCTACTCCCACTGTATATGGTAACGAAGTTGGTCCGTTGAATATCAGTTAAGTCTGGTCTACATGCATACATATCAATCCAAAATTATGAGTAAGTAAATCTTTGTAAAATACTGACAAATAGGTTTTGTAAAGAATAAATGCAGTACCCCATTTCTCGTGAATAAAGGCCCAGGTTATTTCAATATCGCATCTAATTCTATCTCTTTGAAAGCATATTCACAACTTTAAGATGGGATAAGTTTATGAAAGACATTTTATGCCCACATGCAGGTTCGCCCCCACCCCCAATTAAAAAAAAATCGTAACCCAACGGTATTTTTATGTTATAGGCAAGTTAGACTCAGGGCAATAATTATGCCGAATGGTTTTACCGTCGGATACAATCAGCAAATTCTTTCCACTGCAACTACCGTGAAAAGGGAAAATGGAAGGCGTATGACAAATTGACAACGCTTGCCCATCCCCATCCCCCCCCCCTTCCCCAAATCACCCAATCCCTTGTCTCAACTATATATCAGCTCTATACATTTGTGACTCTATACATACAGGATGGGCTGACTCAACCATCTCTCTCTCCCCCGGGGAAGGGGCCGGAAGCAGCTCAGCGAGCTACCGGCGAAGTGACTCGTCTATGAACGCGTCCCCGTGAATTGTACATCTTTATAATACATCTATACTGTAAGCTGTTCAAAGGCTTGAAAACGATTTGACAGAATTCGTAATGACAATTTGACCAGAGTGATTCAATCCGATTTCGATCATGATTTTCTTGTAGATTCACCTCCCTGAGGGAGGGTAATCAGTAGACCCAGTTCTAAAGATAAGTTCACTTGACCTACAATATTACAGAGATCATCATTGCAAGCTTAGGGGAAAAGATTATCAAATTTCCAAGAAAAATTGTTAAAGCTAATACAGAACATTTCGAAATCACTGCAATAACATAAGCTACATACTTCCAATAGTCCAATAGTACGACATTTAATTCGAATATTATCAATATTATATAATTATGAGGGATGGACTCTTGCATAAGGAATATACTCCTTAGTTAGCCTATCCCTTCACGTTCATTATTTTATGTTTTTTGTTTGGATGAGTGGTATTTATGTTCGTTTATTCTGTACTTGAAAATGTGAATAATGTATTTTTTAAGATGTCTTGAGTGTTAATAAATGAACTTGAAATTGATCTTGATAAAATCACAGATATGAAATAAAGGAGTAATTTCAAGAAAACCATATTACTTTGCTTGAGTCTATCCTTGAGTTGTTCTAAAGATTGTCCGAGGGTTCTGCGACATAGCAATAATTGGATTCAATCCACCGAAACGCTTTTGACAAGTGTATTACAGAACTTGTACAAAGGGATCATAACTAGGAATGTTTAAGCTTATTTTAGCTTATAACGTGATCTCATATGAGCTTATGCTATATGTAGGCTATTAATGTCCTCGCATGACATACTATCCAATACTTATTGTGTGTTATTCTTATTCAACTTTAAACTTGTAATACGTTGATTTATGATAATACGAAAATGTATGAGCCTTTTATTTATGACTTCAGTATTGTCAGAAAGAAAAATACTAAGTATGTATATATAGTTCATTGTTCAAGTTTGTAAATATGACTTATCCTTCATTTGCCATGCACGTACGGGAACTTCACAGGTGGAATTTAAGAATAAGAAATACAAAGTTAATGAGATAATTGTGACAATATGATTTATTATTGATAGATACATTTTCTCCTCTCAGAGCTTTATTGACCAGTTTCTATGACTCTTTAGATTGATCAATACAATTCAGAGTTCTGATATAAAATATATCTGTCAGGACAATTTATACCCACGTTATGGGCAGCAGTCTACATTATATCTATTGAGATTTTCCGCCACACAATGCTGATGGGACATACGTATAGTTTATGGGGATTTCCCCGGCACAGCACGATTACGTCATCGTTCCGGAAAATAATCATTATTCGCACGAATGTCCACACGTAATCATGGTAATTTAATATAATTGCGATAGGATGTTTCATTATTCAAGGATTGTTCAAGTATTTCCTGCCATAGAAAAATATATGATTTCTAGCAGGAAACATAATCGAAAGCTGAGAGACACCGATAACATTACTCAACATGCTTATAGCATATAGGGTTTGTTACATTTAATATATTCATTGGATATCCTTATTTACGACATAGTGTTTCTATTGAGGAGGTGAAATTTATATGAATGTTATGAAGTATTAAAATATTCATGATTACGAATTTTACTCATTGAAATGCTTTTCAATTATAATCCCCAAATGATCTTGATACTTTTTAAAAAAAACCATAATAACTACTTCTATTTGAGACCGTATAACTGCTGATTGCAAGACTATCTTGAGCTCTGGTATGGGAATCATATGTCGAGAGATCATGACTATAATTTATTCTGCATTAATTGTTTATCCTGCAGTAGATTATTTGTATATTACCTCATGATCGGTGTAATTATATTTTGTTACATATCATAATCGTTGTCATGATTCTTTTTCTGCTGTACAACACCTTGCATCATTTGCATGCATTATTAAAGGGCATACAGCGAATTTAAAAAAAAAAAAAAAAATGTCACACATTATATGTATCTACGTGAAGCCCTTTTTACATTGATGTAAACATATCAAATTCGCTGCCATGATTTTGTTCCAGTTATAAGTTTAAACAAACGACTAAGTGCAGTTTCTATCTTGAATTAAACCACTTGCTTTCGAGTTGGCGCACTCTTGCAAACACTCCGTAGTTGTCATTTCCAAGGGCATCATAAAAAAATACTGTAGTATTATTTCAAGGAATACGAAACATAAACACACCCATTTTGCTTTAATGTCAGTGTAGTCCTTTTGTATTGTCATAATACGAGTCAATGAAAAAGCCATGGATTTCAAGGAAGTATGATAAATCATATATGGAATATACAGGTCAATCTTTCAGACCGAAGAGACAAACTATAAGTCTATGATGTAGGCCTACATGTATAGAATAACAGGAAAAAAATCATGATAATAATCATAATAATAACGATAATAACAGTAATAATAATAATAATAATAATAATAATGATGATATTTATTTTTACCATGAAAGTCTTATCGGCTTCAATGCTGTTCTTCCAGAAGGCCCTGCAATTAGTATTATCCCAGCCCGATACCCATCTACACCTGGGTGGAGAGTATGCTAAGGGACGTTAGTGCCGGCCGGGGCTGGGACTCGAGACACCCTTGGATTGAGTCGAGAACTTGTATATGATATTATTATCGTCGATTCTGTAATGTTGCTCTGTTGATTCATATTCAATCCCATCCATTCAGTAATTGGTTTTGCAATAGCAAATTTTAAATTTTCTTGCAGTTACAGAGCACTTCACAGTTTGCTCCACAACGCTGTATAAAGGACCACGAAAACAATAAAAACACCAGCTGAGCCAAATGTAAAACAATCCATGCTTTTTATTTAAACAATATTATAGTAAGAATGTTTCATAACTTTCCTCTAGTCTTAAGTGAGAAAAACGTGAAGGAGAACATGTATTCCTTTTGTTTCAATCCCGTCATTTTTTGTACATGACTATAATTCCATACAATAATTGAATGTGCTTGTTGGTGACAATCGCGATGTGTCACTAAGCTGGCGGCGAAAAAGATTGGCCTAATGTGAAAACTTGAAAACAATCAAACTTGACAATGAATATAAAGCAGCTGGAAACTACACATTATTGTTGGTGAAAGAGCTCAATAAATTTCAATAATCATGAGATGCGGGATGAGAGGCCGCATCCCCCCCCCCCCCAACCAAAAAAGAAGAAGAAGCGAATTTAATAATTGAGAGGCGTTTCCTCTCGATAATAAATTGACCTTTCTCTCCACTCAAGGCCGATATGAATCTGTTAAGTCACCAATTATTAGAGCATTGCCAAAACGGGTTGTGGTATGAAGTTGCCTGTCACTAACTCTCCCTTCCTTATACATGTAACAACTCTCTCTGAATTACGCAGGTAATGTTTGTCTTTTTTAAATTGCTGTTGAATATCTTCAGCAAAACTGTTGGCGAACTGTACTGCCCCCACCCTTTATTTAAGATATTTTTGAGACGCCCTTGTCGATGCAGACATTGCCCCCATGTGAGGGGCAACCATGATTCATATTTCACGTCAATAAAAAATCCTTCAGAAAATGAGGCAAAATTTTCAATACATAAGGAAAAAGACCTAAACTAAACCCATGCAATTTTTTTGGCTTCGATTGTAGAATGGCAAGTGTTTTCAAAGGTAGACAAGTTTAACCTTGATAATTTAATTAGAACACTTTTGGGGGAGCCAAGAGTCAACCCTTTCCTCCCATACAAATTACTGAAAGTCTGCAACAAAACGGTTGGCAAAATGAATCAAATTAAAAATTAAATTGAGGAATTAATTTCAATGTGACTTGCTTTTTGTTTGTCTCTTTAGTTACAGAATCTTGTTACATGTATTTCCATGAAGAAAAAAAAAATAACTTTCGACACTCCATAAAGCACTGGAACAACTTTACCCCTAAATAGGGGGTTAAAGCTGGACTAAACTTTGTCAAGTTAGTCAAGTTAAATAAATCAAAGCGGAAATTAAACTGAAAGATTAACATGCTTAAAGGAATATATGAAAATTTAAAAAGATGAAATATCGATAAAAAGATTTGGGAAATGTGTAACGAAAGATAACATTTACGAGCAAGTTGTTTTGACTAACTTCGACTTGCATTTAACTCACGTTCTCATGTTTTTCGTAAAGACTAAAGTTGTGTTTTTCGGTGAATGTTTATGGATTAAACTTTTTAAAACCATGTTCGGTTCGTTTCTTTACTTTAGGCTGGTCTGAACAACCCATCTGCCGCATGACAAATAATTCAGAATATTTTAGACTTGTGCCCCCTCCCTCTCCCCTTCCCTGTCTGCCAGAGAACCCTGTTTCTGCCTCTCCCTATTGTTTTTACATGGTTATTAAATGCACAGGGGGTTGCATTTGAGGCTGGAATAGGGAACGAAATGAGAATCCAGCAACGTTTCAGGAAACAAAAAATCTCTATTGAACGATATGACTAATGATGACTTCCAGTATTAAAGCGAAGAATTATTCACGACTTTCATCAGAAGTTATAGGAAACGATGGCGAAACAAGCATTAAATATGTTTCTTGTAGGTAGGGGAACGGATCCTGTCAATCTTGGTTAGCTTCTGATTTTTAAAATAGATTCACGAATGACTCATTTTTTGAAAAGTTTGATTTCGGCATTCAAGACTTGATGGCGAGATGAATATATTTCATACTTTTTATTATCAAAAATGGGTCAACCTTTAGTTAAGGATTACGTTTCCTTTTAGGTTGCAGCCTATTCAGTTTTTTGTCTTCATGTCCTTGTCCAATATGTTTTTAATGTTTATTTTATGTAATATATCTGATTTGTATATGTTTGTTTGTTTGTTTTGTTTTTTTTAAATTTATTTTTTTAAACTGAATGATATAAAATTGAATTGAATTGAATTGCATGATGAAAAGAGAGAGAGAAAGGAGCCATTGGAAAGGGGGAGTAAGTAGAAGAGGATAACAAAGTTGATTAAAATATTTAAAGACAGGACATAAAATATAAAACTGAAATTTAAAATGAGAGAGAGCTAGAGTGAGAGAAAGACGGAGACATATAGAGAAGCAGACAATGATATACTATCAAACAGAGAGAGAGAGAGAGAGAGAGAGAGAGAGAGGGGGGGGATACAGACACAAAAGGGGGGGGGGTATAAAGTAAAGATGAGACATTTTAGAGAAAGAAAGAGAGAGAGAAAGGAAGAAAGAAAGATAGAAAGAAAAAAAGAAACGCCAAGTTGAGATAAGAGAGCAAATGGTTGTTATAAGGAAGGACTTATATAGATTAGAATATATCACTATAGAGACAGACATGTACGCACATGTAATGTTGATCCACATTATTTTTGTTAAATTATGAGTCCTCCAAGTTGTGTATCAACCACCTTTACAACACCGAAGAGAACAAACTATTGCAATGTTCTTTATGACGTCAAGACAGATGCGAGCGATACCTCACTCACTCAAGGGATTTCCCTGATGTAATCACATTGATCAACGCACGCTGAAAACTTTCTCTGACGTATACGTCGAAAGAGAGAAAATAAGCGAAATACTCGTCTTACCTTACCAACCCCCTTTTTCCTTTGGAGATATCCTTCTCGATAGGTCTCTGTTTCCAGCTCTTTGCCCATATCCATGGCTGATTTTAACTCGACGGGCGAAGAAAAAAAAAAGGTGAAAGTTTCAACAAATTTGCAGATTCATGACTCAATGGCGCGAAATTATGATGTCGTCTGCGTAACCAACACAGGGTGTTGTAAGGTATCGATAGCCTGTAGTTGAGCTGATTGCACGAATCTCCAAATTAGTCCATTCCTGCTCATGTATGCACAATGTAAGATGTCTTCTTTAGGTTTTTAAGCACTCTCGCAGTCCACATAAGCTGCTGCAAAGCCGTACTGAAAATTCCAAAATATTTATCGCTTAGCCCGTCATCGGTTGAAGGGACCTGCAAGTCGGATGGAAAGAAAATTGTAAGAAAATATTAACATCTTAAAGCTAATGTTTATTCACAAACGTACGAATACAAAGCTATTTTCACAAACGATATTTAAAAACTGCATGTGGTATTTAACGAAGGGTATATGCCTAAATTTTAAAGAGAAAATTGACAAAAAGACAGAGAGGGAAAAAAGAATGACTGTAATAAAAGAATAAATAAGTGGTTGCTACTTCTATTTCGAAAAATGTCAGTAATATCACATGATCATCGTCTATATCCTTATCTTTCTGTTCATTGCTGCACGTCGATCGTCATAAATAAAACAAATCCATTGTGTATATAATTGTATAGACTGTAGTAATCAGAGAGAGAGAGAGAGAGAGAGAGGGGGAGGGGGGGTTATACTTCCTAAGTCTCTGTCTCTCATCTATTAACACTAGATAATTTAAGTTGCTTCTAAATGACTTAACACCCGTTATCCATTACTCACAGGCGGGATGATGTTACTAGTTTATAAGTCCATGTTTACAGCGTGTACAGCTTGCACGAGAAACACAATCCACTTTAGGTAAAACCAAAAGCGGAAGTTGTAACGAGAAATTGTATGAAGGTGCTGCTCTAGACTTTAACCATGTTAATTAATTGGAAACGACACCCAAATTGCTTATCAATGGGCTTTTCTTTCAGAGCGAAGCGTTTCGTATGGGATTTCCCCTTCCAACATTATTCCATCGACAATTGGGCAATGTTGACTTACTACGTCCCAGGTAGACCTATTTCGTCACCGATAAAAGGCGGTGTTATTGTACCGTAGGCGTAGCTAAGAACTGTTCAGGCCTTTGAAACAGCAACCACACTCTATATACGACTGGAAACTATTTACTCAACCATAAAAACGCACAATGAAAGCGGGGAGGACCCATTCAAATATATCTTGCTTTACTGGTATTGTTAACAATAGCAGACGATCAATGACAACAAATCAGACATCAAAAGTAGCTCTTATAATTTCAACCTTTGGACCAAGCAAATACTGTTCATTTGCAATCATGCCTTGCTTTTGATATAAAATGAACGTGGGGGGTGTAATGTTTTACTCTTTTCAATATAGTTTCAGGTATTGATTTTTAAGGTAGGTATACTCAGCATAAAATATCTCTCACGCTATGATAATAATGCACAATGTTAAATTTAGTAAGAAATAGATAGAGGCATCAATTTTAGTTTGTCATTTCGTTATACTGTGGTTGTGTATAAGACTAATGCTAGTTTAAAGAAAAGCATGTAGGTCTACATGTATATAGACCAAGAAGTATTAAACAAACACCAAACTTGGAAAATATTAACAAATTTCATGTATGCGTTGAAACGTTTACCTCAATAAATTGCAATCTTTGGGGCCACAATCACACACAGCATTGCAAACCGAAAAATACACAAAAGTATATATTTGAAAAAATGTATACTTGCCATAAACATTTCTTAGCACATTTACGATTAAAAAGAGGATCTTTGTTCTAGATCTACGTAAGTTTGCCAATACAATACGATTCTTTAAAAAAAAAATACATTTTTAGATTAATTCATAAAAATAAAAAATGTTTTTAACTTTTAGGGATGTATGTCTAAATCCGACAAACATTTTGTATCAAGTTTACAGTGTGAAAAATGATTTACTTACAGAATTAGACGAGATCCTTCGATTAGATTCTTCCCGTCTCGTGTAGGTATCTCCAAGCTTTTACGTTCGGTTTGATCCTAATGCACTATTCCAACTAGGCCTATACGTCAATTCCAGATACGGTCTAAACTCCGAGTGTGAGTAACTTTACGATGCAACTTTATGATGCACCTGTTGTAAACTGCACGGAGCGCGCGGGCACGAGGGTGTCCGCGCGTTCACTGATCTGATTCGCTGGAACGACGCACTTGTAAAGTCGAGTTACATAGTATAGTATTAATGACTGCTTTGAGAGAAATAGTTGTTTTATTACGCTCAAGGGAAGGTTAGAATTGTGCTATTCCCCGAGGCTTGCCGAGGGGAATAGCCCAATTGTAACCTTCCCGAGAGCGTATGAAAACAACTATTTCTCGAATATTAAAGCAGTCATTAATACTTTTATATGCCGAAAAAAAATAGACTAAAAAATAAAAAATAAAAAATAATTTACATTTTTGTCGAATGGATTTGCCCCCTCTCAGCCAATGGCAATGGCAATGCACCCAAACACTGGTACACATTATGCTTCTCATAATTAAATGGAGCTCTGTTCTTTTCCGTCATAACCCGTCCCTTTTTTTTATAGGGCAAACACTCTGTTAGTCCCTCCCCTAATCTTCAAGTTTCCTATTCTCTTATTTTATAATAATCAAATGTATTATACATGTACATTAACAAACAGCCTAATAATGCTAACACACTCACAAACTCATACACAAAGATCATTTGAACACTTTTTCATTTTAAGGTTTACCTTAGGATTTTTTTTTTGTTTTTGTTTTTTTGTTTTTTGAGGCCGCCATCCTTGTCAAGCTTTGCTTATGATTGCGGTCTCCTGCACTTTTCCAATAGAAAAGTTCGGATAATACTTTAAATTTATGATTATATGTTATGGAAATATTAAGTTTCGTTATCATAATTATGTACATATATTATGTAAAAAAACATTTTGACATGAAGAAATTATTGTTCGTTTATGTTGTATTATACCTTACATTTATATTCTTTGTTATTCAATTATATTTTATATGGAAAAAATGCAGAAATAAATTCAAATAAAAAATATATATATATTTCTACTATGGTTACGTAGAATATAAGTATCTAATAAAATTTTGGTACCCGGCCTCCTCCATTGTGATCCTCTTCCCTAGAGTGATGTGAGAGGGATGTGGGATCCCCATGAGAAAATATTATTTCCTAAATTGTGCTCTCAGTGGGAACAATGCGGGAACAATGTCAGAGAATAACTGCGACCCTTCAATCTTCCAGACAATCCTAAACTTCTCCCTGCCTGCTCTCGCTGTATAATCAAATTATTGATCTCTTAAGCGTATATTAGATAATAAGTCATTTTGTCAGTTAATTGGGTAAATCAGAAGAAGGTGAATAATTATCAAGCTGCTTTTAAAACCTCATAAATCTTTCTTTAAATTTCTCCAAAAAGGTATGCAGGTAAAGCAGGCCTAAATAATTATATTCTTATATTTGAAAATGTATATACTCATCCTTTCCCGCATCATTATTGGTATTGATTATGTTTTATATCTGAAGAAAAAAAAATCATTAAATTTGTTTAAAATGTGTAATATTTGATTTACTGTATGCTACTTTGATTGTATTCTTTTTAAAACTGTTTATAGTTGTGATAAATTTTCTGGGCCCCATGTAAGACCAACTTTTGTTGAGTAGGCTACCCTGGTAAAGTAATTATAGATAAATTAAATGAATGAATAAATAAATGAAATAAATATCATGTAAGGCAAACCGACGAAAAGGAGAAACGTTGTTTACATTTCCTTAATAGGTAAAGCCTAATAGAGCAGAAATGAATTTCATTCATATGTATTTTATTTGTGAGGAAGAAAATCGCAGCCTTAGTATATATTTTTGTAGTTTAATTAAGCCCTCGGTTAAAACAACAATTTACACTATATAGGGGCGCACATTGCGCATATACTGTTTTACCTTATGGGCATTATCTTTTCTTATACTTTTCCCATTTTTTTCTCTCTCTTTCTTTTGCACCTTCAATTACCGTCCTCCAACTCCAAGTACCGCCCGGGGCCTCGTGCCCCCTCTCAGAATATTGGTACTGCGTACTGGTAGGCCGGGAATTCGCCAATGAACTCAAACTTACTTGGATTTCGATGGAATTCGCCCCACCACTACTTTTTCGCTTGAATTTTCCGAATGATTGCGAGCGGAGAACACGAGAGGGCGTCACATCAAAACATCAAAATGGACAGAGACAGTGACTATCTCGGCAAATATCGTGCTATTTCTGGCAAATTGAAGAAGTAAGTATATATTCATGAATTAACTACTACTTTTGAAAATAACCAATCATTTTTGTGTATATATCCACCGGATTTTCTGACCATTTTCCATAGTTTAATCATTTATGGGCGTGCACAATCTGGTCGCCTGTCCCATTCCTTTCTTTTCGTGTAATGTTACTTGGTGAAACTAGGTTCTGGTTGAAATATAACTCCGGGAAGCTCCAACACCGGCGCCGCAGGCGTCGGAGCTTCGGGTGGTTTCGTTGGTTTCTCTTTGGGGCTAGTAAAACAGCCGATTGGGTGATATTATCGTTAAATCTGCAAAGGGAGTACTTACAATTTTTACATCATACTCATAGGGTGCACGACTCCTCAGGGCTCAACTCCAATCACTTGAATGTATAATTTGAAGAAGTCTTCGATGAAAAAAAGGTTCTTTCGGGGTACTACACCAACGATTCTTCCATGTCGCAGCCTTGATTCAAAATAGCGATGAGAAGGTACGCATGCGCGGCAGTGGCGAAGAAAATATGAATATTCATGCTATCGAGCGCCGATCGCTCAAAATCGCTGAATATGCACGAGGTTGAGAAGGCCTCTGTTTGTTCGAGTCGTGCATATTCAGCGATTTCGAGCGATCGGCGCACGATATTTTAAATTATTCTTTTTAAGGGCAGGTCCAAGCTATTTGGATTGTGACGTACGGGACATTTAGAGACTTTAAACAAGAAATAACAACAGATGAAATTATTTATATGGCTATCTTTTGGTATGAGTCTGTGGCTATTATGGGCTAGTTCATTTGTGGAAAGTTTTAGTTCTGACCAATTTTTTAATTTAATTTTAAATGTAATTAATGTGCTGCGTGACGTACCGGACCAGAGCGTCCCGTACGTCAAATGCACAGCTTTTACTTCACAGCCAGGATATTGATGCTCCTATGTGTGCATTTCATTTCAATTGGCGACATTCTTAAAAACTTTAATTCTTGAATAATTGAGAACTTTTGTTTTTAAAATTTAGACAAAACTTTACCCAGTGTAATTTGTTGTTGTCGTTTATTACCCTTTTCTCCTTTTATTCAGTAACACAGCAATAGGGTCTTTATAATTTAATGTGATGTATAAAAGTTATGTCTGGGGGCTTGAGTAAAAATTCCTCAGCACTACATCCTCCTGACTTGTGGATCCTGCTGAGTATCGTCGTAGAAGTAGAAGTATTAATTTTGTGTCATTTTTAAAACCTTTGTCTTTTTTCATCAGGCGTTTCTTACGCAAGCCAAATGTTGCTGAAGCAGCTGATGAGTTTGGTAAGTTCTTTGAAAATAAGGAAGAATTTCTGATTTGGTTACTAGACTCTACCTGTCTTTTGCATTATAAGATTAATGTATAATTCTTATTCTAAGAATTAATAAATGAAATGAGTCCTAAATGGTTTGGCAGAGAAAAATAATGGAGTATTTCTCAAAGCATTGTATTTATCTGGCTAGTAAATTTCAAATTCAGTTGCCCACAGACCCTAACAACATGGCTATGTTGGTATCTTTTATTTTACAGTTAATTCACCTTAGTATAATGGAGTTAGCATAAAGATGATAAACTTATATAGTAGAGCTTAGCATTTCTTCAGATGGTATAATGCGATACTGATTATGAAAATATGCCAAAATAATAAGGTGAAGTCTAGAGCAAGTCTGATGTTGACTCTATTATTAATGTTCTCTCAGAATGTGCTCTCTTATGTTTTACATTTTACTTGAGTCCAAATGTGCCAAACTGAGCACCTTAAATTGGATAAACTACTGAGATTTGATTTTGATCAACCTTGTCCCGATGACCGTATGTGCATGATGCATCGTAAGTATTCTCAGTTCTTGCAATGGTGACGATAAGAATAAATTGACTAGTGCATCACTGTCTTATTACTTTACTTTGAAACCTTTTCTTTGTTTTTTCTGTTAAAGTGATGGTTTTGTTACTGAATGGAACAACTTACCGGTATCCTTGTTTTTTTTAATAGGAAATCTAGCCAAGGTTTTACATAACCAAGAATGTCCATCATATGCAGCTCTATTCAGTCTAGCCAAGGCCAGGTAAATAGTATTAATTGTAGAGATTAGCATGAGATGCACATTTTAAATTTTGTATTTACATTATGATTTCGAAATATATGCTTAAAAGGACAAACTAGAAGTGGTTGAAATGTTCAGAGTGTGTCCTGTTTGACATATGACATCTATCCTTTCATGTCATCCAGAAAAGAAAATATCATGATATGACCATTAACTTACAGTTGTGCATGGTAGCACAAACATTAAGGCATCATCATACCAAGATTTCATTTTTGAATGAAACTAATGAGGGGGGGGGGGGGGGGACTTAAGTCATTCATGACACTTGTACATGTATGTAATAACCCAAGTACATGTATATGTGCAGATAATGGTAACACTTTTAACCACATAGTAGATAGTTATAATTGTTAAGTTATAATTGTTTGGAAAGGTTTGATAAGTATTTCTTCCCTCTGTTCGCTTAAAGAGATTATTAATTACTGGAGTGATGTGGCATTACTGTCTATCTGTGGAGGTGTCTTGGTATAGCCGTTAATTCACTTCACTCACAATCCTAGGGTTTTAATCCCAGCCTGGCACTAAATTTCTTTAGCAAGCCATTAATCCACTGTTGCCACTCTCCACCGAGGTGTAAATTGGTACCTGATATGCCAGAGCACTACATACACTGTAGTTGGTCACCAGCTTTGACTGGGGACATGGCGGACATGTGTGCTATATAAGAAGTCACCATTATTATTATTATTATTTTGATATTTTGATATCAGTACATGATACCCACTGAAGAGGAAAAGAAACAGCGCCATCTAATCATCAATGATGAACAACTAAAAAAAAAACAGTACAGCCAGGCAAAAGTAATCTTTTTAGATTGGTCAGCCTTAAAACCCAAGATCAACAACAACAATTATTATTTTGTATCTCACTGAACTCTGTTATTTCCATTATGTGCTACGTGTATGTAGATGTGAACACACCCTAGCAAACCATCCAGCTGAAGTCCATGCTCTGGTGGAAGCGGCCCATGAGTTCCTAGATGCTGAGTGGAGCGACAGGTCCATGCACTGCCCAAACTTTGAAGAGAACCTCTGTGCAGCCATCAACTGCTACAACCACGCTGTCAGGGTATGTCTTAACCTGTTGACTACTGAATTTTATAGGTCCCATAGGCTTAACACAGGGACCACCAGGTTCCCGTAAGCAAAGGGTTAAAAGGATCGAACAAAGAAATATATTGGGGAAGATAGAAAGTGTCAGTCTCATAGGTTGTTGGTCCAGGGAGGGGGGGGGGGGGGGGGGGGGGGCTGTAACTAAGGGTTAAAAGGCCCACAACTGTCGTCCTAGTTGGCTGTAGTTCTCACATTTTTTTCCTGGAATGTTCTTCCAGAGCACTCATGTCTTTTGGCGGGACATTAACCCTATTTTAACTGGGCTATTTCAGACCAGGTTTTTACTGGGGGGGGGGGGGTCAATTTGACCCCCCCCCCCCTAAGATCTCGGCCGTTTCACCGCCGATCGCCGCGAAAATTTGCATGCATGTCAAGTGAAGTGTATAGAATACTATGGTAATTTCAAATTTTTGAAAAATTCACTCATTTGCATATTTATGGTAATTTATGCAAATAAGGTCATAAAATTCACATTTCGGCCCATAAATCATAGATTATTCATATTTAAGTATTCTTTTTCACTACATATATTTATTAGACCATTTGGAATAATAATACAACACAAAAAATTGGAAGAGCCAGGTTATTCCTTATGTTATCTCTTGTTTTTATAATTTCTTATGTATTTCATTGTTTTTTTAACTTATGTATTTTATTGTTTTTGTTGTTTTATTTCATTTATAACTACAATTCAACTATTTTGACCCCAAAACAAACATCTAAACTTTAAACAAGACTGAATAACCAATGTTTTATCTATTTTTAGGAAAAATGACTTTTACATATGTTTTGTACACAAATCACGAAAATGAGCGATTTTCGGGCTGACATGCAAAGACAAAAGGTCACGCGACCTTGTAACCGTAGGTCCGATTTTCAAAAAAATTGTTTTAAAAGATGCGTAACACTCGAAAGTAAAAAGTCATGAGAGGAAAATTTTATATCTGCCGCGGTTTCGGAGTAGTCACAAAATTTCTACAGGGGGGGGGGTCAAATTGACCCCCCCCCCCAGTTAACGTAGGGTTAATCCACATTTGTGTTAGATGGGTACCTGGCACTTGGCAGAATTTATTCTTTGAAATGCGATGATTATGATTATGGCTGCCCGAGCTAAAGCTAAGATGGTCCAAACAACTTAGGAAACGCATAGGGAAGTTATAGGGTTAAAAGGGTTATAGGGTTATACAAGAACGGTATATTATTAATTTATTATTATATTATTATCTTGTCATTCTTATGTGCACTTCACTCACACTTAAGTTACATGAAAATGATTTTGGTAAATGAACTAAGGAGTGGATACTTTCACTTATGACTAACAGCAAAGTAATTTAGAAATATCTTTCTTTTCTTTCATTTGAAACTTTAGGTGAGTATTGAGCATAAGCAGCCAGCCCTGTCAGCAACACTCTGCCTCCAACTAGGGAACAGTCTCAGGGTAAGAAAGATGACATTCTATTTTAAGATTTGAACAAAAACTTGAAACCATTGGACATTATTAATAAGAAAATTCTTTTTCCTTTTGTTATCCTTTGTTTTATAGTGATTTTTGCCAAATCTGAATTGAGTTACCTCACAGTTGAATTCCTTGGAGAATATTTCAGTGTGTTTGGCACAGTGGACTTCATCCTGTAGATTTTGGACTAATTTTAGATCTTAATTTCTATAATTTAAATTCAACTAATTTATATATATTTTATGTCAGTTTCAATGTTAGCAAGAATGTTTAACTGCACCAGTTAGTGATTTTTAGTTTTCTTCCACTTCTTGCAGCACAACGCAATTTATAATTATGTAACCAGTACTGAAATTCCTTCAACTCCTTCTACTCTAGTGATTATTGTGTGTTTGTTTTTTAGAGATTAAAGAAACCTGCAGATGCAATGGGGCATTATCAGAAGGCAGCGGAACTTCAATACCAGGTATCATTCAGAAGCCCTCTTTGGGGAAATTCTGTGCAATGTGTCGCATACAACATGTGACTTTTATTCCTTTATTTCATCCAAAGAAATAATCTTGACATGACCAATGAAAATTGGTAGATACAAAAAGAACCATTAGTCTAATCATCATATCAAAGGGTTTTTCATTTTGTGAATGATAGAAAGGGCTGAAAATCTTTTATCATATGGGACACTTTCCGTCGCCGTTTTAAGTTGGCAGGATCATGTCCAGGTGGATCGGCGTTGAATTTGAACTTGATAGGTTCACTTCTCCAGTACGTATTCACAAATTTGTCAAAACTGTAGAAACCAGGTGTTTTAAATAGGCCCTCATTCTTATGTAAAGAGAGTTTTTAATATTTTCTCACTGACAGACCTTAGAATATACAGCTTTTTAATATGACCTCTGGTTGGCCCATGAGCCTTGCCAAAGTCTGGTACTACCTCTTGGTCATACAGACAGAACAGTTTGTATGTTTCTATCATATCCTTGTGTCGTACGTAGTACATACAGTATAGTCCTTTACTTATACTGTTTTCTTGTTTCCTGCTTCGTGTCTGATTTTGTTTTAGTGTCCATTGGATTGTCTGCATTCATTAGGGAAAGTTGCATCATGCAAAATTGAAATAGGTAAGTAATGTATATTTCATAAGAAAATTGTATCTTTGTATGATTTATGAAGTATTAAAGTGATATTAAAAGGTAATATTTCTGAGCAAAATGTTATGTCATTAAAGAGACATTAAAAATAAATTAATCAAGTTGTATCACATGTATGCCTAAGATTATTTGAACATTAATTCATACATAATTGATTTATTGATTTGCTAAAAGTTGCATTTCAGGCATTTTTCCAGCTTTACAGGACAATTCTTGTTTTGACTTTGTCTCAAAGTTCACTGATCAATGTCTTAAATTGTATGTGTTTATTAAAACCAAATTAATATCAGCATGACTTCTTCTTTAAGAAAATATTTGATAAGTGTTTCATTTGTGATAATTGTTCCACAGGTGATTTTGATGGTGCATTAGCGGTCCTGACAGAGATGGAATACCTGGTTCGAGATAGGGGTATCATAGGATCTAATAACCTACCCATCGGATCATTCTCAGACATCCTAGCTAGCTGTGAGATCAGTAGAGTACTTCTTCTAATGCTATTACAGGTAATAAATATTACTTTTGAACAGATTTGTGTGTGTTTGTGTGTCTGTAAAGTAGCACTGTTAATTTTGTTTTCACCCCAGTGCAGTAGAGTATTTTTTAGATAGTAGCTGTGCTATAAACATTGATCTAATTATCAAGATTAAAATTACACTGTACCATTATCCCTTTCATGTATGATAGTTTACAAAATATTGACTGTTCTGATGTGCTAGTGCCGTTTGGAAGTTAATTAATTGCATTAATTGCATTAATCCTCATTAGCAAGTCCCTTGGAGAGGACTCAACTCTTTATATGTCCCACAAATAATCTCTCTGTGCCACATTGTATTTATTATCTGATAGATATACCAAAAGCTTCATTCAAGACCATTAAACTGTTCCTTACAAGATTAATCTATACCGACATTAAAATGGTTGGCATTGTGCTAATCAACAGAAAAAAATGGTAGTTTTACAAAGCCATTGTGTTGCCCAATGCAATCCTTCCATCGACTGGTTCATATTGTTTGTGCAAAATTGCATGTGTGGCAAATGAGCAACTATGCAGAGAGGCAAAGTAAGCAACCAAAGTGTAAAAGCCTTTAGTCCCTCCGTTGCATACTGACAAGCATGCACATGCTTTCTAGTAGTCAGATAAAAACAAACCAGTACTTTATGTTCTTGTTCATGTATGTCTCCCTTCTAGCCCACACCTCAGCGTATACGACCGGAGCATGCACAGACGTTAGAGAAGTACACCTGGGAAAGTGACGAAACTAACCCAGGTAAAATTAAAAAAAACTTTCATTCGTAAAGGGAAAGTCCACTATGGTATGAAATTAGCTTTAATTAAGATCATAAAAATAAGAGAAACAGAACAGTGAATGGAAAAGGTGGAGTTCTTGTAAAGATGAAAGAATATTTGTGAGCATTGTCATTTTTTGTATATCAATTTTTAAGAATAGAAGGAAAAATCTATGCTAAAGGATTGTTCTTCAAATGCCCTCATAAAAAAATAGCTGTAAACTTTACCGGTAGATCAAACTTTCATGCCACCGTGACGGGTGTGTGTAGCCCCATGTATACATATTCCTGTGTACAGGGCATCTAAATCTCTTTCAGTTTTTATGATTCAGGAACCTCACAGTATACCTGCACAAAAAATTGTAAATAATTAACCATTTCCAATAATCGGGATAGTTTTCCACAGTGTAATCGCATGACCAGGGCCCCATTTCACCAAACTTGTCATCAGTAACAAATGACAGTTTTTATAAACTAGTGAAATCCTTGCCTCTGATTGGCTATCAGCAGCTTTGTCACTGCTTTTTGTCATTTATCATTGAAAAAGGCTTTGTGAAACGGGTCCCATAACTCGATGTCATCTTTTAAGAAGTCCACTCTGGCATCAAGCTAGCTTATTTAAAAGCATATCAATACGAGAAACTGATAAGTGAAAGTTTCAAGAAAGTCTAAATTTGTGTGAGAAAATTATGAATTTTAAAATACGTCATCGATCAAACACCAATTAGCAACTGTATGACTAGTTTGTGAGCACCTCTTCCTTTCCCATTTTTCATTAATGCAACGCTCCTTTTCCATTTCAGCTACTGAATGCATCACTGAAGAAGTCTTTCTCCTGCTCCAATCAGTTGTGGTAAGAATATATATTTTCTGACATCTATCATGAGTTTATTTTTTTCCAATTCAATTCAATTAAAGAAAGAGTTTATGTTATGATATGTTGCGCAGCCTAGGCTTGATTGCAAATGCATGTACAGTATACTGTTTTTATATGTACTGTGCATATACCAGGCGGAATCACATTCAATTTACAAGTTACTTGAACTGCACATATAAAATAAAGTGTTGGATAAAAATGTTGTCTGATAAATTGCAATGCTAGATCGAGATGAAATAAAATTACTAGAGATGCATATAATGGCGAATATTAGAGATAATAGAAAATTATGATAAATACTTAAAAATGAACAGAATATAACTTACATTGTACATTAGACCAAAATCAAAGGTTGCATTACCATAAATGTGCTAAAAAATTGCTTTTCAGTTATAAAACTCCATGATTTGGTAGTAATAAGATAAGAGTAATACTGATCTTTAGAAAACTCTCTATGCCTTTTTCTTCTTGTTTTCTTTCATAGATGGCTTGCCAGTCTAAAGACGCTGAATCATTGAAGAAACTACAGGCTGATTTATGGTGAGCTATACTGCTGACACAAAACATTGCTTTACTATTCTAAAGATCCTATGTTTATAGAATCCCCTTCCCTAAACAGATTTCTACCTTTAGATTAAATGCCCATTTACATATATATCACAAAGTAAAATGCCTCAAACACTCACCACAGAAAGAAGGAACTGTATAATGTGTAAATAAATGGCAATAGGGGTAAAACAAAAAAAATTGTGTCGCACAAAGACCTTATGATACTCTTTTATCTTTAAGTTTGTGTTATAAGTTGCAGAAAATACGAAGTGTGGCGGGTGGTTTACCGTATCATGTAAACATATTTTTATACCAAATCCATTTTATGATCGCCAACCATGTGATTAGCATTCTCAAATCCCAAATATGAAATTGACTTAGGTTTCTGCATTTTATAGAAGTGATGTACAGTACATCACTTCTGAATTCAGAAATTGTGCTCTTTTTTATTTGTTTCAACAAGTATCAGTACCAAGTTTTGTGATTACTAATTATAAAAGGGAAAAGAATACATGAACTAATCGTGATTATGTATTGATAGATTAAAAAAGCAATAAATACAAAATCCCTTTTTATTTTGATTTCATTTTATAATGAACCATTTAAATACAGAATGAATTTATTTGTATCCATAATCTCTTTGGCCTATTAAGCTTTGATATTAAACTTTCTTGAGTACATTATTAAGAAGAACTTTAACCTCCTTTACAAGAAGATGAAATCTCTTTCTGTAAACAAATAGGAATGCAACACCTGTAGATGTTGATTTCAGATCCTGGCTGAAATGTACATTTACAATCTATGAATAGATCAGACAGCATACCCAGAGTGTTGATTGCATTATATTGCTTGTAAGACAGGAAATACCATGCATGTATATTCTGAAATGTACTACTTTATATCAGGTGATCCAAATGCCTCTACTGGTCAATGAGTTCAATGAAAAGTCATGAACTTTGTGACCTCCTTTCAAAGATTGTGTGTATATCAATTTAATTCCAGGGCATTTATCAAAAATTAATTGAGCATTTTGTGATACCGTTTATTCTAAAGTTGTAAGTAAGCACTCTTTATATATTGGACTTTTATTGTATTTAACTTTTATTTGAATCACTCCCCTCTCTCTCTCTATCTCTTTGTCTCTCTCTCTATTTCTCTCTGTTTCTCTCACTCCCTCTTTCTCTGTGTCTCTCCTCCCTCCCTCTCTCTCTCTCTCTCTCTCGTTCTCGTTCTCGTTCTCTCCCTCTCTCAGGTGTCACTTATCAGCAGAACAGAATCACATACTCCACCTAGTCTTGGAGCAGATAGCACTACCCCCTCAAGAAGCAAGTGCAATATGAACAAGACGCCATGTATAGCACAGGAAACAAAACTTGGTCATATTCCAGATTGAACAGTGCAATATCCATGGACTGAAAGTTGGATTTGAACGATCATCCACATAATGCATGTACAGTATGTGTGATAGCGTTATACATCTATACATGTGTTCTTTGGGTTACATGTAAAATTAGGTTGGTAAATTTGATAACGAAATAGGATTTATAATTCTGAAGGTTCATGAATTTGAAAATGAATTTGGAATTATGAACCTTCAGAATATTAAACTTTTTTTCTTCTTCAGAATTACAAGCCAATCCATATTTCATTTTTTAAATCATGAAACCCCTACTATGAAAATTTGTTATTTGGAATTATAAATGTATGAACCTTTGGAATTATGAAGCATTTGAAGAACAAACACTTTAGAAGAAAAAAAAGGAAAGTTTTCTCATTCACAAATTGAGGCTTTCTGTAACACCATATCATTGCCTTACTGAAAAGGCTGAAAGGATTTGCGAATACCCACTACCCATGAAACCTACAGAGAACATCTAGTGTCCTCATGCGTTTAATGTAGGTCCTATCAAAGTTCTCATGCCTAATTCCTAATATGGTACTTCTTGTTTATGTTGAATAACATACATTGCATTAACAATTTTGTAAAGGTTTTTAATGAATTCTGGAAAAAGGCCGTCGATCAAAAGCTCTATAAAAGACGTTGTGTGTTGTCTTGTGCTATCCTATCCAACTTGCATTCATATTATTCAGTTAAAACTCAACAAAATGCTGGAAAAGTAGTATCTACCCCCATGTAGAATACAGTTGTAGTTGATCAAATTTTCATTCAATTTTTTGTGGAGTCAGGACCGATGCAAGAGAGATCATACCGTCTTGTGTCAAGCTTTTATAATTGCTTATTTGCTGAGAAGCAAAACTTATCATACAACTCAGTAAGTCACTTACTAGAGCAAGAGGTCATGTTTTATTGAGCATCTGTGTACATCGTGTTCCAGTGTTTTCAAGAATTGTAAGGTAGCCTAGCGAAATGTAGTTCCATGGCACAAAAACACGCGTTCGGACACAACAAGTGTAATAGTAAGTGATATTTGCTAATTCCATTTTTTTTTTTGTGGAAAATTTAGCCAACATTAAGCCTCATTGAGCTGGTATATGCATTTATCAGCGCCATATCCTAACATTTGATTTTGTTTTCAACAACAATGCAATTCACGTTTTTGACACGTCTTTTTGTGCCACATTTCGCTAAGCAACCTAACAAAGGTCCAGTGAGAGATATTATAATAGGAAGAGAAAATGTTTTTTAAAATGTTATATAAAGTACTGTTGTATATTACGTGTATATGTAAAATTTAGAGACCATATGTAAATTGTAGAAGACTTGCTTAATAAAATGTTATCACATGATTCAATTTTTCAATGCTCCTTCTTGTTTCCATGAAATAGCTTACAACACATGGTGCATCTGCAAACCTACTGTATATCTACATCACCATGCAAGCCGATACTTACAAGCAGCATCTAACATTACTACAGTTTGGAACACACAGAGTAATAAAGCAAAATGAAACTTTCTTTGCTGTAACTCCACAATTTGGGTTAAGTATGGGACACCAAATGAAAGACACATTCGGCTGGTCTCTTTGCATTTTACAGACCTAAAATACAAATACTACTAAAATACAAATACTACAGAAATAAATACAACAAAATACATTTTTGTTCAGTTTACATGAGTTTGCACACTTTTTATTATCACATACTTTAGTAAATAAGATTTTGCTGTACATTATTCAAAAGTCAAGGTGTACATGTGTAAGCTATAGGAAATATATACAGAAATACAGTCAGCCCAAAAAACGTATTTCACTCCTGGTAACAAATACTATGAGAAAGCCTCTGTTTCATGACTATTATAATACACACAAGAGTTATATATAAATATACATTACTGAATGACATCACAATGACTAATAAAAAGTTCTCTATCAAGAATAGGGCACTGTTTGGTACAGAGAAAGATCTATGAAGGGCAGCAAGTCATTTTTTTTTTCTTTTCAATTTTACTATTTCAAGGCTTTCAATAAATATTGAATCAAGGTGATAAACATAACCCGAAAAAATCATGACAATACTTGGTGTGCTGGAAGATCATGCAGTTTTCCCTTGCATTATAAAAAAGAAACACACATATATTAAAACTGAATTATGCATTAAATTAATTACCTGGTATTCATCTTTTACATAATCTTGCAGTTCCATGTAAAAATTGGTCCATTTTTGCTTTCCATCAATTTTTCTAAAATACCTTGATTTTTTTTTCTAAAAACGTTTGATTTATTAACCCTGTTGAAGCATGAACAAGAAATCTGTTTAATAATAACATTTGCAAATTTAAGTCAAATTTTTTTGTCCCACAAAACTCTTGATGGCGAACCCTTAGTTCTTGACCATGCAAATGCACTATGCCATAAAGACATTAAAATGAATGAACAGAAATTTGCCAGGCGTCACATAACTTGAATTCTATTATTGGTTGCTCCTATTTCTGCATTAAAAAATCCCTTTAATATTCATTGTGTTTGCCTGGTGAAATGATTGAAAATGTAGTTTTTTAGTCTAAAAGTCTTGAGGAAAAAAATACAACTGCAAAGTAGGTACAAAGCTGGACTATGGACTAGAAATTTAGAAGCAATAAAACATGTTTACCCTGATAACCATTGCGTTAAGCATGCATTATTTCAACGCATCACTCAGATACTCAAGAGTTCACAACTGATCTCAAAATCTAATGATAAATCTGACAATGTCTTCGTTTTACAGTTTCCGGTAGATTTAACAGAGTTGGAGAGAAAGGAAAACGAAAATTAGGCCATTTACAGGAACATACTTATTTTCACATCACATACATAGAATATTGTAGTAATGAAACAGAATGAATTGGCAGCACACATATTTACAGTCTTGTTTTACATTCAATCAATTCTACAGTGGGCACAAACAAATGTTCCATGACATACATATGTGTAAGTTCCACCAAAATTGGAACCTGAATACATTTCTAATTTAAGTAAAATAAAAAACCGCCCCAATATTTCAAAACGTCCAACTCCAGAAAGTGAATACCTAGAAGGAATATGTCAATTGAGAGTTTCTTCATGTTTATTACATATATGTTCTATTTCTGCTCTTTACATTCCAATTTGAATTTAAAAACACTAGATATTACCAAACATGTAATCAAGACACATATACATGACTAACAATGTTCAAGTAGAAATTTTTGTCCACATTTCTGAGCGCAGTCGGTGTATACATACTGGAAAAAAGAAAAAGTACATTTACAATTAATACTTGATGTATTAAATACTAGAAAGAGTTTTAATTTCTTTGATATAAATCATTATTTTGCAGAAGAAAAAAACTAAACCATGGTTAACCCTTTTCCATAAAGAATGTGACATATTTGAAGTCAAACATTGGTATGTATAGTGTATAATGATGATACTACTATGAATACCGGTAGTCGTGTTTGTATGGCGCCTAATACCAGGTTTCTAAGCGCTTTACATTGTACATGTATATGAGAAGCACGTTTAAAAAATGTTAACTGTTATCTTAAATAAACCTGTATAATCATGCATTTTTTGTACAGACATTTTCAGATGGATTTTATTTTTTCGCGTCTCCCATATAAAATGGAGCTGTTAATGAATCCAGACTTCAAGGTTCACAGTTTTATTGCAGCACATCATAACACAAACAAATACATACATATAACAAATTGGAATGCAATATACAGGGCACTGTTGAATAATGTTTGCTGGTTCATATCATGGAGTTACTAGGCTAGTAACTCCATGTTCATATGTACAATTTAACTCACAATCAATACATGCAAATTATAAAAATCAAAGGCTACAGTTGAACACACAAAATGAACAGATTCCAACAACAACAAAAATATATCAAACCAATTTCAATGATACACGACTCTAAATTACATTACATGTGCTGGTATGATTTCTAATGATATTGAGATATTCCTCTGTTTATTTCTCTCTTTTGGACTGTACTATTACATTAATGTTATTTGTTGTATTTTATGTAAATCAAAGACACACCAGATATCTGCCATAAAGTTTTAACCTCAAATTAACCTGTCCAAACAAAATGGTCTATTCCTAAAGTTCACTTACATTTAGATCTTAAGTTTATACAAACTGCTATAAAAATTGACTCAACAAAGAATAAATCTAATAAAATCATTCCACTACAGGTCAAAACTATCAAAATTAATAGTCACATTTACAAATGGAATGTTTACAAAAATGGCTTCCATACATCTAATTTGGTCAGAGTTGAGTTTAATTTACTGTTTTTTTAAATACATGTACCAGTTAAATAAATAAATATAAACTCAAAGCAAATTAAATTCAATATGCACTCTGGTAATGTCTCAAAAGTTTAGATGGCAGCATTTTTTAAAGCAAATCCTTTTTTTCATCTAAATAGACTTAAATAAACGAAGAAACCGTTCAAAATTCAAGATGGTGCTTGTAGTCCAACCCGAAAATAACATAAAAAGAACAATCAATCACCTTTCACAACAAATAAAACACAAAAACTTAATTTCCACATGCAAGCAAGTCCAGTATATCTATATGTGTAACTGTACAACCATACATGTTATCATTGTAGTATTTATAGATGCATTTAAATGTAAATTAAACGCACAACTAAACATCGCCCATCAAATATAAAACACATTTCCACTTCAGAATCCAATATACAATATTGCTCAAGAAACAAGACACACACAGGCAACATTATTTCTCAAAAGCCTTCCAAACACTTAAAATGTATGCTTCATAATAAAAATCTGAATGGCCTGTATGTACGATGCAAAACCATAAATTTATGTCAATGATTTGTACATGTAAAAGTCTTTATCAACATCGTAGCTTCATGTTGTATGACTGTTGTGATGAAGAGCATTCCATGTATCTCTACTTTTAAAGCCCCACTGTACTTCTTATAGCTAGTACTTGCGCCCTCTATATAGCAAACAATGCCTAATCGTTGCCAGTTGGTCCCCCATGATCCACTTTTTCTTATGTTAATTGAGAGCGTATTTGATGAGATAACCACCTGTCAGTGACCTTGCAGGGAGGTCTAATCCCCCCTGGCCAAACTAGTACAGACGGGCGTTAAGCACACAAATTTGTCTTTCAAGAATAGACCAGCTATACATTAATGTATACATGTAATTTCAAATTACAAGCACACCTCTACACAATGGTTGTTGTTGACGTGCTTCAGCTTGCATGAGGCTTGTCTGACATGGCAAAATTAATGTATGCATCTCTAATGTTGACATTTCAAGTAATAGCTGGAATAGCTTGCTTCATATGACTACTGACATAGCAACAACCAAACACTTATGTGCCGGCTACTGGCATACAATAATTTGTAACACACGAATGCAAAACTTCAACACAACAACCCACTTGGGAAGAATCCTCCCCAATGTGGTATACATGTCTGTGAACTGAAATACTGGATTTGAATAGTTACTCTGCAGCCTGTATTTCCATGGATCATGTTGACGTTGGTACTTGTACATGTAACTTGCTGATGGCAGATATGTTTCGTTGTCATGACGGCCTCTGCATGTTGTCCGCATGAGCTTTCTGTAAATCAATTAAATCAATACAAATCCTCATTATAAAATCAAGAACCATTAAGAATCTTATACATTACATAATGAATATGCAACTCACTGTTTCAAATAGTATTATAGTGGTACATTGTACCTTGCACATTTTCTTACTAATTCAAAATATTGTTAGAAGGGTCATTCAATGTTCATTGAAAGCCTCATGGAAATAGTAAAATTGAAAAAAACTAGATGGAATTCGACTGCGCGCAGTCGAAAATGATGCCTCCGTCATAGAGCAATTTTACAATCCAAAACAGAAGAAATTTTTTGAATTCAAGTTCAATTGTAATCCATTGACAGGTTCTCAGAATATCGTGATTACAAGCAATTTCTCATATACATATATGACCCTTTGATATTTGAACTAATGACCCTAAAATCTACTCAGTTCATTGGCTCTGCAAGATGTCCTGAGTTAAATAGTAATCCATCTGTCAGTTCTAATGAGAATGCGTTCACAAGCTATTTTTGCATACATAATGAGCCCATGATCTTTGACCTTTGACCTTATGAACCAAGAATCTACTCAGTTCATTGGCTCTGCAAGTAACATACATGACCTAATTTTGGCAGGAATCCATCAATCGGTTCTTGAGATAACGCGATCACAAGCTGTTTTTGCATACATAATGTTTGCTGTGGCCTTTGACCTTTGACCTCATGACCCCTAAATCTAATCAGTTCATCGGCTCTGCAAGTAACATACATGACCTAAGTTTGGCAGCAATCCATCAATCGGTTCTTGAGATAACGCGATCACAAGCTGTTTATGCATACATAATGAGCCCTGTGACCTTTGACCTTTAACCTCATGACCCCAAAATCTAATCAGTTCATTGGCTCTGCAAGATACATACATGACCAAAGTTTGGCAGGAATCCATCAATCGGTTCTTCAGATAACGCGATCACAAGAACGGTACGTGCGTACGGACGGACGGACGGACAACCCGAAAACATAATGCCTCCGGCTACTTCGTAACGGAGGCATAAAAATAGCCTTCCTGCCCTTTATAGATCTTTCTCTGTACCAAGTACATATTAAACAGTATGCAATTTTTCTGGTCCGATTCATTTACCACATGTATTCTTTTCAGTACATTAGAAATGTATGTTTCTGTACAATTTTTTTCTAAATGTAAAGAAATTATTTGTAAATCTCTTTTTAAATACAGTCAAACCTGCTTTAGTGGCCACCTGTCTACAAAGACCACCTGTCTACAAGGACCACATTTTTTGTTTCCCTTTAAAATGGTTTCTCATTGAAATATGTACTAAAGGAACCTGTCTACAAAGGCCACCTGTATACAAAGGTCATCTGTCTACAAAGACCACTTTTTGTGTTTCCCTTGGGTGGTTGCTATAGACAGGTTTGACTGTATAATCAATCAATCATATCTAAAATGATTCAGAAAAATGTTCGATGACTGAACTTACTGCAAACTTGGTGATGAAGAGGGAGAAGATGCTGAAGAAGGTTGCGCTCTCCATGCTGCGAGGGTCCTCCCCAAAGAACTGAGCCGTCTTGTAGAAGTCGTCACAGCAGAGAGCGTACTGCTCATGGATCCTGGAGAGGTGCTCTGAAGCCTCCTTGAGGAAGACGGCCATGACCTCAGAGAAACGGTCATCCTCGTCGATGATGATCTCCTCCTGGTTGAAACGCTCCACCTCACGATCCATGTCCTGAATGATCAAAGGGAAATGAGGGTGAAAGTGTGTCAGAATTTATAAATCTATCAACCAGTCATCTGTTGTAATGACACATGTACATCCAAACCAGTATATGAAGACCAGGGGGTATTTCACAAAACTTGTCATCAGTGACGAATTACAGTTTTTGTTATAAGCTACGGAAATCCTTGCTTCTGATTGGTTGTCAGCAGATTCGTCACTGATTTTTGTCATTTGTCATGAAAAAAGGCTTTGTGAAACACCTCCCAGGTATGCAAAACGGCTCAGAGATGTTTTGAAATCTATCTACATATGCCACTGTTCACCTTATAAGAGAATTGGAAGCTGGAAGGATCGCCATTACAGGTAGCCATTGTCATTGCCAATTTGCTACTGCCCTGTGAAATCACATTGCTGCAATGCACTAATGTCCATAGGCAAGATATTAATCTACAATTGCCACTCACCACCCATGATTAATTTCTGGGTACCTGGCAAGAAGACATTCCTTAAAAACGCTACAGTAGAGAGCTCACGTGCCAAAGAAGAAATAAAGTTTTAGAGGCACAGAAGTGGCATGTCTGACAGACATGCTATGCAAGAACCCATAGTTATTATCTATTATCATTATCATAATACATGTAGTTGTAATCTCCTATACCTGTATTATTCTCATCATCATCATCATCAAATATTTCAATTCATCTTACATTGAGTTGGTCCGTAAGCTGAGTAAGCTCATCCTTGACTGCCTTGAGAGACATCTTAACAGCTTTCGGCACCGATGGAATCTCATCTCGGAAGTTGATCACTTCAGGAACGTTGGAGTGGACGGCCTTGGCCACTACATGGAGGAATGTGGCTTTGTTGTCTGACGTTTTTGTTGTGTCCAACTAAAATTGCAAAAAGAACAAGAGGATGAATGAATTCGTAGATTGTACAAGTTGGGAAACAATTGAAGAATACCCCACCACACAATTAATATCAATCCTTCTTCTTCTTCCATGGAATGCCACAACTCTCTGTCCCATATTCTATGAAGTAATTCATTCTCCCCGAAATCAATTCCACTTTCAGAAATCCCATTCCTTAAGCTACTCATCCACAGAATCCTCCTGCCCTTGATTCCTCCAGTCAGTGTAAGATTTTACAAACCATTCTTCCAAATAACATGACCCAAGAAGCTCAACCCTTAAGATACCCCTAAGCCTTAACGTAACCCTAACCCTGACCCTTAACCCCAATTCTTGAACCCCTATCCCTAAGTAAGTGTTAAACAACCCTCTGGAGCATGGATGGTACCCTCGAAAGAGAGGAAACAATCTTGATGATCACTCCTTACCTCATTTAGGAAGCTGATCTTGAATCCTGTTGCCCCAGCAACCCTCTGGTTGCCCTGGTTCATGTAGTTGCCCATGGCAAGAACAAGCTGGAAGGAACAATAACACACATGTTATTTAATGTACATGTATGGTGACACTTAGAAGCAATGTTATGAATGGCACAGTACTGTAGTAACTAACATACGATCATTTTGAGACATCTTTTAAAACCACATTGTATAATTTTGCTATCAAATGTGCAAAAGGTAATCTATATTTTTCAAATAAACTATGACTAACTAAAATAATCACTCTCAGCATGTAAACCCGGGCCCTGTCTTATAAAGAATTGCGATCAATCCAAATCAATCGCAAGTTTGCAGTCTCCTAACTCTTACATGTATGTACATAATTGCAATTGATATCAACTATTTTATATGATGGGGTCCAGGTATCAACATACTAGGCATATGGACTATGATATTGATAAGAAAACATATACTGCTTAAAAAAGATTGTTTTAGCTTTTGTTGTTGTGTTTCTTCAATATGAATATACATATGTGTATGATCATTGTCAAAGTCATTTGAAGGAATCAATTCACACATTTCAGTACACACAGCGTATGTTCACTATATGAATCAATTAATATACTGTAACTAAAACATAAAAACATGTGATCCATGGACAATATGTAACAGAGGGTTCATGCCTTCATTATTAAAACAATAATTGTTCATCATTACATACAACTTACTTCAAGAGCTTTGGCTAGTTTTTGGCTTTGTCTGAGCTCTGAGGAGGCTTGCTGTATCATGTTGAGATAACCCACCAACTCATCCACCTTCTCATGAAATCCAGCTTTCAACATCAGCGCTCTGAGACGAAGCTTGAAGCCTGGCACTCGACTTATCTGCAGACAAAATGAGAGAGAAGAGAAAGAATGATCACTGTGGAGCCCTTCCTAAATATATAATGCAGATGTATTTTTATTTTAAGTAAAACAGTTTAAGGATAAATTGGTATTGAAGTATCAAATGCATCAATACAAAGTGAAGTTCTGTGCAAAGTTGCTCAGTCTAAAAATACAGTCATTTACTTCTTAAAATGGAATGTAAAAACAACTGTGATGGATAAAGAGGCAGAAACATCTCATGAGTCATTTGTTTTAATCTTGTAATACCAGTAAATCATAATCTGAATGAATGAGATTGTTAATTATTTTCTAATGATACATTTCGTATCCGGACACCTACCCCCTAGGACAACTACCCCGCGACAATTTATACCACTCGGAGAACAGTTTTTAAATTGGGAAAAACACAACTTCATACATGGACATGTAACATCATGTCATCAGTCTGGACAATATGCATATGCAGCTTAAAAAAATGAATGTGTCTTACCTCAAATGCAAATTTGTCCGGTTCACTGAGCTGTGATGTCTGGCCAGCGTAACGTGCTAAGCTGTCAACCTGAAAATGAAAATGTAATTTGATTAACATTTCGGTGAACTAGGATAATTGAAGCTACCAAGCTACCCCATTGAGTAAAAAAAGGATTCAGGAGGAAAAAAATGGCATTTAACAACATTCCCGGCCTTTTGAGAAAAAAAATAGGGAATAATAGGTAAAAATAAGGGGAAAATCAGGAAAATAGGGGTAAAATCTGGAAGAAAAAAAAAATGGGGATTTTTTTTGGATTTTTTAAATCGGGTAATTATCATGCCTGTTTATTGCAGGTGACCTCAAGGCGATATTAGACTGTTTTTACACTATTTGAATAGAATACACACTTACCTCATCAGTGTCAGGGGCATACTGAGCAAGCTGTTGGATGTGAGCTACAGAGAGTCGTCTACATTGCATGGTAAGAATATCTTTCTTTAGCTCTTCGACAGGTGTCCGTAGGTGACCAAGCAAGATGGCTACACAAACGAAAGAGAAAACACATAGTAATAATACATGTACTCATATACTATACATATACTCAAATTCAGAGGTGGATACAGGTTGGAAAAAAACAACAATAAGGGGCACACTATTCTTTTTTTCCCCCTTTTTTTTTAAAAGTTAGAGCTACATACCTCTTTACGAAATAATGTGCTACAAAACTCACTGATGAGCAACAGCAAAACAAAAGAAAAACAATACAAAATTTGTCAGGGGCATTTAGGTCTAAGATTCAAAGGGGGTAGAAAATCATAATGGGGAGGGGGTGCACACGGAAGAACAATTATAAAAGCAAGATTCATACAAGTATTATATCATACACATACACATGTACAGGGGAGGGGAAGGGAGGGGAGGGGGAGGGGGGCTCAATTAGAACTCTACATAGGCTTTAATCTTACCTGTGTTGTGGGCTTTCTTGTGGTTGATTACAAATATCTGGTTCTTCCTGTCTCTGGGGGTGGACAAGCCTGCATGGAAAAAAGAAAAAAAGTTAGATCATTAACCCAAGAGAGTGACAGACTTTTCTCTCCTTACATTTACAGCACATCTGATGCTCAATGCCAACAACAGCAATCACAAAATATTTGTTGTTGCCTAACACAGGCATACAGTAGATTGATGATTAATTTAAACAGGAAATGATTTGCTCTAAAGTGTCATAAAAACACTAAGATGATCGACAGTGCATTATGACAGCAGGAGCATTTTTTTCCTAATTTTTAGATTTTAGTTTTTTTGACAACAGTTTTTGGACAGGTGGAAATTGGTTTTTATTTTAGTGATCTAGCTAAATCTTGGTGACCTTATTTCTACTTGTATGTCAAATAATTAAACATGCATGAGTAAATTTATCATATTAAAGAGTAAATTCATGAAAATTGTGAGAGGCAAGTATTAAGTTGTAGATTATAAACAAAAATATAGAGCCACTCGGTATGTTCATGGAAGTAAGATTTTGATCCTCTTTCCCATGTATTATATTTAAAGTAAAGTCACTTTCATAAGATTAAGATTTTCCAAAGGTCCTTATATCAAATAAAGGATATTCTTATGACAAAACATGCAGTGATATAAATACATATTTTATATTTAAGCTGAAAGTTGTCCTTTTTTTGTTATGAGAGCATAATAGTTACATGTTAATCTGAGACTTGGCGCCTAATTGTAGCTAAATGCAAACATAAAGCCACAGCTCTATTTTTTTGGAGAAACATTGTACATTGATCTTGTTGCACTTTTGAAGCTAAAGAAATAATTACACAAATGTGATACACCCCCCCCCCCCAAAAAAAAAAAAAGATCCATAAAAATAAATGTAAGCATTGTCACTATGAATATGACTGACAAAGAAAGCGGACAAAATATACAGTTCCTCAGGTAGATAAAGGACATTCCTTCACTGCTATTATATAAAAATGTGTAGAACAGGTATCACATGCATATTCACCTTTTTACATAATAGCAGTGAAGGGATGTTCCTTTATCTACCTGAGGAACTGTATATTTTGTCCGCCGCTCTTTGTCAGTCATATTCATAGTGTGTTAATCTGATTTTACTTCCAAATTTCAACAATCCCTTACAGTTAATTCACTGCCGCACCTGCCTGTGTTTTGCATAGATGTACATGTATGGCATCCAGCGTACAACAGGTAAATAATTTATTAGATTGATGAGAAGATTGAAAGTGAATTAATCCACCGACTGCCATTGTAATAAATACATAACTTACATGTGATATGAAATTAGGAAGACATGGAAATGTAAAAGATGCAAATTTAATGATTTGTGATGTATAATATGGACCTTTTTCAAACCTATGCAGCAGCTTCTTTGGGAGGACATCATAATTTGATTGCCTAATTTTCAGTTCCCTGGACTTTGTTATCATTATGTGAACTCATTTAAAGACACATTTAGCAAACTACATGAGAATGAGCCGACTAATTTTCAGCTGAAATAACCCAAATTGCACATAAACACATATACATGTACCTTACCTATACTGTGCATGTATATCACACATATAAAAGACATCAATTAAAAAAATGCCTAGATCCCTAATCAAACACAAAACCAGCTCTACATACTGTTAAAAGTGTTGGGGGTATACTGTGATAAAACATGAAGTATGAATGGGTCTTTTGAATTGATTTTTTTTTTTTTTTTACTAAACTACTTAATTTGGCTTATATGAAACAACTTTATAACTGTCATATCTCCTTTACCTAACCCCCTGCCCCACCCCAAATAAAAAGTGATAGTCAAAATCTTAGAATTCATTTTAACCTCCATCATGTTACTGCCTTCTGTAGCAAAATTTAATAAAAATAAATCCACTCCTATACAAAAAAACACAACTTCATACAAAAATATTTGTGATGAATTTAAGACTGCAAAAAACATTTCAGGGAACAATTTAGAAACGACAAGTACAAAGTGAGGTGAAATGCATTGATGAATGAAATTCTACATATTCCTGCAGTGGCCACATGAAATCAGCATCATAAACACAGTGACGGGACAAAACAGCGATTCTGCTAAAACAAATATGAAATATGCCAACATCTGTGAAGTGCAATTTCTCTAACAACAACAAGTTATATCACATCATATATTCTGACCTAGCTTACCTCCTTTTCCAGGTTTTCCATCTGTGAAAGAACCGAGTTATGATTAAAAAAATAAATAAACATAATACACTTCTCTTTAAGTAAAACATCGCTAATGCAATAGATAGTAATTTTGGTAAATTGATACAGCTGTACATGTACACAAACATGTATCAAGAAATCATAAAATTAGAATCCTTAATGACTTCTGTTCATTTTTTGAGAAAAATGCACAAAGTCTCAGTCACTTGTAGCACCTGAAGGATTTGAATGTTATCAAGGAATTCTCCATTCTGAATCAGAACTCACTACAGATCAAACAGTACTATCTGTTAAATACCAGAACGAAGTTCACTCTGTGTTAATACAATACAGGAACTAATGCTATTCTGGATGAACAAGACTTCATTCATATTTTCATGAACATTCTTTGATTCCTAACATGACTTTAAATCTGTGAAGGAAAATAAATGTTATGGTTCCATAAAGAATGAAAATATGAATGAACTCTGACCTTTGCCCTTGCTGACTGTACTGAACTTTTCCTCGAGCTCAAGGTGCTTGATGACATCATCAAAGTAGCCCACCTCGTCACCAAGCTGTGTAAGTATGACAGATATACATGTACATGAAGAGTCAATCAGAGACATACAAGATGAGAGAAAGAGGGTCAAAATGGAGAGGGAAGGACAAAGCATAAGAGACAGAGAATTTAGCTAATCATTTAAACTGTTGTTACGTAGTGCTGCAGCACGAATGCCCTTTGGCTAGACATTAATCTACATTTGCAACTCTCCATCCAGTGGTAAGGAATTCCTTCAATGGTGGGAGCACCAAAATTGGTAGTGTAGCAGAACCAGGGTATTATTGGAGCACCTTGCATGATGGATATGTGCACTTTATTAAAGATATGTAATATCATTATTATTATCAGTAAACAGCGCCTTTTCATTTGTAAGTAACCAATAAAAGTACATGATGCTAGTACAGTCCAACCTGCTTTAGTGACCACCTGTCTACAAAGACCACATTTTTTGTTTCCGTTGAAAATGGTTTCTCACTGAAACATGTACTAAAGAAACCTGTCTACAAAGGCCACTTTTTGTATTTCTCCTGGGTGGTCGCTATAGACAGGTTTGACTGTACCACTTAAAAATGTCGAACATTATCCATAGTTCTTTAGATGAAATATAAAACCTCGACTCACCCCGCTCCAGACGGTGTTCTCTGTATCCTGCAGCTTCTCCCAATTGAGCCTCTTGACGGACATCTTGGCTTCACTCGACCAGTTGTTATTCATCTCCCCCGGTATGGGAGGGGGAGGAGGAGGGACGGGGGGAGGGGGTGGTGGGGGTGGGGGCGGAGGTACCATGGAGATGGGGTATTGGCCTTCCATGCTTCCATGTGAGGATGAGCCAACTGCACGAGGAAAAAAGAGAAGGAAGTTAACAAAGCATAACAACTTTTTTTTAATGAGACATCAGTTGCAAAATAACATTCGTTTCAGGCTATGATAACTTGAGGGTTCAATGGTTTGAAAATGTATCACTAAATCAGCAGGGCTAGTTTGATCCTCATTTGACGTAAATGTACACAGCCAATGGATTAACTCAAGACTTCTCTTTGGCTTTGTATTGGACAGGTTAAACAGATAAAGTTTCATAAGTTGAAAAAGAATTTTGATTTTTTTTTAATCTGAACATTTTTTGTATGCATAAATCGACATACTACATTATGTTTAATATTGTCACTTTAGACATACATGTATGAATCTTTAAATTATCCAATCATAGAGCTACTTATAACAACTTATGAGGATATTTCAGATTTGCAATATTCAAACTCCATGAAAAAAAAATCAATGCATTCAGATAATCAAGATACAGTACTGGGATTTAAACAAATACATATATATTCCTACTAAAAATCTGACATGAAAGCTAGATTTTCTTTGTGATCTCACAGTCCATGAGATACATATACGTTTAATAGCCACTTATGAAATACATTTTGATGTTTAGTCATGCAGAGTATTTTAAGCTTCAGGCTGATTATAGCAAACATGTTAGTAAAACAAGTACATGATGCAGGTCTCTTTGGGTACACGTACTGTTGATTTAACTATTGTTAGTCAAATAAAGCCTTAGTATATGAATCAATGAGCAGCAGAGAAAAAGGTTGTAAATAATGGGATTGAAAAAAAATACATGTACATGTAAATGATAAAATTGTTAATGCAGAAGCACTAATTATATCATAATTAATGAAATTCAGTTCCTTCTATTGTTTTCTATAATTCAATATTTGATTACCTCTCTATCTACCCCTCTATCAAGAAACCCTTATCGCTATTGATTGTAGTAGCAACATATTTATTTGGCTACCCCTTTTACTTTTCTCTCTCAAATTATTTTTCATCCTACATCATCTCTCCATCTGTTCTTCTGTCTGTAAACTGTTATAATCAGTGTCACCTTACACCATTAATCCCTGAAGACCTATCTTTCTTTCCTTCCTTCCATCCATCCGTTATACCACAACTCTGTTTCAGTGGTAGCATCCTCCTCACTGTACATTGTAGACTGACTGAATCTAATTTAGAGAGCCTATTTTACACTTATATGTTCCACTATCTTAAAATTCTTCTTTCTATCCATCGAGCTATCCCTCTATCCACAAACCTTCTTCTTCATCATCACCATTGATCATGGTAGACTCAATGAATCTACTCTACCTGAATACTTCAATTTTCCTCTTTACATCAATCTTTCACTATCTCTCTATCCTTCCATCTATGTATAACCATCAATCTATCCCTCTATCCACAAACCTTCTTCCTCATCATCGCCATTGATCATGGTAGACTCCAGCGATCCATTGTGTTCTTCCTGGGGGAGGGGCATGACAGGGGGCGGGACAGGGCGTGGCTGACTCTCATGGGTGCTTCTTATCAGCTCATCCATACGCTCCTGGATGCTCTTCTCTGAGAGGGGCGGGCTGGGGGCGTGGCTTATGGAACTGCGGTTTGAGTGGTTGCGTTCACCAGGGCTGGAATTCGGTATTGTCTGAAACACAAAGAAAGGTAGATATTAAAGATCCCATGCAAATCGTAATATATATATGTACATGAACGTGCCCATTTATCAAAGTGCATTAAAAATGCATTTCCTTTCAATAAGGATGAATACTAAGCCTTCCAATGCAGCAGATCTCAACTAAATAAATAATAAATACAGGAATACAATACTTTCTGAATACTCAGGAAGTGATTATGATTGCACTTGAAACATTCAACATGGATAGTTGGTTCGCTCACATGTAAAATAAAGGCTTAGATAAAGTTTACGAAGAACAGAAATATGATACAAAACATTGATACATTTTGGTGATGTCAAAATAATAGTCACACATAATAATGATTCTTGTTTTTTATGGCTTCTTTTGTTTCCTTGGGTTTTAGAATTTAATCGTTATTCAGTTATTCATAACATTCAATAGTGGTAATAATCAATGAAGATAGACTAAACTGAATAACTTTGTTGTGTTTGAATCCAGAAAACAATTGTGAGAATGGAACTTTGGTAAATTTTGTCTCATCAAATCTGAATATGAATATGAATACAAGTCTATAAATTGAATGACCCGGGAGGGTTTAAAGAGGAAATGGTAGATGGTTTTGAAATTCCCTGGATTGATTCACATACAGTACATGTACAATTAAGCTTGCAGCATGTTTGAAGTATACAGTACATTAGTTTGGGATCTTGCATCATTAGACTGGAAAATGCAATCCTTAAACAGCCCTTGACTCATGAAAACATACAATTAGGCACTTGTTTTTGTTCTAAAAGTTGAATAATTACCCCTCCCTCCCCCCTGCAGATCTCACCAATCCCATTTTGCTCCTTTCCTCCTCTCCTATTCTTACCCCTCGCTACCCAAGGTTCTCTAATTTTACCTGCACATCTGGAAAGGACCAGTTATTGTCTTGTTGATGATGCTGCCGATTTCTGGAGTGGGAGCGCTGCCTGCCGTCCTGGTAAGCATCCAAGCTCCCTATCTCGTCTGACCCCCTCCGGTTGGTCAGCGGAGTGGAATAGGCGAAGCCGCCACCGGATGTGGACATGGGCGGGGAAGACTTCCCGTTGTTTCGTGAATTATTGTTGTTGTTGACACTCTCGTTGTGTGGAGTGCGGTGGCCATTTTGTTGGGTTGACCTGGAGGACCTTGGCACGGATCTTGACCGGGATTGGCTGCTGCGAATGGACGCGGCCGCGCCCTCTTCGTCTGACACGAGGTCAGCAACAACTAGGGCGGATGATAAAGAGTCATGCGCAGGTTACAACAAGAAACAGAGGTAGTGATAATCGAACAGCAATGAGATAGCTACATGCAGTACATTTTCAATTATCACACTGCCACTCGGGATTGAATTACAAAAACAAATTCTTGATGTAGTAAGAATATGCAATATATTATATCAAAATATTAGGTTGCTCTTGCAGATATAAAGGCGTGATTGGTCCAGAGCTCATCATGTGATATCCATTGTGAGGATTGTAATTAGCATATTTCACGCCCTGTCATTTATCAATGGTTAAATTGACCAACCGGTCAATTTATTATATATTTTTTTTGTATTCCCGTATCCAGGCAACCCTGAGCGCACAAGCGCGTACCCATTGTTTGAAATGTCCTTAGCCTCATACATTTTTTTCGCCAGCCTAGCTGCTCGAGAAAAAAAAGGCATAAAATCACAATTACCCTGAACTTTATAACAAGTTCTAATCAAGGCTATCTGACATAAATAACTGGATGGGGTGTAATATACTTTTAATGGACCGCAAGGGAGTTATATTTTCCCTTTTGATTATTATTACAGGAAGAAATGTACCGTAACCCCCTTCATCGGTCCAAAATTGTTACATTACACACCCTACTAGTCAATATCTGTATAATAAGCCAGTGCAAATTACAATAAAGCCATGAATACACAGATATATTCAAAGTGCTACACAAGAAGTGCCATTCTTATACAATACTGCATATATCACATGTCACACTGGATATGAAAAATGATGAACAAGTGCTAAACTTTCCCAATAAAGGCAAAGAAAAAAATAGGTGAATTCATATTCACTACTGTCACTGCATGAATAAATGAGTGATATTTGAAACTATATATGATGAATGCAAACTTCATGATACACACTTTTTGAAAATGAATTATAATTATATATGTAATTTGAAATGCAACATAAGAATATATCTTGGAATGTGGTAGGGGAAATGCAATGCGGCATGCAATTAGTGTAATACAAACTGTGTAACTCAGTTGACAAGCAAAATGAAAGAAACAACCAAGTCAATTGTATAAGTCAATGCAATTATATATAACTGACATATACTTCAGTTTTAAAACAATATATTCCACTTTGGTAAAACAGGATAATGATGAACGAACTTTTCAATTCTAAAACATCTCAATATTCCATGAGTTTATTAAAAGTATTCAATCAGACAAAATAAACATTATTTCATATGTCAATTATTGCTATATTAATAATTTCACAAAAATTCTCCAAATGAAGCAAATTCGGCACATCAAAATGCTTCAATCTACATTTTAAAATCTGATTATGTACATATATCCGTGCCCTTGCCTTCAAGGTTAATAGACATATAATGTGCATATAAGAAAATAAAGACTGTACCATTACACTTCAAAAACTTTTCTGATAAAATGAAACCTTCTTTCTTTATATAACCCATTTCCTTCCCCTAGAAAAACTTGATGCATAAGATAAAGAGATCACTAAAAGATTCCTCTTAGTTAAATATAAGTGGATCAACCCTACACCCATACTAAAAAATCCTTGTACAAGTATAAGAAACTTAAAATCATTAATCTGCCGATGGATTCCTGACAATTGAAACCATTTTCTTTAAAAAAAATCTTATGCATAAGATCCATCTATGTAATCTAACTTACCAGCTAACATTTCTATTACTTAAATTTGTACCAGTACTTAAAAACCCCTCGTACAAAAAACAAGTACCACAAACCTGCCAATGGGATCCCTCTATAATAAACCATGTTTGCATTTTAAGAGAACTAACATCCCTTTATACATGTACGTGTATGTACTGTATCATTTGGTTTCCCTTACTAACCTTATACCAGTACTAAAAACCCTACGTATAAGAAAACAAATACAACTAACCTACCAATGGGTTCCTCATGAATAAACCCATTTCCCTCTATACTTAAAACCTATTACATACATTTATGATAACTAAAATCACTTATATGTACTGTATCAGGTAATGGTTACCCTTACTTTCAAACCTTATACCATTACTAAAAACCCTTTATATAAGAAAGTAAATACAACAAACCTACTAATGGATTCCTCATTAATAAATCCATTTCCCTCTATATTTAAAGCTATTGCACAAGATAACTGAAATCACTTAAATGTACTGTATCAGGTAACGGTTCCCCTTACTTACTCCTATTTACTATACTTATACTCAAAACCCTTCATATAAGAAAACAAATACAACTAACCTGCCAATGGGTTCCTCATGAATGAACCATGAATGAACACAAGATAACTGAAATCACTTAAATGTACTGTATCAGGTAACGGTTCCCCTTACTTACTCCTATTTACTATACTTATACTCAAAACCCTTCATATAAGAAAACAAATACAACTAACCTGCCAATGGGTTCCTCATGAATGAACCCATTTCCCTCTATACTTAAAACCTATTGCGTAAGATAACTAAAATCACTTATATATACTGTATCGGGTAACGGTTCCCATCACTCTTATTTACTAAACTTATACTCAAAACCCTTTGTATAAGAAAACAAACACAACTAACCTGCCAATGGGTTCCTCACGAATGAACCCATTTCCCTGTGCTCAAAGCCCCCCGCATTAGATAAAAAAGTCTCCTGAGAGAGCTGGGATCGTCTACGGCCGGAGGGGAGGGAGTGAAAGGTGTTGAACTGTTCCCCTAGAGGGCGCTGTTGGTGAGAAGAGGATCTGTTGCGAGGATAAAACAAGCGCTCATCCGGCACCAGATCGTCGTCATCATCAAAATCTTCTGGGTGAGGTTAGAGATTGAGGGAGGGAAATGCAGGGTGTAAGTAAGCAAAATGTCATGCAACTTGTTAGCGGGGGAGGGGGGGGGGGGATATTTCAAGCAGACTATCTGTTAATATAGTCCGAGAAAGAAATCTAGAATTAAATTAGACAAGTGCTTATGTATTTGAATTAACATTGAAGTGTCACATGTATCTATCATATTTCAGTTAGAGTCTAAAAACGATTACACACATGAAGTGTTCTTTACTATTAATCAGTGTAAAACAACAAACTTAAAACAAGTTTCAACAGAGGGACACATGACCTACACTTTAGAATGGTTACTACATTTAAGTATTTTAAAATAAAATTGCACAGACAGATTTCATTTATACTGTACATGTTAAAATCAATTAAAAGCTAAGTGAATATAGGCCTATTGGAAAAGATATAAGAAATACATGCAAATGTACCTGTACTTACAAAATTATATCAAACAATTTATATACTTTGGAGTCTGGACATGTAAATGTATACACTACAATGTACTTTGATAACCTGTTACATCAAAAAGTTTGTATTAAATCAAGTCAAATGCATATGCACCAGGCCTCATACATGAGGGATAATCACCAATGTATATACACCTTACAGTTATGTAGCATTTGAATATAGAAAGGCGGGATTTGAGATTACAGTAAGCAAGAAGTTTCAAGAAGAATACCATGCCACAGAGCATACACTGTACACAACGTGTATAAAGATATAGAGGTACAGCCTGAGATTCATGACAGGATGAAATAGATTCCCAAGCTAATTAAATAATTTAGTATTCCATCTCATACATGTACAGTGAAGGGTATGCAAATAACATTACATCTTTCTATCGCAATTCTATCAAAGAAATGTTTTCTTTTGAAATTGTTCTCATTTAATGGAAATGACATGTGTTAGCCTATACTGTATTTAATAATTGTACATCGTTTTCATACACTGCAGTCCAAATACAAGTACTTTACATGAAGAGCATAAAAGAAAAAATTTAAAAATCAAGTAGGACTTACATGAAACTTCAATACCCATAAGTGCATTAATGAATGAACCAAGAAGTAAATTTCGATCATAGTATACAAAATTTGTTCTTTAATTATCTCTTCATAAGTAAATATTGACAGCTTAGTATGAGCCAATATTCTGAATATAGAATACCAAAATTGATCCCGACTATTTAATCTTCATGAACAGAAACAACACTTTTGGGAGATTTTTTTAATGGAAATGGGGGGGGGGGAGAAATTCAAAGAAAAATGAACAAGATGAAATCAAAGCATGCTCTCTGTCTGGAAATGAAATTAACTATTGCTTAAATCATAGAGCGTTTCCAAGAACATGTCATAAAACATTTTTCATGCATGAAAAAGATGCAATCTAGAAGAAACTAGCAGAAATATCCATGTATCACTTTTAACATACAACCAACATTAGAGATAACAATGAATGTGATCCTCATAACGGTTTCTCTGCGCATGAAATATTAGCCACTTATATACCGTTAGACTGATGAAATTTAATGCTTTGAGTTGTAACAGGCATGATTTTATTAATGTAGTTCAGACTGAAATGTCTTGAATTTTTTTGTATTTTTATTCATGTACATCATATATATGGCCTTGAAAAGAAGTCTTGACTAAAATGTCACTTTTAAATGCAGATTTGAATGCAAATCTGAATGCAAGTGTACACTAAACATAAGTCTGAATGCAGGAGTGAATACAGGTTTGAATGCACGTCTGAATGGAAATTTAAACAAAGGTATGAGTACAATTCTGAATGCAAATGTGGATGCAGGGTTGAATGCATGTTTTGAATTTGTCTGAATGGAAATTTAAACAAAGGTTTGAGTACAATTCTGAACGCTAATGTGAATGCAGATATGAATGCAGGTTTAAACACATGTCTGAATGCAGGTTTGATACAGGTTCGAATGCAAGTCTGAATATTTACAATACAATAGTGTCAGTTGATAAATACACCACACCTTCTAGAAAAGAGACCAATGTGAAACAGACAGCCAAAAAGGGTATGTGTACATACATGTACATGATCAAGGGTATGATGGGTATGGTGTAGGGATAGATACAAGTGATTTAGGAATATAAAATGTTGATGATTTCATGATTTAGGAAAAGATATTGATGATTTATGAGGTTACCTATATCACTCTCAGGTAGATAAATGGCATGGCGAGTTCGCTCTGACACTAAACGAATTGTTGAAATAAGAAAAGATTTACATTTATTGGCTACTGAATTAAGTCCCTGTGGATATTACATCTTTGATTTATCATACTTACTTTCCTCTTAAATCCTCTTGAACATTATACTACATTGTTTTTTAATGTAGTTATATATTTTTGAAGGATTAGTTTCTCATTACTTCGTGAAACTATGATAACATTATGAATATTGCGATGATTATGTCTTTAATAGAGTATACTCTGTAATACTGAATGTTGATGACATAAAAAGTCGATCCTGTAGATATTTTGTGTAAAGCAATTGCCATTATGCCAACATAGTGACTATACGGTAGGAGTACTTCCTAGGGAGTGGAGATGGTGCACACATTGTACATGAATGAATCTTATGAGTGAGGAAATACTAATATCTGTAAAGCGCTTTAAGGTGATACTTTGTTTTATGCGCTACATAAATCCAGATTTATTATTGTTGTTATAAGGGTCCCTTGAGATTGTAAATGTAGAGAAGGAAGTTTGATTCAAACATTGATACAGTACATGCAGAGAATGATCATTATATGCTTATAATTATAATACAGACATATATATATATATATATGTACATGTATATCTACTTCTAAAGAAATCCTACTCTTATATCACTGTATATGACCAAATACATGTTAACGGTTCAAAAATATTAACGATCATTGAGCATTCTATGATACATGCTGGCACTATTAAAGAGGAAGATGTGGAAAAATATTAATTCGTCTTTTACCAAATCTTCTATCCATTCTCCGCGGTATGGGGAATATGTCCGAATCGTCATCGTCATTTTCGTCGATGAACCTGCGGAGGTCCGGCTGGCTCCGATGCCGCTGCCGCATCCTCCGTGGGAACGTGCCCCTATCGTCTCCCATCATCGAACCATCCACTGACCCCCTACTCCGCTGTCTCAGCATCTCGTAATCATCAACTGTTCATGCATTGTTAGAGGAGGAAGCAAAGCAAAAATTGGGAGGGATGCTGGGGTGAAAAAGTCTTGCTGGTATTTTGTTTTAAAAGGGTTATGTTAGAAATAAGCATTGTATCTATCTTTTTATCACACCATGCATTTTGAGGTATTGTAAGTGCAAAAATATGGGGTATAATAATTGGGGCCTAAAAATTACGCTTGTAATAAATGTAGAGCAGAAAATAATGTAATTGATGGAAGTTGAATTTTACAGAACAAATGCATTTGTTTGCTTCATTATTAGTTAAAAATTCATTTAAATGTACTGTATGTACAGGTACTGTAAAACCTTTATTAACGGGTCAACTGCAGTAAACTACAAAATATGACCACTACAGACACTCCTCTTTCTACACAGGTTCTAAAACATATACATTTTTTCATAAAGGAGACAGTAAAACTCGCCAGTATAGAAATTAAGTTTTTTTTTTTTAGTTAACCACAATAATCAGAGCTTTGACTGTAATCTATTCAGTGTTAAAATGAACTAATCTACATTGTAAGCCCAGCAGAAGGATTTTGTAAATGTATGTGAGTTGTACGGATGTCATCACAGGATCGTCAAACTTCTAAAACTCTTTACCGGTATGTAAATCCACTGGTCGTACATCCATCTGCAACATGTTGGTGGTTACATAAGGACATGTCCATACATTTGGATGCACCCATGCACTAATCTAAAAATTATGTACATGTAGATCTATAGGATAACTACAACATACATGTAAGTAAAACAAGTATGTAGTTAAATCATGTCAAAACTGAATATAAACAAAATGAATATAAGCTATCACAAGTTCTAAAAAAAGAATAATACTTCTGAATTTCTTATCACAGAAGATACAATAATAAATTATTTGTAATAAAAGAGTGTACAGTGGTTAAATGAGAGTCACATGCAAGTTCCACAACCGGAATAGAGAAAATCCCAATATAACCATATATCGAGAAGAAAAAGTGAAACAGTTTCAAATCAATAAAACCCAAGTCACAAATGAACATCAGTAAAATTCATACATGATCCATGAAGAAGAAAAAAAAGAGTGTATTCAATGGCCGCTAAACACCTTACATTCCAAATAAATTGTAAAACCAGATTTGAGAAGTTGCTAATGTACGATACATCTGTGATTCATAATCAAACATATCCCTGATTTGGAGGCGATTTAGCCATTTTCTTACAAAATTGAATGCTCACAATACACAATATTTAAAAATATGTGTAAAAATATGTGAATATACATGTAGTATTCATATGAATATTCAGGATCTCAATTGCTTTTTTAGTCTATTCATGTATCTCTAGGTAATTCCTTTCCCAAATCTGTTTGTAGTTGAACTGTAAGGTGTGAAGTGACCATAAATTCAGAGTTAGAACCAAAGTAAAGAAGATAAGAGTACAGTAATGATTCAAACAAAACTACATAAAGTAAGAGAAAAAGAAAAAGATTATATTGATTATATAAACCTGTCATAATACCTGCTACGTATACAATATGCGGTCTCCTCGGGGCTTATGGGAAAAGGACGAAATTCTGGTCAAATTGATTCAATTCTTTTTTGTTTATTTTATTGTGTTGCAACATATATTTGTCATACTATTTAGTTCTATTCTAGCCAATATACAAAATCAAATGATAAATGTGCATGTTTATAAAAGGACTAAAGACAATGCACATGTATAGCGATATTGCAAAGAGAGGGTGGGTATTTGGGAGGTGTAACACAAAATCGCTTTGGACTAAATTATATTTGCTCTCGCTAAACTGAAGCTGGGTTACAAATCACATGGTTGTAATAATATTGTATCTATTGTTGGAAGGAAAAGTTATGAAAGGGATAATTTAGGACACACTTACATGCAGGAGACCACTGAGCTTAACTGATAACATTTGAAAACAGGTTTGTGTCATTGGGTAACACAGGAAGATATATGTAAGTCACAATAAAAACAAATAAGTTAGATGTCATGATTCTTATGTTATAATCAATGGCGATTGGAACTTTTCACAAGAATTAAATTGCATATAAGCAGAATTGACAAAATAATTAGTTGCATAATCTCATGTTAGGTATTTCTTGTTGATGATTAGTTTAATGAAGCACAATGTGTTTTTGCTTCTCAGTTAGTCAGAAAGTCAGTATCATTTCTGCATAAATTTGCATATCATTATATTCTAGATGAATTCGGTAACTCTCTTACCTGAGCTGACCATAGCAGGTGGGTAATTCCCATCGTAAGAAGGATCCATCCATCGTTTGCTGATCAACTGCGGCTCACCGGAATCTAAAAGATGATAACAATAATTGATACCATCCATCATACAAGCCATATGACAGGGCGACACTCACAGGCATCCTGGACACTTTGATGCCCCAAATCAAAGTCTTAAAATATAAAAACGTTATTACAGAGGACTCATGAATATAGACTCTCACTTCAGTCAGGACATCCTCCAAAAAAAAATTAGTGTAGAGCCCTGCTTAAGACGTGCTTTTTAGAGTGGCTACACATCTCTGTATGCTTTTAGATTGAGATACAACCACGCATCCATCCTCATATTTGTGATATCATTTTATTGATTGAGTCAAAGAAAGTAGCTTTCACAGTACTGTATGGCTGATGAAAGCTTTCCTTGTATTGTATGAAATCAAATTAATTAAATCAAATAGTTAACAACTTTTAGCGTTTCTCACAGCTCATCAATACTTGATTACATGATCTGGTTTTCCCTTTCATAAAAAAGGCGTTTACAGGCAGTCTTATCTTAGAAGCCCAAACTTTACACTCCAAGTACATACCCATTTCCCTCCAACTATGGAAGTGAACTGCCACAATATCACAAGCACAATATGATTTATCCATTTGTGAAAATGTAGCTCTCATATTATTTGTTTCAAAAGCATTTTTCTTTTTAATAAAGATATCTTTAGATAATGATGCTTTGTGAAGCATCACAATGAGTACTCTCCATAATAACTTCACAAGTCCCTCAGTAATAGTTGCATAGATCTTCATCACTAGTTGAAGTGCTTTGTCCTTTCTTTTCATAAATCAGTTACATTAAACAGCCAAATTGTGAATAGTTTGCTTTTCATTATAGGTTAAATGATCAGTCAATTGTTACAACCCAACTTGCATACATATGGATACCAAATTTAAACAACCGTACAGAATGGAAGGACTACTTACAACCAAGATGGCCGAGTGAGCGATGCCGGCGCATCCTTCTCCGCCGCTCCTGCTGAAACATGTAAGCTGCTTCTCCTAGAGGCGGGAGTTTAGGAAGGGGTTCATAACGAGCACACAGGAGAAAAACAAGAGCCGGGAGCAGCAAAAACAATGGAGACACACCACAAAGCAGGGCGGAGAGAGAGAGAGAGAGAGAGAGATGGAAGCCGAAAAAAGAAGCAGAAAAGAGTAGGGTATGTAAAAACAAGATGGCACTACAAGCGGACAAGGTTGTGCAGACAATCTAAGTGCATACCCACCCACACACAGCATGCTCATGCAAAAACAATATGAACTATCTGCAACTTTTCAACTAGCATATGAAATTATCATTATTAAGTAAGATATAATAGCATTAAAATCAGTGAATAAATATTCTAAAAAAAGGTTACAGTTGCAAATAATCCTCAATTTAACTGCTTTTACTTATGATTATACAATATATGGAAACCATGTAAATTTTTGTGATTATAGATTTATACAGATTTACTTCTCGCACTATTATTGTGTCTAATAAGCTAATATATGTCAAGTTTAAAACATCCAAAAACAAGTTACTGTAAATGCTAAGTATACTATCCAAATAAATTGAGTTATTTCACAGACTCTAAATTTCTTTTAGCTGCTTCATAATAATACATGTACTTGTTAGAATGGCAAATCATTTAATTAAAATTAGATTCTTGTAAGTAATTTGAAATCAATTTTCATTGATGACAATCAAATTCTTCATAAGAGTCAGTATCAATTTTTTCAAGAATGCATAGAATTATATTACTTTGCCTTCTTGAACAAGATAATAAAGAGTAATCTTGGAGCATTTTCCTTTTAATAGTGAACAAGCTTCAGTTTCTTCTTGCAATAATGCCCGATCTGCAACTCATCCTTAAGGTGTGGCAACTGTCTAGATCGATCTACATGTTAGTACATGTCGATGTATATTTGTATAGTTATTGAGTGCTGCTATATGGGAGATTTTAACACCTTATAATATATACTGCAGGATATCACTCCAGTCAAGGCCTCTTTAAGGGATAGGATTTTTTTTTCAGTCTGTTTTCGACAGTGTCAAAAGCGATGAAACTACAGGCTTTTTAGGGTAAGGAGCTTCAAATTCTTCTCTTTTAAACAAAAACTATTTAAAGTCTTTTTAGTGATCCCCTTCAAAATCTTTTTGAGATTCAACATTAGAAGAAAAAAATCGGACTTGGCACTGCTGATTTTAGTCGTATCTAGGGGAGGGTATTTGCTACGCAAAATTAAGTCATCTTTGATGGGTTAGGCAAAGGGGCGAATGAAACATTTGATGTGGTGGTGGTGGTGGTGGTGGTGGGGGAGGGGGAGGCTTCCTTACCTGGTTCAAACTCGCCGGGGGCGCCAAACACCACATCACCATACGAGGGTGTGATGTCATAGCTTGCAGCCCTACTATGGTTCCTTGACTTGGCCCTGAATGGGACCTCTTCATCAGGGTGCAGGGGACTACCCTTCGGCTTGTAAACAGCATCTAAAAACAAAATGACAAATAAAAATGTGTTCTAATTTTTCTTAGTTACCAGCACAAGAGAGAGACAAAGAAACAAAGACAGAGAGAGAGAGAGAGAGAGAAAGAGAGAGAGAGTGAGAGGGAGGGAGAGAGGGAGGGAGGGAGGGAGGGAGGGAGAGAGAGAGGGAGAGAAAGAGAGAAAGAGAGTCCAAGAGAGATAGAAAGAGAAAAATAAGGGAGAGTGTGGATGGTATAGACGGAGAAAGATATACCAAGAAATATCAATAATCAAAATAGAGAGTGTGAAAAATATAGACAATTTATAAAAAATAATCATGTATAATATACGACTATATAAATATATTACCTGAGGCATTGTATAAATATATTATAGTCATTCAGCAACCGTGCACTGCACTTAACCCTTACTGTACTGGGCTATTTCGAGCACTCTCTGACTGGGGGGGGGGGGCCTGGGAGGCCCCCCCCCCCTATGATCTCGGCCGTCGAATGTCCGATGAACGCGAAAATTTGCATGTTTGTAGATATTTACGTAAGGAACAAGATGGTATAATTAGTTTTTTCCTAATATGCAAATTGTTGTCGTTAAAGCCTAATTAATTATGCAAAATGCTAATTTTATGCATATTATAGAAAACTCTACATATTTGTCCGTAGACTTGTGAAGAATCTTGAAAATGTATTGAATAAAGGTTTCCTTCACCTCAAATTCATGAGGTTTCATTATTTTTATGATTTTTGAAAATGCATAGGTTAATTTGCATAAATTATGAATACGCATTCATGAATATCAAATCTGGAAATATATAGAACTATATGGGAACTAGAATCACTACAAAAATTGTCAGACTCCACTTTTTTAATGTTAATTGAAACTCATTATTCATATGAAACTTCTTTTCTAACACAAAATAGTTATTTGATGTAATTAATAATGATAATTTATGCAAATTTGATGCGATTTTCAACTATTTATTTTCTTATGTATTTTATTGTTTTTTATTTCTTACTATATCTACTGTTTTATTTCTGATGTATTCTTTTGTTCTGAAATACATCAAGTTACTTTGAGAAACATATAAAAGCAATTTGATACCAATTCATATCTTCACATTTCTGTTTGTACATGAATATATGCAATTATAGCACTTTTTTGATGACATGCGCATACTAATTGTTATGTAACACCTTACAGGTATATCCGATTTCGACGAAAATGGTATCAAAAGGCGGTTGCGGCGCGATCTCCGAAAATGTCGAGGGGGGGGGGCCTCCCAGGCCCCCCCCCCCCCCCAGTACAGTAAGGGTTAACCCTATGTTATTCATACTACAATTAATTCTCATCTATCTCTCACTAACCACACAGGATTTCACACCACTGCTTTTTCTGTAAGCGCTGTGAAACCAATTGTGTAAGAGCGCTATATAAATGAACATATTATTACTTGTATCATTACAAATAATCCAAGGATTGGGCTGTAAATTACTAGCAACATGAGTACAGTGTATACTCTAAAACCAGAAACTTGTTTCCGAATAAAACGTTCCTGAATTTCATAAATGGTCCACAATCATGACAATTTTATGCCACAAAATGAATGGATCACAAATTGACACAACCCTAAATATTGGCAATTAGCGAAAGTATGATTCAAATTTCAATGGTGTAAATGGTACCATTCATCTACCATTGGTGATTATGCAAATGAGCGTCCAAAAAATTATTATTAGGTTGAATGGTATTTTACTGGTAGATGAATGGTGCCCAATGGTACGTTGCGAGCGTAATCTCAATGGTATCCGAATGGTACTTAAATGGTGTTTGTGAATGGTATCCGTATGGTATTTTCAGTGGTACTTCTGAATGGTATACCATTGGTATACCATTGAACATTTTTTTGTAAGGGTTCATTTACAATTAGAAAACCACAGCGTTTTTGTAGTGGTTTACCACATCATATCTGAACGAGCCTTTAGACACTAAATCAAACTTGATGACATGATGATGCGTACCTGCAGCATGTCTATCGATGAGATAGATGACCTTCTTCTTGCACTTCTCCTGGACCTCATCGGGGAGGATGTGGATGATGTAAGGCCAGATCGTCCTCTTGGCGTTCGTGTCCAAGATCGGGAAGATCTCTACGATCAACCCATCAATGTTTCTAAAAGAAAAAGAAAAGTAAGAACATAAACAAACTCCTAGCATTGGTGTCCAAGATCGGGAAGATCTCTACAATCAACCCATCAATGTTTCTGTAAGAAATGAAAAGTCAACTTTTGATCAGGACAATCTCAATGGTCAATTCATCCAAGATAAATGTTCACAAACACTTAGCATTAGTGTCCATGATTAGGACAATCGCTATGATCAAACCATCAATTTTCCTTAAAGAAAATAAAAATCAACATTAAAAGACTTTTAGGATTGGTATCTAGAATTTGTACGACATGAAAATTGATAAAACGTTCCACTTGAGCATCAGACACTCTATCAATATCCTACTACACAATCAGGAAGAGAAACACATTAGGTGGATATAAATCTGATCGTTTTCTCTTGGCGACATTTGCTCTGGGACTATATTCATCCAAGACAATGGGTGGGGGATACTGTTACAATTGGGTTTAGGAAGAGGGTTAAGATTAGTAAAAAGTGCTTGGTCCAGTGTTGAAGTTAAGAATATAGTTAGTTTAGGAAGTAAATAAAACCATTTAACTTTCTAATCTTACCTTGTATGATGGTAGTCTCTGAGGCATTTCTTGATCACTTTTCTCTCATCGGGTGTAAGATGATGCTCCATCTACATTTGATCAACAAAAACATTGGTAGAGAAATCAAAGTCAAGTTAAACATGGGGATAAAAGCTATGATAAAGCTATAAGAAAATTCCATAATTTCCAGTTTTACCCTGATTTCCCCCCTGATAACGTCCAAAATAGGAACTTGTTTTCCTGTTTTTCTCTAATATACAGGATAGCCGGAAACCCTGCATTCTACAAAATCATTTAATAAGCCTCTAACCAGCACTTCATACTGTATCACATGTTTGGATCCAGAATGGTGTTAACTCTGTGTAGGAGGTAACATCTCTTGCTCCTATGAAACGATATCATCTTAATTCAGATTCAGATTAATTTTATTGGTCCATTTGGAAATTCAGTTGTTGGCATTACATAAAGCACATGAACAATATACACTAGATAATAAATAATACAAAGCAGCAAAGTTGCAATGATATAGTCATATGGAAACACGGATATACAGTGTAAATCGTTTTTACATAGTGGAATGATATAAGAAAGACAAAAAAAAATGTATGATTGCTTAGAATTCTGAAATATTATTAAATATTATCTTGTATTAGTATTAATGAAAGATTGATTTGGATAAATCTCCTCTCAGCTGGAATACTAGTCCCCATTTTTTCTTACCATTTCCTTGAACGTTCGACCGAGTGAGTACAGATCCATCTTGGACAGGGGCTTGAGGCCGATAATACTGTCACCATCGTAGACGGTTGTCGTGGCTCGACTGGTCCCTGATTCGGACAACCATCCTGCAATGGATGTGACGTCACTGGTCTGTGTGGTGCTCAGGACACTGCTGGACACCATACTGGCACTCGCCATCGAGTTAGCTGCAATTACAACAACAAAGAGGAAAGCACAATATTATAGCAGAAAGAATCAGGGTGGTACAGTCAAACCTGTCTAAAGCGACCACCCAAGGGAAACACAAAAAGTAGTCTTTGTAGACAGGTTTCTTTAGTACATGTTTCAATGAGAAACCAGTTTCAAGGGAAACAAAAAATGTGGTCTTTATAGACAGGTGGTCTATAAAGCAGGTTTGACTGTAATACCAAAAAAAAATATTTTGTTTGGCCATTGAGCAGGTAAAGCAGAGCAGTCTGGTGGACTATTTGAAAATTGATTGGGGGCTTTGTTAAAAAATACACACATAAAACAAAAACATAACCCCCCCCCCCCCTCCCCACTCCTGCGTACATGCCTGCCTACATGTATACACATAGTAGTTTGAAATAAAATCTTGGAAGTCATATCAAATCTGGATTCCAAATATTGTTAGTACTTGAGACAGCTGTGGCAGAACCAAGGGTGGCTCCCACTAATCAAATATTTATATCCAGCAACTCAACCAATAATGGAGGCTTACAGAAGTCAAAGGAACCCTGAACTGAATACAGCAGCTGCTGATACCAAAGCCAACAATGCCTAGCAAATTGGTAATTACACACACCATATACAGCATGTGTACACGTAGAGTATAGTAGATGATGATAAAACATACATTGTATACAGAGACAGAGATGTTAACTCACAAAAAAGCAATGCAGGAAATCACAAATACCCTTAATTTATATTGAATGCATTTTGTTGTTCAATATATTAACATACATTCACATCCAAATTCTGAATTTCCCTTGTGCAATTATATTTTAACAGCCTTGATGAAATATAACTGTAACTCAGGGAAAATTATGAATTTGTTGGTGTGTTCAGTTTGTTGATTTTGTTGTATTAAGCTCCGAATCATTCAATATTTGTATAATGATGTACTCATACAGTAGTACAACATATTTCTGGAGGTAAACTAGGGGAATTTGTTTGTACTTTCATTGAATACTAAGACTGATATAATGCAACACAGACTGGAGTCCATGGAAAATTTGTTTTCAAATTAAACCGCAACCACAATCTTAGAATTTAGATTAAGTCAACTCAGACTGGCAACCATGGTTGTTTCGTTCCAAAATCAAATTACATCAAAAATGTTAAAGATCATAGACTAAGAGGTACCTGAGGAGTGGTTCACTTACCCGAGGAGGGAATAATGGGACCGGTTTCTACCACCAGAGTGGGTGTAGATCCGCTCCCCTTGAGGAGCTCTACCAGCTCATCGTGGGTCTTCTTCCGGACGTTGAGACCGTTGAGTCTCATGATCCTGTCCCCTGTCCGCAGCCCCGCCCTCTCGGCTGCTCCACCTATGAATGGAAATCAAAGGAAAAACAAATGTCCAGTAACAAAATATTTGTAACAAAATAATGACAGAAAAATAATAATGAAGCTGTCACTGATGATAACACTAGAAGAAGAAGGAGGAGGAGGAGGAGGAGGAGGAGGAGGAGGAGGAGGAGCAGGAGGAGGAGGAGGAGGAGGAGCAGGAGGAGGAGGAGGAAGAGGAGAAGAAGAAGAAGAAGAAGAAGAAGAAGAAGAAGAAGAAGAAGAAGAAGAAGAAGAAGAAGAAGAAGAAGAAGAAGAAGAAAAAGAAGAAAAATACTACTTCTAATTAAATGTACTCCTACTAATAATAATAATCAGAATTATACTGTCTAATAATAATACCAATTACATGTAGATGAAGAAGAAGAATATTCAATAACATTTTACTTGTCAAACAAACCATCATGCACATCCCATTAGAAAAATTAAAATTATGAAATCATAAAAATCCACCATACATGTATCACAGTGATTGAAAACACTGATGATACATAAACATAGATCTACGACTTACCTCTATCTATGGTCTCTATGATGACAGGGATATCACCAGCTAATACGAAACCAAAAGAGCCTCCAGCTCGGTTTACTGTCACAATCCTAGAATTAAAATAAAATCATGAGATATGTCATACTAAAATATCTGAAGTGCTAAGGACAGCGAGATACGTATGTAATATGAATATGGAGTCAAATTTCTCATTTTTAAATTTCATATACATTAAACGAAGATTACAAATGAAATGACTGCACACATATACACATCTACATGTAAGTAATGGTAGGCAAAACATGTACATGTATTCATTTTTTTTCAAATTCTTTCCTAAAAACAAACACTGATTTTTTTAATTTTTACCTCTTTCCTCTGGCAGGTTCATCCTTGGTCACCAGGAAATCAAATCTATCTCTGTGTTTGGGTGGAACAAAGATCCTGGGGAAATAAAACAGTTACTTTATTAGAGACCAACAACATATTAAAATGCAAAGTGACAAATACATGAACATTTAAGCACTCTAGTGTTGGGAGCCTCAAAAATATGATGGCAAAATTTCACCTCAAAAATCTAAGTATAATAATGTGAAAGAGGATGTCATTTAAGACACATTTCTGCAAGGATTTTCAAAACAAATGAGTTTGAACTGAAATTGAATATTGATGAAAGAATACAAAATTTAGGTTTTCTGCATACAACAGAAAACCCAAATTATGTATTCTTAATCTTATATCAATATTTGTCTTTTTGGGGGGAGGGGAATCTTTGCAGAGGTGTGTCTCAAATGACATTCTCTTTCACATTACATGTATGATACAATTTTAGTGATATTTTGCTATCAAATGTTTGGCAAATTAGGGGCTCTTTGTGGCATTTGGGGGCAAATTCATCCTGAGCCCCCATTTATTTGTTTCCCTGGGCTCCTAACACTTTAGAGGGGCTTTATCGCCTTAAAAATTTTGAGGATACATCGCATCCTAAAAAAGTGATGGTGGGTGAATGAATAAGAAAAATAATTTAGTTTACTTAACTATTTTATGTTCTTACACCCAAGCTGCACACCCCCCCCCCCACACACACACACACATCCTTTCTCCCTCTTTTCTTCTCTCTCACCCTCCCCAATGAAACAAAAACTAATAAAATGTTTCACAACTAGCGTTAATAAATGGATAAATGGCAACTTTTTCTAAGTAGCCCCAAATCAAATATGTACTGTACATGTACCTGATATCTTCAAAGAGTTTCTTCTCTGTAGGTGTATCCAGCAGACCTGCCAGGGCTCTACCAAAGGCATCCACTTTCTTATCCTTTGCATATCGCTTGAGTAAGGCCAGCAATGTCTCCTTCTTCAATTGGTCATTGTAAAACACTGCATCAAGCTATGAACAGAGGTAACAGTAGAACATTACGAAAATTATGTTAAACAAATAAATAAAAACATTGGAGCAGAAAAAGAAATCCCCTAGAATTACATGCATTTTTAAAAGGAAGGTCAGTAATGTCTCCTTATAATGGTTTTTTTGTAAAACATTGCATGTGAAAAGGGAAACAGATATGTGATTGAAGGAAATTGAGCTCCAGAATTACAGAAATTTTAATACCCGGTACTGATTTTATTGAAGAAGGAAAAATGTAGATCTCTATTATAGCTGGCTTAAAAAGGCTCTATCACCAACAATTTGTTTTTAAATTGGCACAAACTAAAAAACAGGTATATACAACTGTACTACAGGTACAACAATGTACTAGAATCTGGATATGGTACAGTACTGTACTCTAAATGTATACATGTAGTCTATATTACATTTGAATTGTAGAAATTTAGTTTCATCATAAAAAGTAAAGCAGACAGATATATGTAAAGCATCTACATGTACTTGTTTGTCTAACATTTTATTTGAAAAGTTGAAAGTGTTCAGCAAAGCATCTCATTTGTATGCATGTTATGAGTCTGGACTATGCTTCAACAAATTTCAAACAAACAAAACTATTACATGATGTAAAAGTCTCTCACAAGATTCAAGTACCTACAGTGTACATGTATAACCAGGTACCATGTTTACTACAAGTAAACAGGCACCAGGTATTACATTTCATAGAATTAACTGTCATTACAAGCAAATCTATTCAACTCAGAGCCCCCCCCCCCCCAATCCTCTTTTATATAATGTATACCACCCATCCTAATCTTTAAAGAGTTGTTTTATTCAAAAAGTGGTGCACAAAGGCAAATACATGTAGGTTGAGCTTTGGTGACACAATCGATTACAGCACCTCAGCGAACTCCCTAACTAAAGGCTACAAAGCATGCTCCATTGGAGTGCGCCTATAGAAATGAGCCTTTTCATCCATTCCCCATAACAATCAAACCTTTATGAGTGATGGTCGATCCCTTTGACAATCAAATTCAGAATTATTGATCCCGGTTCTAGGGAGTTGCATTTAAATGTAGGTGTGTTTTGATGCGGTAGGTGAATCACTCGTGGGGCTTTTGTCTTCCGAGGATGATATCATGAGCGGAGACAATCGCCATCTCCATCAATAATGTACAGAGAGAGACTCCACCTAGAAACTAACTTGATTCTGTAATTGCCTAATGAAATTCGCCAACATCATTTGTGTACACATGATGCAGTTCTTCGCAAGAAATTGTATTGAAGTAAACTGTTTGCAGTATTGTACAGTACCGTATGTTTGTATCACTGACTGCTTTACAATTACATAATAAATGACAAGATTTTAGAGAGAGGGGGAGAGAGAAAGGGAGAGACAGACAGACAGACAGGGGGAGAGACAGAGTGAGAGTGAGAGAGAGATAAGAGAAAGAGAGAGAGAGAAAAAAGAGAGAGAGAGAGAAAAGAGAGAGAGAGAGAGAAAGAGAGAGAGAAAAGACAGAGAGAGAAGTGAGAGAGAAGAGAGAAGAGAGAAGAGAGAGAGAAGAAAGAGAGAGAGAGAAGAGAGAGAAAAAAGAGAGAGAAGAGAGAGAGAGAGAAGAGAGAGAAAAAAGAGAGAGAAGAGAGAGAGAGAGAGAGAGAGAGAGAGAGAGAGTGAGAGAGAAGAGTGAGAGAAGAAAGAGGGAGGAGAGAGAGAGTGTTGAAAATATGACACAGGCAGGCAGGCATTCAAAATAGATAAAGATGAAGAAAGATAAAGCCAAAAAAGGGGGAAATATAATAAAGAGAAAGGGAGTGAACTTCAGTGAAGTAGAAGGAAGCGAGAGATAAATAACACAGGAAAAGAAAGAAAGAGAGTCAAGGAAAACGGTAATCATGAGAGTTAGGGTAAAACAAACATACAAAATGAGAGAAGGAGAGGGAGATAGAGAGAGAGAGAGAGAGAGAGAGAGAAAGAAAGAGAAAGTGGAAGGGAGAGATGCATGAGCAAAGGGGAAGAATAAAGCAGAATGATTCTTCAGAGTGGTACACGAAAGCCTGATTGATTGCAAATAAATACATGTACACTGTACATTGTAGGTGCATTTAATTTTGTGTTCAATTGTCATGCAAATCTATTAATTGAAATGACTTTTGCATACTATCCAGAAGCTTGTTAATCAGGGGATTTACAAATGCACATGTCATTAATACCAAATAATCCATTTAAACTACTGAGTCTGTCAATTACTTAGTCCAACAATAGCAAACAAGATCTGAACAAAATGCCCTCCATGTCCGTTAGAACCACACAGGCAATCCCGCAGCATACAGCACCAGTATAGCTTACAATGGTTGCCATAGCGACAGCCTAGTAGGAAGCCGTAGCTATGGCAACGTGTGTGCGCTGTTCATCATCTCAGCTTGTCTGCCAAACTCAGGCACATGCACGTACACACACACTTGCACGTTGGCAATCACATTTAAAAGCCTTTCTTCCTAACCGCTTTAGGGCTTGTGGACAGTGGAAAGTGATAACTGGGAACCGAGGCAGAGCATTGCATCATGTAGAGCACATCGTGCATGCAATCAATTAAACTCATCAAGGTCTCATCAAGCCATCATATTTGAGTCTAATGAGCTTGCTTTGAAAAAAGTATGGACAGATATATGTCCATATATATTGCTGCTTAAAAAAACAATTAGTTTGCAAATGAATGGAATACTAATTTCTTATACAGTACATGCACACTACCAGCCTAAGATACTGCAAGTGCTTGAAAATATTTTATTTAAAAAGAAATGTAATTCAAAATGTAGGACCTCAAGCAAACGATATTACCTGTAAAATCATAGCAACTACTTCTTTCCCCTCCGGCAAACTCCTGTACACGCATTATGTACTTACAGTATATTTGCTCTCAATGCAAAATGTGATCATCCCCCCCCCCCTCCCCCCATCAATTTCCACATTTATTTAACTTCAAACTGTCTTGAAAGATGGATCACAAATTTTCACAAACATTTGACAAAACAGACTTAAAGTGTACAACATTTTCAGTGGAATAACATAATTTATAAGAGATTTTGAATTAGGGATAGTTGACATTTTGTTTTCCCTTCAAATGCATTCAACCTGTTATGATGCACCCATATCATTTACATGTTACATACTTCTGTTTACTTGTCGTTTCCATTTATAGACCAATTGCAGAGAACTAATTAGTTGTCTTTCTAGTTTCTAGGAACATTAGTCATCCAATTCATATCACCGGACTTGAGCAAATGCGTTGAATTACATGTATGCATGAGTCGATTTGATACAATGAAGACGAAGGTTACCGACTAGCTCCATTTCATGGTAAAAGTAATTAGTTTACAGCGTTACTCTTTTTGACCCTCTACTGTGTACATCTTAAATGCACAATGACAGTGCAACTGAAAGATATGACATGGGTCGATCCATACAAATCTTTACAAGAGGATTTTGAAACAAGAAACATTTCTAGGGCCACTGGGCAATTGTTCAGATAACAAATTTGGGAGTTTGGAATTGAGCTTGCGGTTATTTTGCATACACATACTGTACATGTACATGCATGCCCTTGTTCAAATCTGTAAAAAAAAAAAAATATGGAGGCCTATACAAGCACTAGAGTCCTGCTTGTCTTGAGTCCCGAGGCCAGTGACTGACTAAAAAGTATATGGTTGAACTTACCTTTCTGAAGAATCCATCTGCTTTATTTTTCCTGTCCTGAGCATGAGCTTCAAACCTTTGGGCAATCTTCTTGACTGATTGGTGTCCCGCACCAGGAATGATGACCATCTTCAATCTGGCCGCTCCCCTTACAAACAACTTAGCATCATCAGAATGCTTGATGGGAAGTCCGTTGATTTCTAACACCATGTCTCCTGCTTTCAACCCACAGTTCATCGCAGGACCACCGCGCTCGACGACCTCCACGTACACCGGACCGCCCCCTATGAGAGTCAAGCCAAAGTGGCCATTGCGATCGCGGTAGAGTTCACACGTCTTCACGCAGGACACGACGACGATGCTCGGAGGCACTTCCGGACATCGTCTGGCGAGTGTCATGATGGACTCTGCACCCAAGTGGAGGATGCTTTGGTTATTGAGTTCCACAAGTTGGTCTCCAGGTTGGAGCCCGGCTGCATGGGCATGGCTGTTCGGCTCCACGGAGAGAATATAGGTAGGGGCGTCACCCCCAATTGTGAAGCCAAATGATTTGGGCCAGGTTTTGTTGTTGACCGGCATCGGGAGGGGCGGTCTCTTGTGTGGTCTCTTGGACGATGCTGTGGAGGGTCTAGATGACCGCACTGACCGACTGGCACGAGAGGATGTTGACCGTCCAGGCATGATTCCTCTCTAGGTCTCCATACCTGGGGAAAAATCTGGAAAATTAAAACACATTTGAATAATTAATATTCCTTCTTTAAATTCTTCTTTACAACATGTATAACTACAAAAAGTTCAAGCAAATATTTTTTTTAAAACTCTAGTCCTCCTCACTTCCTTATTTTCATAAATAAATGCTTTTGTTTTTACTTCTAATAATACAGTACGTGTTAACTTTTTTAAATAGTCATACAGGTGGTTTTTTCAAACTTCACTTTGAGCCTCTTTAAATGAATATGAAACACATTTCACTAAAAATAGACAGTTCAGCCTCCATATCATGGTGGCAAATTGAAATTGAATATATTTTTGAAAACCCCACACATTTTGCCCATACCCCTCTCACAAAAATATTTCTGGATATGTAAATGTACATGTATGTTTAACCCCCTAAGATAGTCTTTTTCACTAATGGAGATTTTGTTTTCTTTGTAAATCTGGAGGAAAACTAGATTGAACTTTGAAGCATGACATAAACAGTCACAAGTGCTTTAGCAACCGCCTGTATAGAAATACCACATGTCTGTAAAAACAACTATTCTGTTCCCACTAAACAGAACTTGTAATTGAAATTTTCAAACAAGTGTTAGAAGAACCTGTACCGGTACTTCACAAGTTCTCATAAAGGCCACCTGCCTATAGTAAAGACCACTTTTCTTGTCTCCCTAAAGCAGTCTTTTCACGAGTTTCATTGTTATTTGATGTGAACGAGAGTAGACCTACTACAATGTATCTTCCATACATATTACATTTTGTAATGTTATAGCTGCTTTCCAGTTTCTTAAGGACCCCACGCCTAGTTTTCGCATTGGAGACGGCTGACGACAAACAGCGAATGGGAGCTCTGAAGGTCATTGGGTGATCAAGGTCAGGCTAGGGGCAAGCCTTTGAACTCTTTGTGCAAGGAATCATATTACAATAATAAACACTCATTCATGTACACTTAAACATGCACATCACATTGCATCCTTATACGATGGACATGATTAAGCTACACTGTTCGTGTTGGTGCCCATCAATGCACCTTACAAAGTACTAATTTGAATCAAGAAAATGTCACCACTTTCATGAGTCGTCAAAATAAGTTGTTTTCAATGATAGACTGAAAGAAAGATTCTACTTACAATGAGTAAGAATGCATCCTCTGTGATTTAATTGAGCTACCGGTACTTCTTTTCCCCTCATTCCAGTAAAATTGTATGACTCTTGATGACAGGCCCTTTCCACTTGGCAGATCAACATGTACCTGTTGATCGGCCAATTAGACTTATTAATGCTTATTTTTTCACACATGCTAGAGTGAACAAAGTTAACAAACATGATGTACTTGATGCCTTTGAAGTAATGTGCTTGAAGGACCCAGTCACCCAACCCTATCAAATTTAAGAAATATCTTTTATGGGGGAGGGGTAGAGATTCATGGTGCTTCACCGCATCTGTTTGTCAGTCTTCTTAGTAAAATATCCACAGAGAATTTGTGTTTAAAAACTCTATGCTTCATAAGGCAAAGTAAACACATTGTATTCATAGTTCCAAGTTTCTTGACCCAAACCCACTTCCTCTATGGTTATACTTCACAGTTGAGTAATTTGAGTTGTTCATTTAATTGCATCAGTCACAGTTCAGGGTGACAGCTAATCACACTTATTGCATCCGTTCAATTAAAACAACAACCCTTATACTGTAGTAAGAACTACATGTAGCTAGGATGCACTCAGCTGCAGAACCTGTTCCATTGTAATGTTTTTTTAAAGATTAACACGTATGTACAAGCAGATCAAAGTGTCGTCTTCTTTAAGGGGTTCACTTGCAGTTAGGTTTGATAAGGGCAGATTATTTTATCTCTAGAAGAAAAAGGATGCAGTCCGCTGCATGCACAACCTGTTGTTCCATTGTAATATTACAGATCATTAGATCCACAGTGCGCTAATCTTAATTTCATGAAGCCTGTACTTTTCAGGAAGAAGAAGAGCCTTCTTATTCAAGAAGTTTGTTTGATCATAAAAAAGGATTGAGCTGATAATACAGTCAGGCAGTCAGCTGCAGAACCTGTTTACATCCCAAGCTTCCTCCTAAATAGAAAGTTCCCCTCAGTTTGGTTTAATAAACGCAGCTAAAGGATGCAGTCAGCTGCAGATCCTAATCCGTTGTAATACATGTACCAGTATTAAGATTTAAATCCAGATTTAATCCCTTCTTAAAGGGGAAGTCCACTCTTAAGAGTGCAGTTTGGTTCTGGTACAAGATCTACATGTATTCAGAACAAAAAAGATGCAGTCAGCTGTTGAACTCATTCCATCATGTAAAAAGTATACTACTTCCTCAATCAATGTTGTGTAATATTGTGAAATAGTTGAGGGTACATGTACAGGTACTTGTACGTAGAAAACATTGTCATTTGTATAAACACTACTTTCTCAGCTTATTTTCTATGGTATGGTTGTTCTTTTGATTTATTAAAGATAAACTCCAGTACTGGAAAAAAAAAATTAATAATTCTCACAGAATCAAACGAAACTTACACTGAATGTTCAAGATTACAAATAAATGACATGTGCCAAACAATTTTGGAAGAAAATGTATACTGGCTGAGTAATGAGCATAGAAAGACAAGGAAATCAAGGTAGTACTAGCCCCGACACCATGTGTGTTGTCCCATATATATATATATATATAGCTTTCTATGTGAGTGCTTGTTACTTTACCAAGACTCGGTCAAATTTATTATGATTTTGATGACTCAAGAACCTTGCTGTGCACACCAATACTTACATGCTACATGATCAACTGTTTCTGATCCTTTCCACACCTTTTCTTTCACAATGCAATCGCATTACCAGTACTAAAGTTTATCTTTAATCTATTGAATTCTATTCAAGTTTATAATTGTAGTTTCAGACTTCCAATAAATACATATTTTTAAAAGTTTGATGATTTTGATAGAAAATTCTTTTCAAAAGAAATGGGAATATGATTAAGACTGTAGTTCCGCGTAATACAAGCAGATATAAAGTGAAAATAAAAACAGAGGCAGCAAGATCTAGAACCTGTTCTATGAGAATATCAAGATTTAAATGACAAGGTAGGCCTAGAGTCTATATCAAATTCTTAAAGGGGAATTTTAAATCAGGCTCAAAATTGAGATCTATGGATTTCATAAGAGCAAATAACGAATGTACACAGAACAAGGATGAAGGATGCAATCATCAGCAGACCCTATAGGATTTAGATCATTGATTATACATCCTCTTTTGGAAAGAGTTCCATATGAACCCCCAGGGCCCCACTAAAATTGGAGAAAAAAATATATAGTTAAGTTTCAGAGTGATATACTTAATGATAATATAATATATAAAACATGGGAAACTAGAGTTAGGGTTGGGGCTAGAGTTAGACAATGAGATATACCTGTAGCAAGAAAGTGTAATGGATTAAAGTAAGTAAAGTAAAGTAAGTAATAATAAGACAATACAAGCAATTTTGTTTTCATATTTATTTAGCAGGGCCGGGCGGGGGTAAATATGGAACTCTTTCCCGGGTTTCCCCTCTTTCTTAAGATGGATATTCACTTCATCCTGATCTGATATCAAATTGGTTTTGAAATGAGGAAACAGATTTATGAAATTAAGAGAGCTAATCAAGCATGACAATCACATCTTCTCCTTCTTCTTCTTCTTTCTTGGTTTCCTCCAGGTTTGGAGAACTGCAGAGTGTATCCTTCGCAGATTGAGTAAATAGATAGTAGAGGCAATACAAGCAACAATCATGGCGTGTATTTGTACAACAAGTACTATCAGTTCTCACACACACAAACTCTTCCAAGTTCCAGGCAGAGAGATTTTTCTGTCTAAATTTACTTTTACTAAAATTAAAAAGTACTACTAGACTAGCGTAGATCTACAATAATCCAGTCTAAAATAGTCTACACATGGTTACTGGAAGAAATCTGACTAGAACTTTACTTTTGCAAGGCAATTTCATTTGTCGATCAAACCAGGGGGACACATCTCCCTGATCAAACTTTCACATAAATACCGGTAGAGTCTAGTCGGCCGTCGGTATGGAACAGTCCGCAGCACAGATGCAACTGCAGCCACAAGCTACGGCCCACGGTATCACACATAACATAACACGCACGCCGCCGCTGTATCACTCGACTGGAAACCAATCATTTTGAAAATTCTTGATCAATGTTCTACAAACACAACATGTTACCCCCTTTTGAAACAACCATGCAGCATCATACTCACCAGGAGTTTTCTTTGACAAAATTTACACAATATTCCAAATTTATATCATCCAAACGGGTACGGTTGCACGTGAAACGAGGAATTTACACCCCGCCATGATTCAATTCCGCTCGCGAGAATTCCCGTTACTGTGAAGATAGCGTCTATGGTTTCAATTCATGCGATGCATGCAGTACATGTTTTGTTGCAGGTGGGTAGATTTTAATTTGTATGGTGCGCGTGCGCAGTCCAATTAGTGAATCGCAGACAAGTAGCAGGTGGCACTGCTTTTTGCTAAGACATAGCCTACATTATAATAACAGAGAAAAGACTTAAAGGACAAGTCCACTCGAAAAATAACTTACTTTCAATAAAAGTAGAAAAATCAGACAAACCAATCAAAAAAACTTGAACAAAATCGGATAACTAATATTAAAATAAGAAAGTTATGAATTTTTGAAAAAGTATGTAAAACTATGGAACAATGAGAATCAACACAAACTGCCAATATGGTTATCAGTTTGTGACGTCATGTCCTCACTATTTATCAATTGCTCTATATGGTTTAATCCCATTAATTTTCCCATGCCTTTGCCCAGGTAATATGATTTGTATCATATTGCGTGCATGACATTTCACAAAATCTTTTATGAACTTTGAAGAATTTACACTATTTTCTGAATATTGCATATTCATAATTATTGATTTTTATATAAATAGTGTATCAAAATTCACATTTTTTATGATTTAAGTGGAAAAAAATTACTCTATGTTAGTGCATCCACACAAAAACATATTACTATTAATCTAACTTGGATGCTGGTGTGAAGAAATAAGATTCTTAAGGAGAAAATAGGAAATTTATATCATCAATAAAGGATAGTGAGTACATTATGTCACAGACTCATGAGTCTAGTGATTTTCAAAGTTTTTAATGTCATTAAAAATTCATAACTTTCTTATTAATTATCTGATTTTGCTCAGAATTTTTTTGATTGGTTAGTCTGATTTTTCTGCTTCTATTGAAAGTAAGTTATTTTTGGAGTGGACTTGGGCTTTAACCCCGGCCATAAACAGCGACGGGTCTGGAATTTTGTAAAAGGTGGCACAGTTCCGAAAATATTGTTTCCTCCCATTTCGGGTGATTGTGATTACAAAAGACACCACCGAACTGGAGACCTGCATCTGCCAATTTATAGGGTATGCATATGCAAGATTCAATTTAAAAATAGACAAAGATTCTACGATTATTCATCTGCCATTTGTTACAACGAGGGGCTTCTTGCAAATGGAAATAGGATGGGGCTGACGCTGGGGCGGCCGAGCGACTTCCAAAGTGCGGGGGGGGGGCACCAAGAAAAAGGGCACTTTGTGGGGGGAAAGGGCACCTACAAAGGGAATCTCAAAGCGAAAATATACAATTTTTTAGACATTGGTATATACTCATATAATTGTGATTACGAGTACCAGGGATGATTTCAATATTTGTTTCACTTTATACACCATACAAGATATTGCTTAAGCTTGCTTTGTAGTTGGGTTTGATTGTCTAAAAATTTGTTCGCGAGCGAGGAAAATGTTTAAGATGTGTGAGTGAGGTCGCAGTGCGAAAAATTGCATCTTATAAAGACATAAAAACAATATCCTCATGGGGTTATAAGCACATTCTCATAACAGAAGACTGAAAAGACCTTTGATAAGTAACATAAGTATATCATCTATATATGTGTGCGAGCGTAGTGAGCGACCTTTAGGGGGGAATTGCTCTTAGTCGCTTTGAAATTAGCTAGGGCGCGTAATGATGAGAGGAAAAGGGGACACTTATCAGGAAAGAAGGAGCATGTGCCAAAGTACAAAGAGTAATTATCAGAGTTGAAAATTGTGGGCACTTCTTACACCCTCAAAAAGAGGCACTCACCAGGGATGAGAATAGGAAATGCGCATTTGTCGACGGAAAAGGGGCCCCCATCAGATTTTGATAGGGGCATTTATAAGATATAAGAAAGGAAAAAGGGCACATGAGAAAATATAAGGTGCGCTTATCCGAGTTGAAATGGGGGTAGTTATTAAAAGGAGAAGGGGCACTTCTCACAAAGGAAAAAGGACACTTGTCAAAGTAAACGAAGCGCGTACCTCTCAGATTTAAATAGGACAATTATCAGAGGTGAAGGGGGCACTTATCAAAAGTGAAAAGAGGCCCTTCTCGTACCTTACTAGGGGCACTTACTAGAGATTAAAAAGGACCCTTTTTGCAAAGGAAAATGGGAACTTCTCGAAGGAAAATGGGCACGTGTCCAAATAAAAGGGGCACTTATCAGAGTTGAAAAGAGGAAGGGGCACTTTTCCTATGTAAAAGGGGCACTTTTCGGGTTATTGAAAAAGTTAGGGCAGGGGCGCCCCCCCCCCCCCCCCCGGAGGGCCGCCTCTGGGCTGACGGCATATCTCTAGGGGATGTTGACTAGGGAGCTAGATTTAAATAACAATTAAAAAACTTTCTCTAATTTAAAGCATGTCCCTTCATTTACTAAAAAAAGAGTTTAAAATGCATGGTTCAAATTAAGCAAAAGATTAATTTTAGATGTAATACCTACATTGAGCATACGTTGGTTGCTGACTGTTGTTCAGAGACTATTGAATTGGCAGCAAACTTTATATGGAAATATATAGTTAGTTTTTTTCAGACCATATGAAGGCCTGTAAACAGAAAGTTACTATTCGTATTTTACCATCATTTGTAAGAAATTGACTACAATGTAGGGCCTTCAAAATGCGACTTGTCATATTATGATCTGGAGAAATTATTTTCAAAAATATGTGATTTCTGGCATACAATCTAGAAATAAAGAAATCATCCCAGCATTTTTGACTCAACACGCTGACCTTTCGAGAGTCTTAACAATCCTGATAATTGTTAACATTCCTACACGACGCTAATTCTTAAGGAATCACACAGAGGCCCATTCTGGTTTTACTTCATTAAGAAATCAATTGCTAAAGATTTTCTCATTAGTTAGCAATTAAAAGTGTAATTCCAATTGTGATCCAGCAGCTAACTCATTATGCAACAATTAAAGTCACAGTGATTTTTTTAGAAAGAACGACAATACTGATCAGCAAGTTATTCTGCAACGATATAAGAGACTCTGACTCAGACCACCGTGTCAACAAAATTGTTTAGAAATAATTTAAACCCTGTTCCAGTTAAAGGTACTATGTCCCTTGCGGCAGCCAACCTCAAATTCTGTAGAACTTTGCAGGAATTATGAATATGTCATGTATGTCCTATCTGTGAAATTTAAATGTTAGCAGTGTCCTAATATTCAAATTATGCAAGGAAACCCGTTCACTTGCTAGACTTCACTGTCAGACACTATTAAGTGACTGACTGGCTTTTTTCTCCTTTGGTAATAACATACATAAAATGAGATGTCAAGTTTATTCGAATATTTCATAGCATACATTATCAGTTTGGGTCACAAGAAATTTAATGATAATAGTAATAATTAAAACGATATAGATTTTAATAAATAATGAAATGAAATGATAAAATTTCTTCGTGTACGGAGGATTATTATTTCTTGCATTTTTTGTATTATTTCTAGTGTGTCCTGCCATTCCAAGATGGGCAAATGCCAGCTAAAGCTCGAACTGTTTTTATTACAAATAAATGAAATAATCACATACATGGCCATTATTCCTTTTTTAAAAAAATTTACACACAAATTTGACTTTGGACCCCTCAAATTGCGAACGCAAGCTGGCGCTATATCACGATCACACCAAAGAGATTCGATCATACACAGTATGTCCTCCGTAGGAGGACTAGAGGGCCAACTAAAATCGTGACCTTTGACATTTCATAGGTTTTGCATTGGATGCATTATGGGGGTTTTGTCCGATTTGAACGACGGTTTTGGAGGGTCAATGAATATTCATGAGCAATGACGTAAAAAATACGCCAACTACTGTTTGTTGATTGGCCATCGACAAAATGTTTTATGTATTAGGTCATGCATAAAACATTTTTTGCATTCCCAGAATTCCCTACGATTTGAGCACGAAAATGGCGGTTGTATGAACTGCAACTTTCAAGTTATTCAATTACGAACAATGAAACATTTTTCTTTTAAGTGAATTTCTATTATAATAGAAGTTTGTCAAGTACATCTCAGTGAAGCAGAAAATCTTCAGGCGAACATTGGCATCGAAGTGATACCCTATGATATCAAGAAAAGTAAGTAAAGATCCATTTTGTGTGAAGGTCTCTGAAATGATTGTGATGTGTTCGTCATTGCAGTGAGCGGCTCTCCGCATTGTCACAACGTATTACCCGGTTAACCCCTACCCCATCCTCTTTTCTTTCTTCTGACCAAAGAATATTAACTGATTGAATTAACTCTAATTTAAGTCATCGACGGTAGTATTTTCAGAAACAATCAGGATTTGGCAAACCCGGACTTTAGTGCCCCAGCTGAAAATCTCAGTTTATTATGGATTTAATATCAATAATATTAATTATGCTAATATATGCAAATATAAACATACCAAAACTTGATGATTTTTAATCATTTGACGTCATAAAAAGCAATTTTAAGCCAAAAATAGCAGCGAAGTAGGGGATCTCCTCTTTGCTTGATGCGAGATACTAGCGAACTGAAATAACCGAATAAAAACTATGGTGAACTAAAAAAAGAAAAGAAAAAATCAAACCACCTCTGAAATTACCTTTGAAATGTTTATTAATTTTTTCTTCCGATATGCGCACATGATAGGGGCAGGTTGGGATGGGATGGGGGGGGGGGGGGGGTGCTCAATAGTCGCCAAATTTGGGGTAAAAGGGCAACTGGCCTTGGGGGCAGAATAAAGAAAAGAGCCACCCCGGAAAAAATTAGAAAAATGATTACAAAGAAAAATAAGTAAATAATAAATTTAGCCCCCCCCCCAAGGCCAGTTGCCCTTTTACCCCAAATTTGGCGACTATTGAGCACCCCCCCCCCCCCCCATCCCATCCCAACCTGCCCCTATCATGTGCGCATATCGGAAGAAAAAATTAATAAACATTTCAAAGGTAATTTCAGAGGTGGTTTGATTTTTTCTTTTCTTTTTTTAGTTCACCATAGTTTTTATTCGGTTATTTCAGTTCGCTAGTATCTCGCATCAAGCAAAGAGGAGATCCCCTACTTCGCTGCTATTTTTGGCTTAAAATTGCTTTTTATGACGTCAAATGATTAAAAATCATCAAGTTTTGGTATGTTTATATTTGCATAGACCCCTATATTAGCATAATTAATATTATTGATATTAAATCCATAATAAACTGAGATTTTCAGCTGGGGCACTAAAGTCCGGGTTTGCCCAGGAGTTTACCGTAGGTTATTTCATTAGAGCACATCTCATAATTTTAAGTTCAGTTCATAGCTTGATTTCCGATAATAATCGGTCGTAGATGTGGACCTGTTGGAGACTGCGCAAATGGCTCATTGCTAGTCCAAGCCGATGAGATCTCGTCGAGCGGTTTATGATCTTCAATCCGCCGGTTCTAGCCGGCTGTAACACTCCACCAAGAAGCGACTGCGTTTCCTGAGCTGGCGCGGCTATAACTTACAGTGTGTTACTGTAAAGCCTAGGGCTAGGCTAGTATTCATAGCATAGTCTGGCCTGAATTTTCTGTCTCTTTTGTTCGTTAGCCCTTGATTTGGGTAGGGTCGACTCCTCTCTTCAGCCGACCCTACCCAAATCAGAGGCTAACGAACGAAAGAGACAGAAACATTCGGGCTAAGCAAAGCCTAAGCAGAGCCTAGGGCTAGGCCTAGATCTAGGTCTAGGCTAGATCTAGCACTTAAATATAAACAGCATTTAACCCCGCATCTAGTACAGGCCTAGATCTAGGGCTAGATTCTAGGCCTAATGCATTCTAATAAAGAAAGACTAAATAAATGCCTGGTGTAGGTGGATTAAATAAATGATGTGGAAGTTATGGAGAGGGGGGGGGGGGTGCACAATCATTCTGTGCCCCCCTTTTCAGATGTGGCATAGGTCTAGGGACGGGTCTAGATCTAGGTCTAGAGCCACCTACTAATAATACTAAAAATAGGCAATTAGATCTAGATCTAGATCTATAGGTCTAGCTTGTGTTATGCCATAGCAAAGAATTCCATAGCCATGGGTCTAGTCTCGTTTTTGCTCCACTAGACTAGACTAGTCGTGCACATGTGTCATTATTGTGATCCAGGTCCAGATTCAGCTTAGTTTGAATGTAGATCTAGATCTACTACTAGGCTAGATCTACCATCAACAACAAAAACAAAAGAAAAAAGGTGTCTCCTCTCCCCCCCCCCCCCCTCTTTCCCTGATTTTGCTCTTACTCATGTCATTGTGCCACCCCTTTTAGTTTTATGTTGGTGAGAATTCTGGATCCAACCCTACATATGATATGGATATTTCTTTCTTTATTAAAGGACATGAACAAAGTTATAAACTGATAACTAATTCATGCATTTGATATTAGCAGGAACCTTACTATAAAGTTTATGTTTTCTTTAAATTGTAGATCCTATGGAACAAAGAAGCAGATAATGATCACAGAAGTGCAACAAAGAGCACCAGGACCTGATCATCAAATGTTATGGTGTAGATCTAATCAAGAACAGGACACCTAAGTTGAACTCTGGCAAGGTATGTTTGTATGAAGTTCGAAAATATTCAGGCTGTATAATCTAAGCCCATGCGAACACCGCACTCGACTTGGACTATATACAAAGATTTGGGGAACTGTCATCTTGTGTTGCATTATATCTTGTAATTCTCATTTATTCTCTAGCTTTTTATTTAGGTGACAAACTATGGTGTTGCTACAGTTTATTCTCTCAGCATATTAAAAGACGTACTCAAAGGCATTTTTTCCTAAATATTACATTATATCTAACAAACTTTTGCTCACAAAAGTCTAGCAAATAATAACTTAAAATAAATTGGAAATTACTTTTAAAATAATTGGAAATACATCTAAACCTTTACTCTTCTTTTCAGAAAAGGCCCTATCAGATAGACATAAGTTTATCATTTTTTAATAAAATTAAAATGCAAGACCTAAACAAAGTGGGAAGGTACTAGATCTATTTTTGAAAATCCAATGTAATGCAGCAGTTTTAATCTTTTTTGATTTCTCCTCTCTTTTTGTTTTTATTATGCAGGTTGTCCCTTGCAGAAGGTTTGATACCCAGCTAGGCTTCTTTTGTACAAGTCCCTAGTCCACCCTCATCTTGAGAACTGTTCCTGTGTCTGGGATCCCTACAACATCTCAGATGTCCAGGACGCTACTTCACAATGGGGACCACAAGTGAACCAGCAGTTTGACTGAGATGATCAGCACCTTTAGTTGCCTACTATATCTACAACTACAAGGCACTCTGCAAGAAGACTGGGAATGGTGCACAAGATAGTCGATGGTCTCTCCGCTCTCCCTTGAAAATTTTCCCACTGCACTACTTATAGCTACTTGCGCCCTCTATATAGCAAACAATGCCTAATCGGTGCCTGTTGGTCCCCCATGATCCTCTTTTTCTTATATTAATTGAGAGCTGATTTGATGAGATAACCACCTGTAAGTGACCTTGCAGGGTGGTCTAATCCCCCAGACCAAACTAGTACAGACGGGCTTTAACAAATCACGAGCAGGAAGTACCATGACATGACCCTGCAGTTGCACCAAGCCAGAAGCGACATCGACAAGTTTGTATTTGCCCAACACTCTGTCCCAAAGTTAATGGAACTTACTTCCAGCAAATATAGTGCATGCTGACAGTCCAGAGAACTGCCTGGGACTACTTCTGAGGCATCTACTCTCCTTATCCCACTTAGAAACAATCTATCTTCCTCACACCACTTGTAATCTTTAGTATTAATTCATCTTCGTGATAGGCTACAACGCCTTTTGAAGATTACCAGAAGAAGAAGAAGAAAATATATCGAGGATCATGAAAGTAATCATTTGTTCTTTTAAATGCGTGTACATGAAACATAGTTTTTTTATATTTAATCTTAAGTCAAGTTCTGACAAATATATTAGGGATGCTGAACTGGATAGTAAATTGAAGGGGGGGGGGGAGATAAAATGATGTAGTTCGATAGTAATACTGTAGTAATATAATTAATAACATTAATAATAATAACAATATTACAAATAGTAACAATAATGACAATGATCATGATAATAGCAGTAATAATAATGATAATACAGGTAGTAGTAAAAACAACAATAATGTCCAATGTAAGATAAAGTACTCATAAAACTCAGTATATACCTGTGCTTTACATAATAAAATAGCATGTTGATATTATTGATTTTTTTTCCTCAAAATCTACAGTAAACTTTTACAACTGAAAAATTTGAATTCAAGAGACAGCACACCCCCCCCCCCCCTCCCCCATCCTTTTGTCATCCTTTTGTTGATGTCATGTTGGATTTAAAAAGATCTTTATAGAAACAAAATATGTTGATAAATGAGTTCATAGATGTTAATAAATTAGTTAATACTGCTTAATTCTGTTCTTTTCATTTTCTTATTTTGTGAAATATATGTGATGATGCTGGTGATTATGATGATGTAGGCACTCTGTAATGACAATGCTCTATGACTGAGGTGAGATGGGGGCTGATGCAGTCTTGTGTAGAATTGAGTATGGTGTTCGACCATTTGATGTTTGTTTATATCTGGCATCAGCGAGATAGATTTAACCATCTTTCCTAATGAGAGAGAAAGCGGAAATGTAACAAGAGAGTGGAAAAGACTAATGTATAAATATAATATAAAAAATGGTTTACAATAAAGATGAGGGGGGGGGGTTAAATAAAGAATAAGTCAATGCCAAAATGATGAAAGCATAGGTAATTGGGGTGTGGATGGGGAGGGAGGGTAATAGAGCCTATGGAAATGTCAATATTGGAAGGGGTCCCTGTATTGAAAATGTTACTGATGGGGGGGGGGGGGCAAATTTAAAAAATATCAGTGGCGACGAATGCAAGAATGAAAAGAACGAGACAAAATAGAAATTTCATTTGGGATGGGGCACAATATGAAGATCATATTGAAGTCGAGGTGAGAATGATTCATTATTTGGACACTAAAAATATGAATATATCACTTGTTGAGTGGGCTAAAGGATCAGTGCAATTTTTCTGATTAAAAAAATATTTAAGTTAATAAACGAACAAAACAAAAAAAGTTAAACAATGAATTGAGGTACCACAGTGAAATGGGGTCATTATTTTTGCCTTTTAACTGAACTGAATTTAAAAAAATGTACTTTCCATCCTGGTGACAGTGAAGTTTGTGGCCCCAACTAAGTCAACCATTTAAAAGTTTATTACCCCCTCCCCCCCCCCCCCCCCCCCCCAAACACACACACCTCCCCAACTCTGACCTTTGTTCTACATTATTCGGCCCAAGGATTCTGTCGAGAGTAACGCATGCGCATTGTCTTTTTTTCATTACGATAATATGCTAATAAGTGGAAATGAGCTCATGAATATTCCAAATTTTAATTTACATATTTTACGCGCTGCGCGCAGTCCAAAATCCCCATTTCGCTGGTGCACTAAAAGTTTGTCGTCTTCATAGGCTAATACACGATAAATGGAAGCAGTGTGCACTTTTGACCCTCCAAAATCTCCCCATGGCTAGACGGATGCAGAAGCGGAGTTGAACCCCCCTGGATCACACTCGTTGTCTGTTTTTTTTTTCAATTTCAAGATGTCAGCCTACACTGTCTCTCACGAGGTCGGCGGTTTCAGAGGTAATTTTCTCATTCATGACTAGATATACGCAAACATTTGAAGTTTTCAGTTACACTTTGACAGGGTGATAATTCTTTCAGAATTTTTGCAGGAATAGGGTACATTTGTTTTTTTATGCGGTCCGTGAGCATTGACAGAATTCTATTTTCACATTTGCTTTGCATTGCATTGCCATTGCCATGCTACGTACGTAGAATTCATTGAATTGAAAAAAGAGTACCAATCGAAAAAGCATGAAAATACAGCTAAAATGATACCAAGATCATCAACCCAGGTCAACAAATAGCGAAATAGTCTACAGGCGCGTAGACAGGGGGGAGCGGTGGGGGAGAGAGAGAGAGAGAGAGAGAAAGGATTAAATAAAGAGAAGGTTGGGTTCTGGGAAGAGGTGAAAAATAATTTGTGAGCATTAGATCTACTCATTCTTATTATGCAAGTGTGGAAGAACATCAGTTAAGACTTGTTCCCTGAAAAGCTTGGCTCTTCAAATGCCTTCATATTCTAAATAGATCTATGCATGTAACATCGTAAAAATCAGGGGGCCGGCTTTTTACGCCACGTGTTCGTGTAGAGTCTAGTCCCATATACATCTTTCTGTGCAAGTGTTTGTAACTTTACCAAGACTTGGCCACATTTCTTATCATTTTGATGATTCCAGAACCTTGCACTACACACAAATTCTTATATGCTAGATGATCAATCTTTTCTGGTCGGTTCCACACCGTTTCTTTCACAATGCAATCGCATGACATGCAGAACTCAACTTCATCTTTAAGAGTCGAGAACGGTACAACGAATCCTCTTCTTTCTCTAATAATTTAATGAAACATCAAGGCATCCCGCGCGGGGGAGGGGGGCGGGGGGAAACTGCATTCAGATAAGTATTAAGAGTTGAGAACAGTACAACGAATCGTCTTCTTTCTTTAATAATTTAGTGAAACGTCAAGAGCTTCAGTGCTACGCGCGGAGGAAGGGGAATTTGATCCAAACAAGGATTAAGAGTCAAGAATGGTACAACGAATCGTCTTATAATAATTTAATGAAACGTCAATAGAAACTGAATTTAGACAAGGATTAAGAGTCGAGAACGGTACAACGAATCGCCTTCTTTCTCTAGTAATCTAATGAAACGTCAAAGCTTTTGCGCTTTGCACCCACCCCCCCTAGGGAGCGCGCTCTGTAAGTGATTCGCAAGCTTTACGTGCTCACTACCGCCCCCCCCCCCCTAAAATAAAATCCTGGCTACGCTTGGCGAAATAACGACCGTTTAATCTTTTTTTAAACCCACCCATTTTTGGGCCCCCACCCCCCCCCCCCCTTAACCACACAAGTCAATGGAGGGTGGTGTGACAACTTGTGACCTTTTTTTAACCCGCATCGGCTAGCACCAAGATGCGCAGCTGACGGCTGCGATACAAGACACCAGCGCAGCCCCTAGAAACATTGCAAAAGTGTTGCGCCCAATTATTTTCTCTTGCCTTGGCACACATCACATTGTGAAAGTTTCGAAGTTAAAAACATTGTTTCGGTATTCCTAGAGATTTCATATGCTGGTAAATAAATAAATTATATCAAAAGAGATGTATAATTTGAAATCATACTTGCGTTCGAGTTCCTTCGTTGAAATCCGACGCTTTGAATATTTAGTCAATCTGCGGTTGCTCGTAGCTCCGGTTCTGAACATCGAACAAAAAAAAATGAAGAACGATATGGTAGCAGCTCTGAAGAAGGAGAAATTTCTGGACAAAAAGTACAAGTACGACAGGAAAAATGATGCGATCTGCAGTGATCATAATTTTACATGTATTATACGCATTTTACGCAATTTTACATATATTGTACGCAATAAGAGCGGTCAAATCCATGTGATACGTCACAGAACGGGCCATGTTGACACAATGACGACGTTCTGAAAATTCTCAGAGCTGCGAAAGAGGAAGGATTCTGAAGAAGAGTTTAGTCCTCTCATCAAATGTAGACTAGTCTATGATGATTTATATCTTTCATGTTTCAGTTAATGTTTTAAATGGCCATCAAACTGAAATTAACATGTACTTTGACTTTGAGATTAACTTAATTCCCCTTTCATTTGTCATTGCCCTTGCAGTTGTCCCTGTGAAATTCAGTGAGAAGAGTTCAGCAGGCCATATGCTCTATTATAAGGAACATTCTGTGAAAGAAAGTGAAGACACTAAACCTACAGACAGGACTCTCTTTGTTGTCAATGTTCCTCCATATTGTAATGAGGTAAGTGTGTGGAAGAATGATAAGACTAAAGTTATATTTAGCAAACCTTTTCATGCCCATACTATTTAACTTTTCAAAATATTTAATTTCTGCTGGAAAAAAATACTCCAAAGTATTGCTAGAACTAGAAGCAAGATTAAATATATATATTCTTCCTAACAATGGATTTGAATCATATGATGTACATCTGTACCTATATTTCTCATGAAATGCATTAAGTATGCAATGCTATATGCATGAAATCGCTTCAATGCAAATAGTTTGTACATGGAATCAATTTATTTCATTAAAATGGAATCCCCTTTTTATTCTTTTTATTCACTGCTACATAGTACTGTGTCATCAGTTTGAGAAAGCAACAGATTTATTAATTTCTTTCACTCAAATGTGATTGATTGATCACGTGATATTCATTCATTTATTTGATTTCCTAACACAAGGATAATATGTGTGATGAGCAAGAAACCTCTATGGTTTATTTCAAAATTATTTATTTATGTTTTTTCATATTTATAACAGGAATGTCTACAACGGTTGTTTGGTGGGTGTGGGGGCATGGAGTCTGTGATATTACAAGCTAAAGCTGGCAAGGAACTTGATGCCATGCTAGAAGAAATCTACCCTATCAGAAAAACAAGGGTGAGTACTGAAGATGTTTGTCCTCCCTCCCTTTCTCTCCCCTCCCTCTCTCCCTCCCATCTCTTTCCGTACTCTCTTCTCCTTTTCTCTTCACCTCTCTCAGAGAGTCTCTCTTCATCTCCCAATCCCAATCCCTCTGTTCCTCCCTTTCTCCCCCCTGCCCCCCCCCCCCCTCTTTCTCCTTCTCTGTTAAAGACTGAATGTATACTTTTTCATAAAAGAGACTTTAGAAAGTCAAGTCTATCAGCACAACGTGTACCGGTATACTTCTCACTCATATATGGTTTATCTTTATTTTCTTTTAATTTGTTATATTCAAAAACAGCTTTCAAGACTTATTTTACCGTCCACTTGTTTAGTAAATAAATAGAAAGAAAGAAAGAAAATAAATAAAATGCACAATTCACTGATTTAAATTATATTTAAACCATATAGGGCTATGTCTTATTTGTCTTTAAAATATATGCAACATCTTCATTGTTTACAAATATTTTCAATTTGTTTACTTGTTTTCCTTTCACAGGGCTTCAAAATAGCTTACATTGTCTTCAAGGATGATTCATCAGTTGTCCGGGCCATGAAGCAGAAGTATAAAGAACCATTTATATTATCACCTGAAGGGGAACCTGGTGGACTGGTTACTGGATATAGAAGTAAGGAATTCTATTTCTAGTTACTATTTAACAAGCACCCCTATAAATGAGTAATGTTCAAAGTGTTGTCTTTATTCTAACAGTGTGAGGTTTTTAAAATAATGTTCCTAATTGATACGTATGTATGTTTTGTTTAGTTAAATATGAAGGTGATTTGGTGGCTAGTTGAACTTGAAGGGGAGAAATCAGGAGAAAAAAAAATTGTATGTTTATTAGAAGACATAAAATATATTTTTATGCCTCCGCCACCGAAGGTGGTGCCGGAGGCATCATGTTTTCGGGTTGTCCGTCCGTACGTCCGTCCGTCCGTCCGTCCGTCCGTCCGTCCGTCCGTACGTCCGTCCCGTTTGACCGTTATCACAATATCTCAAGAACCATTTAAGATTTAAACTTAAGACTTGGGAATAGTATTTATCACCATAGGAAGACGATCTGATTAGATTTTGGAGTACGTAGGTCAAAGGTCACAGGTCACAGAGGTCAACTTATGAAATTCCTTGTATTGAGTTTGTTAGCGCGATATCTCAAGAACCATTTGAGATTTAAACTTCAAACTTAAGGATAGTATGTATCACCATAGGAAGACGATCTGATTAGATTTTGGAGCACGTATGTCAAAGGTCAAGGGTCACAGAGGTCAACTTATGAAATTCCATACATTGAGATTGTTATGATATCTCAAGAACCACTGGAGATTTAAACTTCAAACTTAGTGATAGTGTGTATCACTATAGGAAAACAATCTGATTCCATTTTGGAGCACGTAGGTCAAAGGTCAAGGGTCATAGAGGTCAACTTATGAAATTCCATACATTGAGATTGTTATCATGATATCTCAAGAACCACTGGAGATGTAAAAACTTCAAACTTAAGGATAGTATGTATCACCATAGGAAGACGATCTGATTAGATTGTGGAGCACGTAGGTCAAAGGTCAAGGGTCACAGAGGTCAACTTATGAAATTCCATACATTGAGATTGTTATCATAATATCTCAAGAACCACTGGAGATTTAAACTTCAAACTTAATGATAGTGTGTATCACCATAGGAAGACAATCTGATTAGATTTTGGAGCACGTAGGTCAAAGGTCAAGGGTCACAGAGGTCAACTTATGAAATTCCATACATTGAGATCGTTATCGCGATATCTCAAGAACCACTGGAGAATTTTCACTTCAAACTTAATGATAGTATGTATCACCATATCATAATATCTCAAGAACCACTGGAGATTTAAACTTCAAACTTAATGATAGTGTGTATCACCATAGGAAGACAATCTGATTAGATTTTGGAGCACGTAGGTCAAAGGTCAAGGGTCACAGAGGTCAACTTATGAAATTCCATACATTGAGATTGTTATCATGATATCTCAAGAACCACTGGAGATTTAAACTCCAAACTTGTTTAAATTGCTCTATGGCGGAGGCATCATTTTCGACTGCGCGCAGTCAAAATTCCATCTAGTTTAATGTACATACAAGACACTAAAGGAGGAAAAATTAACATCAAGTGTTTGTTCTCTCTCTCCCTCTCTCAACTCTCTCTCTCTCTTTCTCCTGTTATTCTCGTCAATCCAGGGATAAATGAATTCATTGAAGTCACTGGACTCGCTGTGAATATATCGTCTGTTGCGAGCCAGAAGGGCATTAACTCTGTGTAAAAACTAAAAACTAATTTAACACTAATTTAAAACTAATTTAAGTTAACACCCTTCTGGCTGTCGGCAGACAATAGTATTGTGTCTCGCCTTTTGATATTACATTCTTCAATAAGGTCTTATGCTTGGTCACCAAATTTTGATAACTATATCCATGTTTCTTAATTTTCACATCCTTGAGTTTCTTCTTTTTTTTTTTTTGTATAATGTCTTCCCTTCTTGCTTATGTAGAATGGTGTTCAGAATATGAAGCCCGCTGGGAAGATCCTAAGCAACTCCAGAAGAAGGCAGATGACTTCATGATAGAGTTTGACAAGAGGAAACACGAGGTAGAGTCAATTTTTTTTATCGACTCATTTTGTTGTGAGCCCAACAATAATAATAATATACCATACTTATATAGCGAGCGTCGCAAATATGTACCTTTGCGCTGTAATGGAGAGAAGGAAAGAAAATAAAAAAGAATATTGCAAAGAGTGAGAAATGCAAATTCGCAATTGTGAAGGTTGTAAAAGGATGTGTAGAAAATATGCATTTCATCAGAACTATATTCCAAATTAAGACCATTGGTTTCGATCTTAATCTGTGTCAATCTGTACATTTTAAGTATTCATACCATTGAACCATGCGTGTTCCTCTTGCAATAGATGAAAACTTGCAAAGCTGTACAAAACCGTTGATAACTTCCTACTGCCTTTCAGAATGATTGGGCAATCTATATCAGGGCTAGGAAGTACTTCCACAATGTTTCTTTCAAAATCTCATTCTTTTTTCTCTGCATCTTCTTGAGAAATATAGATTGATCATATGGATAGTTTATTGAGGCACCCACTAATGTTGCCAATTTGTTCTTGTTAATAACAGGAGAAGGAGCAGGCCAAGGTGGAGGAAGGGGTGCCCGATGACGATGGCTGGGTCACTGTCACGAGGAAGAGCACCAAGCCAGTCGTGGCAAGGTCAGAACGAAAGCAGAAGAGACTCCAAGCGAAGGAGAAGAAGAAGAGAGAGGAGAAGGAGCTGATGAACTTTTATACGTTCCAGAGTAGAGAATCGAAAAGAGAACGTAAGTAGAGGTGGTTTGTCAATATCTCGGAGTACATGGACCCAGAGATATAGCAAAAATGGCAAAAATATCTTTTCTTATCGCATCAGCTAGGTCCAAGACCAAATTGCTTATCAGTCTGCCTCCATTGGCTTTGAAAGCGATGAGAGGACACTGTACATGTAGTAGGCTTGAGTCGGTACGGTCGATCACACCGGGACCCGACCGTTGCCGTCGGGTCCCGGTTTCGTTTTTTGAGAACCGACTCTCCGAAAAAAATAACGAAATATGTAAGAAATTGCAGTTTTGCACACCACTAAAATCAATCCACCTTAAAACTTAAGTATTTAATTGTTACCAATCATATTCTAGCTCATCCTGAATCAATCTGAACTGCTGATATAAATATATGGGTTCCAAGGCAGTTCGCCCCATGGGGTTGTTGTTGCCAGCTGCTAGCTAGCTACTGTACTGGCCGGGTCTCTCGGCAGGATTAATAAATCAGGTTGAAAGAAACATTGATGTTTGAATAATAAAACGGCTTTCTAAAAAGTACTTCTTTACAACATACCGATCGAATAATTTTTAAAAGACAACATAGATATTTTTTCTTTGATTTTGAACACCGCATGCTTCTTTTAAAAGCTGAAAATTACTTGGTAATCACAAGAAGTTTCGATACGGATACCTGTTGCAAGGCAAGTTCAGACTAGTATCGGAAAAAATGCGCAGTGCTCCTCGTAATTAGCTGTAATGCGTGCCAGAACGAACCCAAACAAAGACGTGATCGTAACGAGAAAAAAATCATTAAAAACTACGAGAGCACAATTGGAAAGACAACTACTCAAAATTATCGTTAGCAGATACATAACTTGGAGGAAGAAAACAATAGTTGTCCAAGGAAAGCCACATAAATAGTGATATTTAAGGAGTTACTATAGGTGCAATCATTATCGGAAGGGCCTGCTGCAATATCCGAATTACACGTGTTTAAATTGAACACGAGGCTATACGAGGCAAATAACGCCCTCTACGGTAAAAAGCAGTATAACAAAGGATTCGAGTATTTGCAGCAGGCCCCTTGCGATAAAAATGTACCCAGTTACTCCTCGATTATCACAATTTCTGAGGCATTTCTTGGGCGATTATTGAATTCATTGTCCAAGTTATCTATCTGATTATGGTAATTTTGAGCAGTAGTTGTCTTTCCAATTGTGCTCTCGTAGTTATTAATGATTTTTTTTCTCGTTACGATCACGTCTTTGTTTGGGTTCGTTCTGGCACGCATTACAGCTAATTACGAGGAGCACTGCGCATTTTTCCGATACTAGTCTGAACTTGCCTTGCAACAGCTATCCGTATCGAAACTCTTGATTACCAAGTAATTTTCAGCTTTTAAACAAAGCATGCGATGTTTAAAATAAGAGATAAATATTTATTTTGTCTTTAAAATATTATATGATCGGTATATTGTACAGAAGAAATTTTTAGAAAGCCGTTTTATTATTCTAACATTCATATTTTTTGAGCAGATTTATTCAACCTGCATAAATCAAAATGGCGGCTCGAATGCTGTCTTTCTATTTCTGCCCCAGTTTTTTTTACTTTTAGAGGCACGAAAATGGCACTAAACATCGCCAATCATGGATAAAAAATAATGTCAAATGGAAGAATATACCGATCTGAGCAGAGGTATGCATGTGTTGATTTATTTAATTGATAAAAAAGGTCACTTTTAAGGGACATACTGATGATATGCGCTTTTTATAGAGGCAAGTGGCAAATCCTGCGAGCTGATTTCGGGACACCGGGTCCCGATCGGTACAAGGCCGTCGGGACCCGGTTTATGAAAATCCCGACATGACTCAGGCCTAACATGTAGGTTGCCATTAAATGTCTAGCTGGAAAAATTTGTTAATCGCATAAAATATGCTGTTCTCCTTTCAAAATGTCCAAATGTTAACATGACATTCCAAAATTCAAATTTAACTATTTCATTTGTGAGATATAAATGATAGAAGGAATTTGCCATAACACATCTTAGTGATTGAAAATCTGGTATGAAAGCTAAACACGTGATTTCTCTAAATCCAGGTGCTTGAGAGCATACTAAAAATTGGAAAGATCTACCCTAATTGATGCATCTCAAGATCTTGACAATAAGGGAAACTATTTTGAGCCCCATGCGGACAAGCACCAATTGCTTCCAGTCATTTTTCTGTACACATGATGACTTTCACCTTAAAATATGATACAATACTGATATAACCTTTTCCGGTACCATTTATGACCTTTCCCGTACCATTTATGACCTTTCCCGTACCATTTATGACCTTTCCTGTACCATTTATGACCTTTCCTGTACCATTTATGACCTTTCCCATACCCTTTATGACCTTTCCTGTACCACTTATGACCTTTCCTGTACCATTTACCTTTACAGATATAGCTGAGCTGAGGATGAAGTTTGAGGAAGACAAGCAGAGGATAACACAAATGAGAGCAGCTAGGAAGTTCAAGCCATACTAGTGGCTAGTTGGCCCAACTCCAGTGGACTCCGTCTGATCTTCAAGCTAAACGTAGGGTAGCCAGAAAGATCAAGCCTTCTTAGCGAGTAATCCAGTGCTGCAGTCCAAGACTATTTAATTTCCAAACTAAACCATGGGCCAGCAAGAATATTCAAGCCTCCTAGTTAGTCAGCCCAATCCATTAATTGTTTTGTTTAATCTTTAAGCGAAACTTTTGGGTAGCAAGGAAGTCCAAGCCGTACTATTTTGTCAGCCCAATTCAATAGTCTTTGTTTTTAATCTTTAAGCGAAACTCTGAGGCATCTAGAGAGTTCAAGCCTTACTGTTACCTATTCGGCTTGATCCGATGGACTCTCTGTCATCTCCAAGCTATGCTGGTATGTAAGGCCGAACCTTGCTAGCGAGCCGGCCTGCTCCCAAGGATGTGGCCGAGTACTCTTTGTCCGACCTTCAAGCTAAACTCGGGGGCAGTCATAAAGATTTTAGCTCTGTACAATATGTTACTACAGTTGAGCTTTGTTATGAGAAAGCCAAAGATATTACCTTGTTGTCTTGCAACCTTGTTATATCAAGGCTTAGTAACCGTAGAAGACATAGAAAAGAGAAATTACCTGGTTTTAAAATAAGTTTCTTATTACAGTATTCTTTACGAGATTCGACTGTGATATTTTTCAATGTCATATGAAAGATGTATATGTTAAGAGTACATCATGTATATTGAGAAATGTACATGGATATTTTTTTTAAATAGTATCAAATTCAGCAATTCAAGTATTTTGTGTAGTATTTTATCACGAGTAGAGAATGAAGAGTTAAAGGTTTTTGATTATGAGAGCAGAAAAGGTTGATGGATTCGGAAACAGTAATGATTCAAAAATATGATTGCCACCTGTTCTGCTAAATTCCATCAATCACCATTCTCTATAACACTCTCCACATTTGCGCTCACACTATCTCTGACACATCACTCCCACTCTCGGACATGCTAATGAATAAGGTTCAACACTAGTATCCACTTTAGACTTTAGGACATAATGCTACCTTACTTTCATATCATCCTACCAATCCTGTGTAAGGGGGCTATCCCACACAAACAGTACACGACTTCAGAGGGTTAGGTGATGAGAGTGATTTTGAGACCTACTTTACTTCTTTCTTGATCAGAATTACTGCAAAACCAGACGCTATGCGACATGGGACATGAAACTTTTGTGATGTGTAACCAAGAATCTATCACAAGTCGCAAAAACTGTACATGTGTTGTGTCAGTTGGGATACCATTATCTTGCGGCATGAAACTTTTAGGAATCAGAAAAACTTGCAAAATTTGTGAACATTTCATGAGCCTGAAAGCCTCTAAAAAAACATGGGTAACTAAAATAGAAGACGGAATTATTCATTGTTTTATTTGTCCTTTTTTTTCTTTTTCTCTTTCTCATTTTATACTCACATTCCAAAACAGAACTCATTACCATGCTTTCTTAAAGGAAGGTAGAAAAGAGGGGGATAAAAGGGATTTGAGAGATATATGGGGAGATGTTGACTAAGATAGAAGATGGAGCAAGAGAGAGAGAGAAAGAGAGTACTGAATGAGAGACATTGAGTGAATTGGATAGCAGGGGGCGAGAAGAGGGAAAGAGACAGCTATAGTAGTACAGGGGAGTGTTTCATATACGACTAAGATTTGTTGTTGTTGTTGTTTGGTATTATAGGCGTTTCATTCTCTTTTAAGTTGAGCTTAAATATGGCAGGCCGTTCATGCCATTGTTTGCTCTCACCATTATGATCTTTATATAATATTTTTTCCTACCATCATGAATTATCCAAAAATATGAATTCTGTAGATTTGTGACCATGATTTTTACGTCCTTTGAGAGACCAATGCCAGTAAATGGTGAGAGCAAACAGTGGCATGAACAGCCTGCCATAGTTAAGTCCAACTTAAAGTCGATCTTAGTCTTTGTGAAACACCAGATGTAGAGTGAAGTTAAAGATAGAGCAAGTGACTAAGGAGAGAGAGAGAGGATATAAGTGGAGCACTGGACCAGACTAGTGACCCCATAAGAGGAAGAAGAAGGGATAGCAATGAATGAGAGAATGTAGACTTTAAAAACAGACTCTCATCACATACAATGGAACACATTGGAAGAAACCAAGAGTGAAGATTGAGACAAAGTAATTAACTGGCTAACATTATAAATGTCTTGAATGAACTTTTATTTACGAAAAACAAAACCTGTTTTACAAGAATGAAATAATGGCCAACAATGACGTAGTCTTGATGCGAGTCCACGGTTTGGCATCAACATCAAGTGGTACCACTTTACACGATCAGTCCTTCTTTATGATGAAGTATCTCTTCTTCTTTTGTGGTCAGGTATTGGCTCAAACAAAGTGCTACTATGGTCTTGATGCGAGTCCACCATTTTACATCCACGCTGCGTAGCATTATCTCTTAATAGTCTCGTCACTTCTCCTGTACAGTCCAACTCCATGTGATGGAATGGCTGTGGTCACCTTCCCAATGGAACTGGGGCCTGTTTCATAAAACTTGTTATCTATAGCAAATGCTATATTTCTATGACAAATTTGCTCTCAGCCAATCAGATGCCATGATTTAGTAGCTAATAACAGTAGCTTCTAACTTGTTATTGATATCAAGTTTTATGAAACAAGGTCCTGCTGTTGGTCTTGGTGAGAGTCCATCAAGCCATTCTGCCTCATAGCAGATTTATGGCCGCTGCCATCCTACCTCTTGTCCATGCCTTGATGTCACCTGTCCAAGCTGATATCGCACATCCTCTTCCGCACCATCCTTCCATGGCCCCCCTTGGATGATTTCCCTACAAATACAATGAAACCTGTCTACAAAGACCACCCAAGGGAGACAAGAAAAGGGTCTTCATAGGCAGGTGGTCTTTATGTACAGGTTCCTTTAGTACATGTTTCAATGAGAAACCATTTTCATTTTTTTTAAATGTGGTCTTTCTAGACAGGTGGTCTTTCTAAACAGGTTTGACTGTACTGCCCTCTTTGCTGATTACATGACCAGAATAACGTACTTTCCTCTCTGTAATGCCCTCTTGCAACATCAACCCAATTGCATTCCCCAGAACTTGACACCGACAGGTACCTGGGACACATAGACGAAATTTCAACACTGGGCTCCTGCATAAAGATTCTCTAAATGTTCAATGTGGACTTGCATTACCAGTGTAAATTCAGTTCAGATAATACTTGGAGGCCGGACAGCTGTCATGACGGGAGTTTCTCTTGGAGGATCAGTGTGAGGAGATCGTTGGAAGGCAGCTCCTTGCAGAGTGGAATAACTTTCTCTGAAACGGAAAAGGGATAGAAAGGAATATGAGAAATGGGTTCTACAAAATATCCTCCTGGGACACTTCAAGGGTTCAGTGACACAAAGACGTAGCTCAATATTTTGCCAAAATGAGTATTTGATAACAAAAGGTTCAGAAAAATGTGGGCTTTCCAAGAAACACAAAGGCTAAACTCCACCAACACCTCATTTAAGTCAATGGCTAGTGAAACATAGACTTAACTCCTTAAGGCCTAAGTGCTCAGTGACACATAAACCCCTATTTATCAAAATGGCCAAAATAGAGTCACTGACCCCTCAAAATAAAGCACTTGTTGCTGGATCATTCACTGGATTAAGAGAAATACAATGTAACAGGAGCAAAAGCAGGTTGTGAATAGAGGGGAATATAAAAAATGGGGAAAGAGATTATAAAGAGCGAAAGAGACAAAGGTACTGGTACAAGTACACCACCTTATTTTGACAAGAGGACACAAAGTCATTTGACATCTATGAAATCTGCTTTCTGGTAAAAATGATTAAAAACAGTCTTGTTATACTGTTCAGGTTTCACATCAAAATACACAAAGTGTTTTGACATATTCAATGGACTTTTTAAAGAGAAAAAAAAAATGAAATTGGTGCAATCTGTCAGCTTTATGCCCTATTTAAAGTTGTATCATACAAACCTTTAGTTGTATTCAGCATTCCCGTTGCCATGGATACCTGAAGCAATTGTGCTATCCTCTCTACTGCTGTCTGGACAGCATCCCCACTGATCTTATTATCCTGGATGGTGTGGACAGTCAACATGACCACGCTCTCAATGTCTGTAAGAGTCAGGGCAACAGCCCTGGACTTCCCCTTGGAGGAAGTCGACTTCGCTTCTGACGTCGACGTCGTCACGAAGGCTTGCAGGATGCCCAGATGGAGCTTTGAGAAGAGCAGAGAGTAGTCGTGCAAGGAGAAGCGTTTATGGAGAGTCCTCTGTATCTGGGATCGGTTAGCATCCAGGATGAGAGGGGAGAGGATGCTCTGCCAGAGGAGGCCTGGGACGGGACCGGAGCTGGAGGGGTCGTGGGACGACGCCTTGTAGGAGGCGTGGATGTAGAACGATGGGATGCGGGATGGGGGCTTGCCTGTGAGGGCGTGGCGGAGACACACGGTCGGGTGTTCAATGATCCAATCAGTAATCACATCCAACTGGGCAGGTGGGATGAGTTTGATTGGCTGGGACGTACCTAGTTAGAACATGGATGAGAAGCTATCATAGACATATCAAAAATATCTTACAGTGATATACAGTCAAACCTATGTACAGCGACCACCCCAAGGTAAGCACAAAAGGTGGCCTTTGTAGACAGGTTCCTTTAGTACATGTTTCAATGAGAAACCATTTTCAAGAGAAACAAAAATGTGCTTGTTCTAGACAGGTGGTCACTAAAGCAGGTTTGACTGTATAAATCAAATTTAACCTGGTTACAATTCAGAGAACGATATCAATAAGAATGACATATATAGGTACATGTTACTTTAGTACAGGTTTATATGAGAAACACTCTTCAAGGGAAAAAAAAATATAGTCTTTTATAGATGGGTGTTCTTCCTATCAGGGAGTTGTAATGAATGGAGATACCGTCTCAAAAGAATTTCCAGAGGGAAAGATATTCAGGATTTATTTGGCTT